TGAAGATGTTCCGACAGTGTTTTGCCCAGCACTATTATGTCGTCTAAGTAGGCGAAGGCAATTTGCTCGAGGTCCGGGCCTAAGACTGTATCCAATAGTCGTTGGAAAGTAGCGGGTGCCGAATGCAATCCAAATGGCATTACCTTAAATTGGTAAAGTCCTCTCGACGGGGCCGTAAAAGCTGTCAGTGGTCGGCTCTTTTCTTCCAGGGGAATTTGCCAATAGCCATCTTTTAAATCTATGGTCGATATGTATTTAGCCTCTTTTAGCCGATCCAGGATAGCCTGTACTTGTGGCAATGGATATGCATCCTTTACCGTGGCATCATTCACCGATTTTAAATTAACACAAAACCGATATTTCCCGGAGGGCTTTTTCACAAGGACTACTGCCGAGCTCCACGGGCTTACTGATGGTTCTATTACACCTTCTTTCAACATCTTATCAACCTCTTCATTGATAACCTGCTGCATTGCTGGGTTTCTAGGTTGGTACCGATGTTTTATCGGTTGTACTCCCGGTTTTAATCGTAGCTTGTGTTCCACAAGATGGGTAGGGCCACATATCCCTTCGAACTTCCTAAGTTCAAAATCCAAAAACTCTTTCACTTTCATTTCCTCTTCCGTTGTTAGACTTTTAATGTCATAAATGGATTCCTGATCCAGAAATAGAGCCGGGACGCTAGCGTCCTTGTTGTTCCAGTATAACTCCTTTTTAGGGACGTTAATAATTATTCCCCACTCCTGTAGAGTTTCCATACCTAGTATAATGTCTGCTACAAGTCCTGGCAACAAATACATTTTTGCCGAATACTTTTGTTCGTTTGAAACAACTCGGAAAGTATAACATTTTTCAATTACTACTCTGGTTCCATTAGCAACTCTTGCAAATTGGGACTCAACGCTTTTTGCCTTAATTCCCCTTTTCTCCAGAACATCAGCTATCTTCTGGCTGATATAACTCTTACTTGCCCCCGTGTCTACTAGAGCGTTTATCTTATTCTCTAAAATATTTACAACTATATACATTCTATTATCCATATTATTTTGTTCTGCCGTTTCACTGACCTTACTTTCCGTAACGGGTCTCATTTGGTTTATTGTCGAGGACTGGGTGGACCCCTTCTCTCCCGGCCCCCTCTGTAGTTTACCGCTCTTGGACAGGTACAGTTTCCTGACTTTCCTTCTGCTCCACAGAACCTACACGGGGAAGGTTTCTTTGGCAGACGGCAATCTCTAAATATGTGGCCTGGTTGATCGCAGTTCCAACATTTGGGCCTTGAATCCCTTTGACCATAGTTATTATTTCTCCGATCAAAATTTTGAGGACGATACTGATTACTCTGTCTTACAGGACGTTGTTGAGGCCTCGGGAGGTCGTCTCTACCTTTATACGCAATGTCCGGATACATGGATTGTGCAGCATTCACGGGAGGGCGGAAGTTATTTGCCGATTGTTTAATGGATTCATACTCTTTTGCAGCGACCATTAGCTCATTGATTGATTTTATATTCCCTCTGAGACCATATAATTTATACTCCGGGAGCATGTTTTCGTAAATCTGATTAAATTGTTGTTCAGAAGAATACTTTCCATGTCGCCGCATCAGGGTCTGTACACTGATTGCGTAGTCATTAAATAGTTCGTTTTGACCTTGTGTACGAGCTCTTATTTCGGAATCCAATTTTTCCCTATAGCGCTTTGGCAGGAATTGATTTTCTAGATGGACTAAAAATTCACCCCACGTTTTCCAATATGTTTTGTAGTTCCGGTACCAGAGAAGCGCTTTTCCTTTGAGTAACTCAGGGAGAGCAGGTAACAATTCGTCTTCCTCGATATTGTAGGCTTCCCTCATTTCGTTAACTCGTTCCAAAAAGAGAACTACATCCTTATCCCCATCGAAGAAAAGGTTCCACTTTCGGACTGTATTGCACACATTAATATTTTCTAAATATTTGTGACTCACCATCTTGGAATCATCTTTGGTTGGTGATTTCATTTCTGTAGTCTCTCCAGACGATCCTGGTGGTGGGGTGGCTAACGCAGGTCTGTATTCTCCTCTGATGAAACTGCTAAACATACGACGATCAGCTCTCACTGTTCCTGAAGACTGAAGTCCAAATTTCCTCAACTCCTCGACTAATTCCGCCTTCTTAAGGGTATATATCCAACCTGTCCTCGGGTTCCTCTTTTCTTCCTCGACTATGCTTCCGTTGTCCGATTCACTGTCAGACGGCATTTTTCTATTCTTCAATAACGGAGTATTATTTACAATATTTACAGTTTCCGGGTCTCCTTTACCCTTTTCCAAAAGTTCCACTAAAGTCTTCACTTTAGTCCCTGTTCGGGCGCCAAAATCTTGTGAGGAAGTTTCCTCCAGAACCCTAGGCCTTCTCAAGGGTGGTAAGGGTCGATAAGTGAACAGACTGAGTATCTCAAACTTCTGTTTTATTTCCTGATATCCTTATCCTAACACATTTGTTTCTATGTACAATATTATATACACTCTGATCCTGGGTCCGTAGTCCTACTACCAGGCAGTGTCTCCGGGCTCGTATTCGGGGGTTGGGCAGAGGTTGGATCAGGTCTTGCTTATTCCCTTACTGGCCCGGTGGTCTATGACACTCCTAACAGATATCCGTGTGGGTCCGCGGTCTAGATCCTTTGGCACCTTCACCCCGGAATCCTCGGTCCCCTAGCTGCTGCTCTCCACTGGAGACGGTTCTGGCTTTCCTGCACAGAAGTCAAGCTGGGCCGGTTCAATGTGCTAATGCTCTCCTCGGGAGACGATTCTGGCGTCACTTGCTCAGAAGTAAGCACTCTCTCTAGACAATCTACTCGGTCTGCAGTCCGACGTAAACTGTCGTCAATACTCGACGTATACCTATACATATACTATCATAAAGTGGTGGGGGACTACATGAGTCCTCCCCTCCACCTACGACTACGGACCCGCGGGCTCAACACGCCCATGCGGGGGTGTCGGGGGCTCAGCACGCCCATCCGACGGTGCTGGTGGCTCAACACGCCCGTCCAGCGAGGCTGGTGGCTCAACACGCCCATCCAGCCGTACCCGTGGCTCAACACGCCCATCAGGAACCTCGCGGGCTCAACACGCCCATGCGAGGGTGCCGGGGGCTCAACACGCCCGTCCGACGGTGCCGGTGGCTCAACACGCCCGTCCAGCGTACCTGTGGCTCAACACGCCCGTCAGGTGACTCGCGGGCTCAACACGCCCATGCGAGTGTGTCGGGGGCTCAACACGCCCGTCCAGCGTACCTGTGGCTCAACACGCCCGTCAGGTAACTCGCGGGCTCAACACGCCCATGCGAGGGTGTCGGGGGCTCAACACGCCCGTCCGACGGTGCCGGGGCTCAACACGCCCATGCGAGGGTGTCGGGGGCTCAACACGCCCGTCCGACGGTGCCGGGGGCTCAACACGCCCGTCCAGCGTACCCGGGGCTCAGCACGCCCATCAGGTGTCTCGCGGGCTCAACACGCCCATGCGAGGGTGTCGGGGGCTCAACACGCCCGTCCGACGGTGCCCGGGGCTCAACACGCCCATCAGGCCCCACACCGGTGGCTCAGCACGCCCATCCGGCGGGGTCGGGCCCGAAGGCCCAACTGACTTCTCGGTGCCAAACACCCTGGTTAAGTACCCGCCGAATGGTACCCAAGAGGTGGGGGTGAGTACCTTACCACCCCCATCGGAGCATCTCTCCCCTCCATTGGAGTCATTTCGATGTCTCCGAGTACCTTTGTATCTTTAACCTCAAAAATTCTCTCAGGGGTAAAAAACACTTCTTTACATAAAATACAGTAGTATTTGGCCAGGAAGTGGGTGTTTACAGTTTAAGCATGATAGTTCTCGTGCGAGGCTTGCACAGGATGGGTCACCCTTCCTGGGTGGGTCATGTACAATACTTTTAGCCACTCAAACTACAAGAAATATACTTGGTAAGTTTAACACAACAAATAACTTGCACACAATCATAACACTGCAATATTTAATGTGGAAGTGCAATTTGTATGTCCTGTCCTAACCTGTCATATATTTATTGTATGGCTTCGTTAAGAGCAACTTAACAAACTAACTTAACTACTGACAAAATCCATATTAGGCATATCTTTTTTTAAAGTAAACAGTAAATTTACGACATTGATTACCGAACCGTTTCTGTAAACAATGTCTTTCCGGTCTGAAAAGAGTACAGAAACCAGCTGCTTACTCTGTAGTGTGGCAAAAACTATTTTACCTACGACCGTTTTTTAAAGTAGCCATATCAGTCCAGTTCCTAGAATTGAAAAGTTTCACTTTACAGCTGTTTACTTTCATATCCGCATAGTTTCATTTCATATCCACATAGTTTTCTCATATCCACACAGGTAACGGACCAATGAGGTTCAAGTATTGAGAGAAAAGAATTAAAATTGTAATGCTTCGAACGTCAACTAATCAGCTGATCAGCTGATCAGTTGACCAATTTAATTGTTGATCCGACTTGTTCATGTTGATACTCGCGTATTCTTAATTAAGTTGGTGGAAGTCCAAAAATAAATGAAATATTTGCCGAATTGTACCTGATACAATATTATTTATGGTAAGAATGCTGCTAGCAATGTAATATTTAACGAAGTTTAACAAACACGTAATTACAGGAAATCAGCTGATTATACAACAAGTCGTTGCATCTCTTTCAGTGGCAATGACAATACACAAAAACATAACCTCTCTAAAAAGTTATCATTAGTGATTGTTAGTAATTAAATCCAGATTGATAGTAATTAAAAAACGGTCGTAGGTAAAGTAGTGTACGCAACTCGCGTTAATAGTCTTTACGACACTCGTAGAAGTTTTTAAGGCACTCGCCAAGGCTCGTGCCTTAAATTTTCTACTCGTGTCGTAAAGACTCACTTAACGCAATCGTTGCGTAAACTACTATTGATAAAACCAAAAATATTATATTTTTCCTTTAACAATCCCAACCTGTTGCCAACAGCTGGTGCCATGTGGGTCGGGCATAGAAGACATCAAGTTGGCCATACAACAGCTGACAATGCGTTCACACACTTCCACCTCCACGTACAGCAGTCTCAGCGGCAGTGAGAGTGGGGAGCCCGTGGTGAGAAGACTCATGCGTCACTCCAGTCTGGAGACAATTAACACCAACGTCACTAGCGCAGACGAGTTTGTCTGGGTCGACTCTCACAACAGGTACGTTCACTAAAATCACATTTATTTTAAGTGTACAGTTTGGTACATCAAGTAGAGTCACTGAAGCCTAATTGGTCTGAAAAAAATAAACATTTTTAAATGTGGTAAAACAAAGTTATGAAGTAATCTATTAAGTCCACTTGAATATAAAAAAAAATAGTACAATATGACTTTTATTGAAATTGATTTTTTGTCAGGGAATTATTCAATTAGTTAAACATTGCATAATGTAAAATTAATCATAAAAATTGTAATAAAATTAAAAAAAAATTATAATTAAATAATGTAAAATATAACCATAGCATGGTTGATGGAGGTACATGTTTTTGTAATGTGATTTTCACATACAAAGTTATTGAATGGAGTAGTATGCTGATTAAATGATTTTATTCTCTCTCTCATTTCAATGTTCTTGGAAGATAGTGTCACATAGTGTTCGCCTTCAAATCTGAAGGTCGCTGGTTCAAATCCATGCGAGATCATTTCCAGACCCAGATATGGCTTTTTTTATTGGGCTATGAATTAATGATGCCACCTAACAAAAAGTTTGACGTTAGATAGTAAAAAGATCAGGGTTTGGACCGTAAAAAGGTAAAAATCGCACTGGCGTAGAAAAACGCAACAAATGAGACCTTCTTGTAACAAATGAAACCCTTTTATAATAAACAAGACACGGTTGTAACAAATTATACCTCATCTTAACAAATGAGACACTGTCATGTCCAGGCTGGTGGAGCTGCAGCACCTCCCCTGGTCCAACCACGACGTGCTGAAGGTGATACAGAACGGCCGGGTGAAGGAGGCGATGGAGCGAGTAGCAATGGAAACGGTGCCGCGGTTGTCATACCTGCTGCAGCGAGCATTGGTCCGTATCGCGCGAGAGGCCCAGCGGCTCAGCAAGTGTGTGGGGATGTGCGGCAAACAACAAGTAGCCAGTGCTCTCCGGATCATACTGTGTCCCGTCCTCACCGATTCTTGTATCAAGGTATACAAGTTATTATATGATGGGAACTACAACAAAATGTATTTTAATCCAAGTATTTATTCTTTTCCGTCAATTTTAACACCTAGTGCTGGGATAGTTCAAGAGTGAATAACGTCTGTTGATGGGATTAAGATCCGTGCTTTAAGAGAGTTTGGAGAGCTATGTAGATAATTGAAACAAATAACCTCAATTCATTCCATGATTTCCTATGCTTTGGAGCTATTTGTACTGTGTAACTGTTTTCTACTGGTCTTATTCTTGCATGTATTTGTTATTTTAAAGTGTAATCTATATCTTTTTTGCGAGTTTATCTGTTAAACAAAATTTTAGTTACTGCAATTTTGATAGAGTGGAAAACAGGAGCACAGCATCGTGAAATTCAAGACAAACTCAATATTTTATACTCTTTAGGTAAGGGTGGGGTGAATTCAATTTTAAGAGAGTTTGATGTTGTAGGTAAAAGTACAGCTAACATTTGATGGTAAAACACTTCTAAAGGTGATTTATAACTATAGAAACACTTTTACAGGTTATATGTACTTAAAACACCGGATTTCCCAACATTTTTTTGTTCAGACCAGAGTTTTGTCTGTTGGTGTTGTGATTAGAGGGAGGGACACAATCATTATTAGTGAATTCAACTTTAATTTATGTTGGATTGAGTTCCTTTTGTACGGCAGTTACAACTTAGTCTTGTATTATAGGCATGTCTGAGGTCGGCAGCCATGTTTGCTGTGTCAGGTGATCAGTTGCGCCAGAGCAAGTCTGCGCGTGCAGGACTACAACTCTCCGTCGGCCGCTTTCATCGCTGGATGATTGATGTCAGGCTGGGTAAATTTGTGCATGAGTAAGTTGATGGAGTTTTTATATTATCAAAATACTACATCTCTTGAGATTAAAATGTCCAACTGGCACTATTAGAACCCAACTGATAATTGACTCAAAGTATCCGCTAAGAGTTTCCACTAACTTTCCAGCTGTATAAGATTTGGCCTGAATCACTTGTTTTAGTTTTAAATATCTTAATTACTTCATTCAATATATTTCTTGCTATTTTTATCATTAATACTGTAATTTTCACACATAAACAATAAATGTTTGCTAAACTGCACCCAAAATCTGTTTTTAATAGTCCTACTTGTGTTGCAGGGCTGAAATAACTCTTTTCATTCCTAGGACAAAACAGTCAGGAACTTTAAAGTCAAGGACATCAGCTTTAGGCTATATTTTTCTCATTTTAAGACTTGTCTTCTAATTTTTGGGAAGAAAACTGTCCAGATTAATAAAAGTAATTATTGTTGTACAAATTTGATTGTATTTATACTTGTTTATAATTGATTTTCCTTTATAATAATAGGAGTAAAATGACTACACAGTATGGTTTCTAAAGTCCATAGTGGAAGTGATGTTTATTTACAACAAATTAATAAACATAGCAATCACATGGCATATAATTAACACATGACAGCTGCTTCTAACTTAGTACCAAGAAGGCAATGAGGAACAAGATTATAAATAAATTCCAACACCCCTCCTTAATCTTGATCCTTCATTGGGGTAAGACCAAGGTCGGTCATGAAACCATCATGCTTGATTTTGCCAAGTGATTTTGTCAAAATGTCCGCTACCATCCAGGAAGTTGGAACGTAAATCAGCACAACTAGTTTTTCTCTTGATTATGTCTCTGACAAATAACTGTTTACGAATTATATGTTTAGTCTTGTCATTCACGGTTCTCTTCTGCAAAATCTTCATTGCTGGCATGTTGTCACAATGCAAATTTACATGCTCAAGAAATATTCCCAGCTCTTCCAACAAGTTTTTCAGAAACATTGCTTGCTTGCATGCCTGAACCATTGCTACAAACTCTGACTCTGTTGAGGAATCAGGCATACATCTCTGTTTCTTACTTCCCCAAGACACAGGTCCTTCACTCAGTTTAAAAACATATCCCGTACAACTTTTCCCATCAAAGTAGTTTCTATGACTGGCATCAACAAAACCATGTAGAGGTTCTTCATCAGTTTGCTCCTCCACAGCATGCATCCACAAATTCTTATTCGGATCTTCTATTGCTTCTTGATAACTACTTGGCTCTAGATCCTCACAGGTAACCATGTAGGTAACAAAATCAGGAAACATTTTAGGTTTTCTTACTCTTAGAGGGTACCTACTCCCAACATTAATTTCAATACCTTCCTCATCATTTCCCGAATCCCCTTCAGTGGATCCTCCAGTTCCAACATCGTCATCATCTTGCTCAATGTTGATATTATCAAGAATGAAGCTCTCCTCTTCTGCCTCAGGATTCCTGCAAGGTTCATCGAGTTTGGCGGTCTGGATGCTTACTATGGTCTCGACTGGTTGTATAGTTTCATCACCATTATTTTCTTCACGCCCATTATAAAATAAGTTTTCAAAAAACTTGACATCTCTAGAATAAATCAATCTATGGGGAGACTTAGGATCGACCAATTTGTAACCTTTGACATCCTCGCTGTAGCCTACAAAAATGTGAGGAACACTCTTATAGTCCAATTTGGTCCTTCTCTCCTTAGGCACATGCACATAGCCTATGCACCCGAAAACTCTAAGGTGACTGAGGTCCACTTTCGATCCAGTCCATTTCTCCTGTGGCGTGACTCCAAAAACAGCTTTTGTAGGACTTCGGTTCTTAAGATAAATAGCTGCCTCCACAGCATACTGCCAGTAACCCTTGCTCAAATTTGAGTCACTTAGCATGCTTCTAGCCTTTTCAATAATAGTTCTATTTGCACGCTCTGCTACCCCATTCTGCTCAGGACTGTATCGAGTAGTGACCTGATGCCTTATTCCAAATCTATTACACACTCCTTCTAGTCTCGCATTCATGTACTCCCCGCCTTCATCTGACCTAATAGTTTTTATAGTCTGGTTGGTCTGATTTTCAACTAAAGTCTTAAACTTAAGAAAACAATCAACTACTTCATCCTTTGATTTCAAGAAATAACCAAAGGTCATTCTAGTGAAGTCATCAATAAATATTAGCATTAAGCGATTACCTTGAAGAGACTGAACATTCATAGGCCCACAGACATTCGTATGGATTAACTCTAGTTTTGCCTCAGCTCTCTTACTTGGAGTGGTTGGAAAATATTCTCTGGAGTGTTTCCCCTCCACACAGGGAATGCATGGTTCTGGCCTTTGACTAGGAAAATCAACACCCAAAGCCACTTCCTTTTTCAAAATACCCATGCTAACATGATTCAAGTGACCCAACCTTCTGTGCCATAAATTGTGAAGGTTTACACTAACTGACTGGTCAACTTGAGTAGACATAGCTAAATTTCCATCATTTGGATCAATGTTGCATTTACTCTCTGTATCCAACCGATACAGTCCATTTACATTTGTTCCAGTTCCACAAATTTCACCTCTTACTGAAAACCCATCTTTTATGTAAATATTACACCCTTTGTCATCAAAAACTAAAACTTGCCCTTTACTAGCTATTTTGCTCACAGATAGCAAATTTGTAGACAAATCTGGTACATACGTCACATTCGATATCACTCTCTCACCAAAGTTTTTAAGGTTGACAGAAACTTTCCCAGAACCCGCAGAGTAAATTTTGGTATTATTAGCGACAGTGACCTCTTCAACTCCCTCATTCGAGTTAAACGTTTGAAAACTTTCTTTACTTTTAGAAAGATTGTCAGAACAACACGAGTCTAAGTACCAGCTTTCAGGTTCTACCTTTACAGTCAGAGCAGTTATCCAACTCACATTTTTATTTTGGTTTTCACCATCTGACTTACCAATTTTGGAAATTGACCCTATCTTTGAGCTATTACTAATGTTAGCTTGATTATTTTCAGGACAATCCCTTATCATATGGCCTGCCTTTCTACATTTGTAACAAGTAGGAATAAAAGGCTTCCTCATCTTTGAGCTTTTATTAGAATTAGCTTGATTAGTATTTGATTTTGATAAAAAAGGCTTCCCAGTACTGCTTTTAAAAGTTGAAAATACTACAGAGGACTCAGTGGTATCTTTTTCAGCCATGCTATTTAATTTTTCTAGTACTTTACTATATTCTACTTTATCTGTACTCTCGACTGCCATCCTAAATGCCCTGTAAGACTCAGGCAAACCTCTTAGAAGTAAACACGCCTTCATTTCATCATCCACGGGTTTCTCTATGTCAGCGAGTTGAGCATTGAGGTCAAGAAATTTAGAAATATACTCACTCATGCTGTTGCATACTTCCAACTTCAAATCTAAAAGCTGGTCCAGCAGGAATATTCTCCTGTTTGTGCTCTTGACTTCATACTGCTTTGCTAAAATGTCCCAAGCCTCCTTCGCTGATGTGGCCGTCCTGATATGTAGTTTTGGAGCTGCCTCCAGGTGCATGGCAATCTTGGCGAGTGTCCTCTCATCTTTGTCTGGATCCACAGTTAGCGGTGTCGTCTCAGTAGTAGTCATTCGTGGTTCAATGCAATTCCACAATCCCTCATACTTTAGAGCCATCTTCATGTCAAATTTCCAACTGGCATAGTTGGCTGACCCTTTCAACTTAGAAATTCCAGGGGCTGATGTGGAGTATATAACTTTGTCTCCCATCATAGTAATTAATAAGTGTTCATCCAATGAAATTTACTATAATATTTCTTAAACACTTCTCTTCAAAAATTAAACTGTTCAAAATAGGCCACAGAGAACATGTTACAGTAAAAGTGAAACTGGGCCCATAACCACTTGTTTATAATTGATTTTCCTTTATAATAATAGGAGTAAAATGACTACACAGTATGGTTTCTAAAGTCCATAGTGGAAGTGATGTTTATTTACAACAAATTAATAAACATAGCAATCACATGGCATATAATTAACACATGACAGCTGCTTCTAACTTAGTACCAAGAAGGCAATGAGGAACAAGATTATAAATAAATTCCAACATTTATCATTATGTCTTGGTGTTTATCCCACTACAACAAATAGCCTACCCTCTTATCCTGTCATTTCCTGATTTCCACCTTGAAATTAGTAAAGGAGTGATTTTTGCTCCGTCTCGTCTTGATTTTTGGAATTCCCACAGACCCCTGGTATACATGCATGGTACACATTATATATGTATGATTTTTTGCTAGGTACGCAGCAGTATATCTAGCTGCAGGTTTGGAGAACTTGTTGGAAGAGATCATTCTGCAGTGCCTACCATCCAAGCCTGACACTGTGTTGACAGCCAGCATGTTTGAACACTCCATAGCCAACAACGGAGACCTGTGGGGACTGTTGCAACCCTACGCTCACCTCAACACCGGCCGCACCGCAGCTGGTGAGTAGTAATCTCACTGTCACAAACAGACAAGGTACAGAGGAAACATTCAATGGGACACTTAAATGGACTAACACTAAAACTATTTTTAGCATGTTTAGCCTCTGGATCACGTAATTTACTAATAAAAAGGTTAAATACCTGTAGTACTGTCAGTGATCCTGGAATTTAGGTCAGCGACCCAGGTTTTGAACCTAAAGGTTCATTTTCAAGCAGGTACCAGTTAAAAACAGTTATAACGACTCTCCACAATTATGAAGAGGATTATGTTTTTTTAACTGGTACCTGCTTGAAAATGAACCTTTAGGTTCGAAACCTGGGTCGCTGACCTAAATTCCAGGATCACTGACAGTACTACAGGTATTTAACCTTTTTATTACTAAAACTATGTTCAACCACCATCCACGGTGGAGGAAGACCTTGTGCTTTGTGTGATAGGAATTTTTGCCCAGTACTCACCCTTCGGGCTCTTCCTTGCTCGTTAAAAGTATATTTCCGACACGACAAACCAGAACTGAAAGCGCACGGTTGTCCCAGAATCGTGTTTCTGTACCTAACTTCTCTGTGATAGAACTTATTTATCTTTGTAATTCACATTGTTGAAACTTCAATGAGACAGTTTTTAGTCTTCTAAAAAGTCATTTTGGTACAGTGATGTGACAAATCGAGTATTTAGTCTACTTAGGTAAAATTTACTAGATTCTTCTTTTGACTCGAGTTTTCTACTTGTCAGTAGTCAACACCTGCACTGCTGATTCATTGTGATAGATCAGAGAATGATTCCAGCTCAAGTCCTTAGGCCTCAATATTCATTGATGATGACTCATAATAGTGATTCTGAAAACTATCCCCGAGTATTCATTTAACACATTTATCAAGCTGTGTAGACCAAATGACAAATGTGACCTTTGTGACAGTTAGCTAATGAACTCTTATTCTAACATAGCTTAACTGTATCTGTTTCCAAAAAGACTCCATAGCGTCCATCTGGATAGTAGAGGTTACTTCCACACTTTCAAAGTTTTATTGAAATGTAAAGTGTTTGTTCTGTAATCCAACCTGTTTGAGGATCTGCATTGCTTTTGATTTCAACTAAATTTTTTTTTTTCATAATATGTTGGTGCAGACAAGCCTTGTATGGTTTTTGCACCTATTGTATAATATGCATGTTGTCGTAACCTAACGTTACGCTAGAAAAGTGGACAAAACAGCAAGAGAACCACTTACGTTCGTTGGTGGACATAGAAGAAGGAGCCGTGACGAATCATCCCACTTCAGGGCTCAGTGCACAGTGCAGCCACCCCGCAAAACATAATAACTCTTCCGTTACTAATAATTATGACTGTTCATATATGAAACTATAATGACTTCTACTACACTCGTCTTCCCCATAAAAAAAAGTCAATATCATAAATTCAAAATTAATTCAACTTTCAAAATAAAATAAATTCACTTTCAATAAAATGCAACCAAAACTTCTTCTTCCCATTATTCATTAATAATTTTACAAGTCCAGCCTGTGAGGCTTTCGCACAGTCCGTGCAGACTTCCTCAGCGAGGGTGGTGGGCTGCACTGTGCTAGCGGCAACGCAGGCGTTGGCTGAGGCTGGGCTTGCCCTAGGCTCTCCCTGGGACTGGTAGTAGGCCTAGGTACAGGTGACATCATCATGGGACTAGTTGGTCGATCCTCCGGCGGGGGTGAATTCTTGGGTACTTGGGGTGATACAACGGGATCCTTGGGTGATACAAAAATCTCCTCCTCTTCTGCATACCGAGCTCTCAAGTGATCCGCATGACAAAATCGGGGTTTTCCACCAATAACACTCACCAGATAGGTGACCGGACTTCTCTTTAGAATTATTTTGCCAGGAACCCAAGATATCTTTTCATTTCGGACAGTTTTGACATAGACTGCCTGACCTTCTGAGAAAAATCTGCTTCTTCCCCTAAGCCTATCAGCTGCCTCTTTTTGTTCCCTGTGTTTTTGATCAATGGATGACTGGAGATTGGGTTTTAACATAACCAACTGAGTACGAGGCTTCCAAGACAGGAACATTTCTGCAGGGGTTAAGCCAGTAACTGTATTTGGAGTGTTGCGGTACGCAAACAAGAAATTATCTAATTTCATTTGAAGAGTGGTACGCTGAGAACGCTGATGTTCCTCAATCACTTGACGCAAAAGGTTTTTCTTGACCTCCTGAACACTTCTCTCCGCAGATCCATTTGAAGCCGCATGATACGGGGGAGTTAATATGAACTTCACATTGTTGTTATGCAAAAAGGTTTTGAACTCTTGACTAGTAAAAGATCTTCCGTTGTCCGACACCAGTTCGACAGGCAATCCATACGATGAAAACAAGGTACGGAGTTTCTCAATAACCTTGGAAGAATTCATGGAACTCATGATAAATACCTCTATCCATTTAGAGTATGTGTCAATCAAAACTAAAAGTTGCTGTCTCGACTCTGGATCCTCCGCAAAGTCAATGTGTATCCTCTGCCATCGGGTTGATGTTGTAGGCCATTGCTGCAACGGTACTTTAGGTATCGAATTCCTAGTTAACTGACACGCAGAACAAGAGGCCACCACGTCTTCAATCGACTTCTCCATGCCTGGCCACCAGACATAACTTCTCGCCAGCATCTTCATGCGTGTAACTCCCGGGTGTTGATCATGCAACATTTGAAGCACAGATGAATACAGTTTCTTTGGAATCACTACACGAGAACCCCACAGCAAACAACCTTGTTCCACGGACAACTCGTCCTTCTTCCTTAGAAAAATAGCTAGTTCCGGCTCAACCGAGCTCGTCCAGCCGTACATCACAAAATCTCGGACCTTCGAAAGAATCGGATCCTTATCCGTCATTTTACCTATATGCAAGGCAGTAATAGGTGCAATGTCCTTGACAACACAGAAATTGTTCATCACTTCTGTACACATATCTACATGTGAAACAAAATTAGCATCCAGCTCTATAGGTTCCGCTTCTGCTAAGGGTAACCTAGACAACGCATCAGCGTGAGGGACATCCACTCCCTTCCGGTACCTAACCTCCAAATCATATGCTGATAGAATCAAGGCCCATCTCTGCAGCCTAGCTGCCGCCATACTAGGAACGCCCTTTTTAGAGCCAAAAATAGCCGTCAACGGCTGATGATCAGTCTGTAGAATACAGTGTCTTCCATATATATACTTATGAAACTTTTTGACTCCAAAGATCAAAGCCAGAGCCTCCCGATGTAACTGAGAATAATTCCGTTCACTGGAACTTAGCGTTTTCGATGCGAAGGCAATTGGCCTTTCCTGACCATTGATAAGATGAGATAGAACAGCAGCCACCCCTCTGGGACTCGCATCACACGTCAGAACTATGGGCTTTTTCACATCATAGTGAACTAACAAACTTGAGTCCAACACCCATGATTTACTCTCCTGAAAAGTCTTAGAACACACCTCCGACCACACCCATGGATGATCCTTATGTAATAAGTCATAAAAACAGCTTATTCTAGCAGACAGGTTAGGTATAAATGCATGATAATAATTTATTAGACCAATATAGGCTCGTAACTCTTCCTTAGTACTAGGCTCAGGCGCTTTACGCAGCGCAGTTAACAAACTTTCTTGTGGACGGAGACCATCTTGAGTAATCACATGTCCTAAATACTCGATTGAAGATTGCAAAAACTTACACTTTTGTTGGTTTACTCGAACACCAAACTCATCAAGGCGTTGCAGCACCTGCGCCAGACGGGCAAGCCCCTCTTCCTTAGAGCGAGCCGCCACTAAGACGTCATCTAAGTACGCCACCGTTCCTGGAAGACCTGTTAAAATTTGGTCGATGGCTGACTGAAAAATTGCAGGAGCTGAAGACAAACCATATGGTAGCCTTTTTAAACGATACAGACCCTTATGGGTAGCTAGGGTCAACAGATGTTGCGATTCATCCGCTACCGCCAATTGCTGATACGCATTTGAAAGATCAAGGCAGCTAAAAACTGAGCAACCGCCTAGAGTTGCAAAAATATCTTGAGCCTGTGGAAGCGGATAATGTTCCATTTCAATACACTGATTAAGAGTAATCTTATAATCGGCACAAAGCCTAACACCATTAGGCTTAGGGACAACCACAAGTGGAGTGCTCCACTGTGAATTAGTAACTCTGTACGCAACATCCTCTTGAACCATGCGGTCCAACTCACTCTCAACTTTCTCCCTTAACGCAAAAGGCACTGGTCTCGCCTTACAAAACTTAGGGACTGTCCCCTCCTTTAAGACAATATGAGCCTTAACACCCTTAATTTCGCCCGTTCCAGGCTGAAAAACTGACTTAAATTTACTCTTCAATTTAGCAATGTCCAAATCAGAACTGTGATCCACAGTGGCTTTACATGAAAACACATTTTGCCAATCTAACCTCAACTGGCCTAACCAGTTTCGCCCCAACAGAATCGGCTGACTCTTACTTTCTAAACTAACTACTGTCAAAGGCAAACTCGCCTGCTGATTATTATATTTAACATTGACATTCACTTGTCCCAGAACAGGTACATCATGACCTGAATAAGTAGTAAGTTTCACATTTGCTGGCCTAAGTTTGAGGTTAGAAAATTTTTCATAAAATATCTCAGAAGGACATATAGTCAAGGCACTGCCTGTATCTAGAATCATTTCTAAATATACATCATTAGCCACTAGGCCTACCTTATAGCCGTTGTCTGATCCTGATTTAAGGTTGTACAGACCTATCTCTGCCATTGGAACTTCTAGGCCTAGGCCTACCTCTTCCTCCACTTGATGGACCCCCATCCTAGGTGTCGACTTTTTACCATGGAAACTAGAAGATTTCTTGGCTTTACACACTTTCTTGAGATGACCTATTCTCTGACAACCGTGACACTTGTAACTGGCGAACGCACACGCACTAGGCCAATGACCCGCAGAACCACACCTCCAGCAAGAGTTTCTAGAATTTTGATTTTCACTACTCCTATTCACGAAAGTTTTAGGCCTATTTTGACTTTTCACATTGATTTTCGCAATGTCCCCACGAGGTTGCACAAATAGGCTTGACTGCGATTCGGCCTGTTCCAGCCTGAGCGCTGACGCATAAGCTTCGTCAAAGTCCAATTCCTCCGACAACAATTTCTGCCGGATAGTTTCATTAGAAATGCCGGAAATCACTTTGTCCCTCAAAGCGTCTTTCAAAAAGGTACCAAATTTGCACGAACTAGCCAAATGTTTTATTGAAACCACAAACTCCGCTATGCTTTCGCCCGGCTTTTGCACACGAGAGTAGAATACATATCGCTCCGCCACAACCAACTTCTTGGGCGCATAATGTAATTTCAACAACGCTGCAAGTTCATCATAGGTCTTAGAATCTACCTCTACCGGTGATAATAAATCGGATAGGACCGATAAAACCCTGGGACCAATAACTGTAATTAAAACCGACACCTCGTTCTCCTTCTTGACATTGTTCGCTTTGAAAAAATGTTTCAGGCGCAACAAATAGGGCACAATGTCCTCCTCACTTGGATTAAATTCAGAAATCCTGCCAACACTAATACTCGCCATTTTTAATCATCTCAACTATAATACGCACTAAAACAACAACTGTTATCGCGTACTACCCTAACTATGATAAAAAGGTTTATTACCGACTGCGCCAAAATGTCGTAACCTAACGTTACGCTAGAAAAGTGGACAAAACAGCAAGAGAACCACTTACGTTCGTTGGTGGACATAGAAGAAGGAGCCGTGACGAATCATCCCACTTCAGGGCTCAGTGCACAGTGCAGCCACCCCGCAAAACATAATAACTCTTCCGTTACTAATAATTATGACTGTTCATATATGAAACTATAATGACTTCTACTACACATGTATTCATTATTATTGTTCAAATGTTCAATAAATAAATCAATTGATTGATTGAAATGGTTTTATTTTTGCTTACAAACTACTATTCATATGCTAGGCTTTACACAATTAATCATCTAGAACGTAGCTAATTAAAATGATCCAGCATTTATATTTTCCATTTAATGTTTTTTTATGCTAAGTTTACATAATTTAAACAATTCAAAACTAAAAAAAAAATTTTAATTTGTTCTTTGTTTTACAGCATGACAACAGCTAGACCAATTCTTCATCTCTTGTTAAATTTGTATTGCAATATCCCACATTTTAAAAAGTTTTGTGTTATTTTACCTAACACAGAAGTAACCTCCGCATTTGCCTGGCTGTGTTTAAAAATCTGTGTGCCAAAGCAAGGTTTAGTGACTCAAAAGACTTTAAAATATAACCTACATCAGTGTGTCCTGACTGCAGGTACGTTGGCATTGCCCCGGTGGGCCTCTGTGTCCAGTGTGATGACTGACTCCACAGTGCAGAGCAGTCAGACCCAGGACCAGTCACTGCTCACTACATGTGTCGGCTCAGTCACTGAGCTGAGCGAGCTGCTCGCTCGCACCACCAGCTCGCTACCTCTCAACACTCGACACATGACGTGGTCTAACCAGGCCATCCAGGCGCTCTTCTACTTTATGCGCTGCTCCCAGGTCAGTGACAAGAAAATGATTTATTGCTGCAAAATATTTACAGATGTGATGACATATTTATATTAAGTACATTATCTGAAAATGTATAGCGTAGAAGAACAAATTTGGGAGTGTGTGGTGTGGATACCCCGCGGTGTAGTTAGTGTTTCAGATTTTGGTACCAAGATGGATTTTTGATTCCAGTCATATCCCCAACAATATAGATCTCATCCAAATATTCATTTCTCTAGTGGGCTAATGACTTGTTTTTACTTATTTCCCTAACACTGTTTAATAGTGATGTGGCGTTGCCTGAAGACAGTTATTTTTGGTACCACTGGTTGTTAAAAAAGCACAAGTATTGAGAACTGTCATTAAAATGTGGGTAGTCGGAAAATATAACTGAAATGCACCAGTAATAAATGCTGGCTTGGCCATAGATTGTTCAAAAATTAAAATTTCCTGAAGTTATACAAAATTTACAGTTAACACAGTTTACAGAATTTTCAACTCATCAAACATCACATTGAACTCAGTTCATCTGAAGTTTTCTCAGTTTATCAATCAGCTGGCGTCACTAAAATTTTTACTTAATTTATAAATAAAAACTGTAGTCCTTACAAACAAAATAATATGATATGTCTCCCCGCACTAATGTTCTAGTAACTCTCCACAATATAATAATGTGTTATAAAAAAAACCCAAAAGAACGTCATAGGCTGTTGACTGATATTTCCGCTGGACATGTGATATCTAATTGCCTCGTTGCTTTGTTCAGTTGGAACACTCTGGCCCTGTACAAGAACTGGTGTATGAGAGAGCCTACGTGGTGTTGCCGCCTCTGGTGGAGTGGATACGTACTACGACGGCTCACACCGAGTACAGGCACGCCACTGTCATAGACCAGGACGATGTGATGCAAGCAGCGCGGCTACTGCTGCCCGGTGTGGACTGTCCGATAAGACAGCCTGGGTAAATATATTAGATAGCTTGTGCCACACTTATCATACCAAGATTCATGTTCAAGACTAGACAAGGATCAACTATAAACTCAGATTTCATCATCAGATCTACTCCCAGGTGTCGTAATTTTAAAATGTGTAATTAAAAACCTTAATGTCTCTAAGGTTTCAATAAGTTTTGCCAAAAGACATTTTATTAATAGTTAATTTAAATTCACAGATGTTTCAATTGTTTTACAAATGAAATTGAATTTTATTTTATGTTTTTTAGAATAGTTTACATTATCTTGAAATATTGAGTTTTGACATTGAAGTACTCAATTATTGTAATATGTAAGACGGCAACAGTAAAAGTACAATACCAAAGTAAATCACACATTCAGACAAGGTGGTTAAAGCTGTGCCACATGTTGCTTAGTCGCTTTGGTGGTCGATGCAGTATTTTATTTGCAAAAAATTTGGGATGGACGGGATTGAATTTTTAGTTCGGGACGGGATTTTTTCTGTGCATAAAAAGAAAGTCTTGAGTATTGCAGTTACCAAAAGAGACAAACAAAATCAATTTTTACCATTTGTGGCACTAAAATCAACACAATAAAAATCACAATAAAAACCAAATGGGTAAATATTTACAGATAAAGAAACTTGTGACTCGCGGTCAAAATGACTCGCAGTCACGGTGCGATCATCAAAACAACTTGCGGTCACGTTGTGATTGTCGGTATGACTCCGCGGTCACGGCGCGATCATCGAAATGACTTTGCCTCCTGCGTTTGCGGAACTATTGTGATCATCTCTCTCACTCGCGGCAATATCAGCAACGATCGGATCAAACCCCGTCCCGTAAAATTCCCGAATCAAATGTAATCCCGTCCCAAAAATCAAGAATATTTTTTTCCCAAAATTTTGGGACCCGTCCATCTCTATAAAAAATTCTAACTGACCTTGTTTTAGTAAGTTTATACCGTAATTGAAATGTGCCACCAACAGAGTACACTGATATCAATTCCCAATTTCTAATGAATAAGCAAACTTTTAAACCAAGCAAAACTAAAAGAACAACCTGTTTTAAAAACATATTGTTAACACCAGCATGTTGTATACAACAATCAAAGTATAAAAAAAAGTATTTTGAGTTTGACAGCACAGTAGACTCCCTCTTATCCGGATACCTTTTAACCGGACATCGGATTAACCGTACTAAACTCGGCGGAAATGACATTTGTTTAACCGGACAATTTTTATCAGCACATTGGTTTAACCGGACTAGATCGGCAGGAAGTGGGCAGTACTGAAACGACTGTTCTCGTGGGAAAGATTTGAGACCAGTGACCACGTGTCTAAATACAATGCTCTCCTAAATTTAAGTCGAATATCACAGTAAACAGTCCGTTTTAATGAGTTTTTGGGGACGTCGGTTTGACCGGAAAACCCGTTATCCGGACTGGCTTCGGTCCCGAGGAGTCCGGATAAGAGGGAGTCTACTGTGAATGAATGAAACCAGTGCTTTATTTTCATTTAAAAAATACATTACAAAAGAATAAGATTTTTTCATAAATAACTCTTCCATATACAAATAAAATATCTACATACAACCTTGAATCACATTTATTCTAGCGTTTTTTACCTTATTATCATTTTGTTTTGTTTACTGCACTATATCAGCATTAACCCAAAGGACTGTCAGCTGGGCTGGCAGCTTTCATGTTAATTCATGAAATATACAGTCTACTGTATATTAATTTAACATTATAACAATATATGATTGGCTCATCCAAATATGTTGCATTTCATCAAAATGGGTGACTTGCATTTCATCAAAGTACAGAGCCCATTGCAAACCCTTGTTTATTCAGGAAAAAATACTCACTGTTTTTAATTTATTTATTTATGTGTGTCTTGTTTATATAAAAGTTAATATTAATGCTGTAGCCTTGAGATCACATTCACATAGTTATTTTACTAGACATAGGAATAATTTAGAGTTACCTTTAGTCAGGCTAACAAAGTCACAAGAATCTTTTTCTTATATAGGGTTAAAGATGTTTAATCGTTTGCCAGCTGAGGCACACTGTGTTGATCTTAAGTTATTTAAAAGTAAACTTTTTTGCTGGTTATTAAATCACCCTTTTTATAGTTTAAGTGAATTTTTCATGTCTGACATTGATATTAGTTTTTAGTTTCTGACTGATGTAGGCCTTAAATCTGTGTAACTTACTTTGTTGTTTAAATTATTTAAAGTAGCCTAGTTATTGAATGTTATAGGCCCTAATGCTAACCACTGGACATTTCATATTGACCTCAACTATACAAAATGTTTTTTTTTTGTAATTTGTTGTAATAAATTCTTGATTCTTGATTCTTGATTCTTGGGTTATTGCTGGTCCATTTATGGAGTGTCTACTACAATAATGGGATCGAGCTGGTCTAGTTCTAGGCTTCAAAGCCCGAGATCCCTGGTTCAAATCCTGCCAATCACCAATGGATTTAATCTAAGTGATAATGCCGCAACCTGCAACCCTCTAGGACTAGCGTGAAGTTATGTGTAAAATAAATTAGGGCTAGAACCTAGCGTCCTAGGATGAAATGCTATAACTGTCTGTTTGCAGGTGTGATGAAAGTGTGTGTAGTCGGAGGCCAGGCGAGGAGGCAGATTCTGTACGGAGACTGAAAGTGTCCGTAGCGTTCCGCATGTTGAGCTCTGGAAACCGAGACATAGTGCCGCACGCTCTTCAGCTCCTACCCAGCACTAAGGTAGGCTTATGAAAGTAGCTACAAAGGTTTCTATAGGATACAAATTATGGTCATTTTCATTCCCATTTTCATTTCCAAATGTTGAATTTTTAAGGACGTTAAATAGGCTGGTTATTTATTTGCCATGTAAAATTATTTTGCAACTGAACCACCACAGGGTAAATTGTTTAGTTTTATACCATTTTTGAAGTCTTATTTTACAAAATCATTCTACTTGTATTGTATCATTGCTATAGCTTTTTTTTTATATATATTTAAATTTAAATTTTATCCAAATTGATTTGACTTGTTCTTGTTACTTCATATAGATGTATACCAAAATAAATGTTTGTTTTCCCTAAACAACAAACAAAAAAAAGCTAGACACCATAATACTAGCCTATACAAATTTTTTTTTTAATTAAATATTCTTTATTGTCTTTTTAATTTTTACAAATTATCGACAATGTGATATAGCTAAAATTATAGCTTTGTCAATTAATGAATACAATACTTAAGCTAACTAAACAAAATGAGACATATTACAATACTTATTTTAAATATTACAACTGAAGAATCTTAATTGTTATAAAAATTGTCTAAACTATAAAACGGGTTATTGGTCAGCCAACAAAAAAAATTATTCTTGAAATCCGTTATAGTGTGTGATTTAACTATGGATTCAAGAAAGTTATACATTTTAAGTGACAAAACTATGTGCCTATTTAGAGTTTTACTTAAACGATGGAATTCTATTGAGGTATGGTTCTTATTTCTGATATTATGATTAAAAATGTTGTTTCTAAATAAGATGTTGATTGTTCAAGATGTAAACTAAGTAATAAAATAAACGTTAATAACAGTAGGAATTTGAAGATTTTGAAAAAGTAATTTGCTATGGTGTGCTTGTTTTTCATGACCACAGTGGCCAACTTTTATGATCACTCCAGGTTAAATTTAAACTGACATTTTCTCTTCCACCTACTCTCAGAGGAAGTCCTAATCAGGACAAAATACCAGTGTTATGTGAGGTACCAAATTTTAAGGGGGGTAAAAAAACGTACTGCTAATCAACAAACACCATAACTTACCAGTTTTCATCCACAATAGCCTACTCCTAGGCCTATGTGTTGGCCATAGCTTGGGCTATGGGCCAAAGAACGTAAGCCTACTTTTAATAACAGTGAAGTACACAAACACACCCACACAACTACATATTTATTCATAATAGCACTTCGTTTCCCATAATAAAGATAACCGACCGACTTACCCGTATTTATCACTGACGATGACGACATAACCTCAAACTGGTGTTTGTTGATTGACGATGACAGACGATAACTAGACCGAATCCCCGATCAGCTGTTGGCTAGTTTCCAAAATCACCACCGGAGCGCTTAAGCCGCGGCCGAGGAAATCGGGATTTGAGCCGGACAAGATTTATTCGCTGTTTGACCACCGACCAGCTCACAGGAGTTACGAATACAACAACGACAAGCTACGATATTATTACGAAGGTTAGCTACCATACTAGTTAGGCTCCTTTTTACGTTTTACGTTATTTCTGTTTTATCTTACGCAAACTTAACTTATTATACCTTTTCGTCTTCTTAAAATTCTGTTTCGAATTATCTAAATTTAATATCTTAACTCGAGTTTTGACCCGCCAGTTCCTGCCTGCCACCTGCCAGTGACTAGCGGTGGCGATCGTCTATTTTATTTTAGTTAATTAGTTTCGAAATTACGATTTCTTCGTTCGCTTAACGAGTAATTGTTACTTGGATTATTTGAGTTAATTTGACGTTTTGATACCCAGAGACTTGTAGATTGAGTTCTAAACCCCGTCTGTGGCGGGTGAAATAATCAAGTCTGGGAGTTGTCTGAGTTAAACAATCAGCTACGAATATTAGTATAAAATCCATTTTAAACTTTATCACGATAAATTCTACATTCAATCGTATTAATTAGGCCCCGACGACTCTGTAGGAATTGTTTTACCTTACATTCGATATTATATCAATTACCAACGTCCTTAACCATTTATTTTAAAGTTCAACATGAGTATTTTACTGCATTGGCCCAGATTGAATACTCGTCGGCCCTACAGAGTCATTCTAAAAGTTAGGCAAATTTCTCTACAACACGTTAGCGAAGGCTGGGATGATATAGCTCCAACTGGGCGCTGGATTTCCTGAGCGCTTCTAGAGCTCTGAGCCTTTGATTAAATTTTAATAAATTGATCAGTCAGAAGCTGTGACAACTTCGTATCGACCCCTGGATTTTTCTCGGCTCCTTCTGAGCACTCCGGGGAAGAAATTTGATTGTGGCCGGTTCTAAGGGTAGGCCTAGCCTGACTTAGGTGAATACTAGTTTATTCCCCCCCTAGAATTTTGCGTCACAGTTATGTTTTGTGAGCCTGTGGCTCAGTCGGTAGCGTCGCGGACTTCGGGCCCAAGGCAGCGATGTCGTGGAGTCGGATCCTGGTCACTGCCACTAAAAGATTTATCAGTGCAGTTCACCTTTGTACTGTACCGGCTAACTCCTTGCTTTGCTGTAAACGTTCCACGCACGGGCGCTTGGTTTATGTGGACGGGCAAATGCAAAGGTTAAAAGTAAGAGGCCGCCAACCTCTTTTGAAAAAAAAATCTTTTATTGTGTATTTATTAGCCCTTAGACTCTAGTTTTCTCAGTTTAGCTAGCTGAACTCATCTCCTTGCTAGCCTTTTGGCTTTCCTTTGCGTAAAATTATAAGATTTTTGTCTAACACCAAGATGTTCATGAGATTTGACCAAAAAAGATTTTATCTTTTAGTTGTATCCAAGAATGTTTTAATAGTTTGTATCCTCACCAGGCAGAGTTTGTTACAGTTGAACACGCTGTGTGACAGTGGGCTGACACCACTGATGTTGGCAGTGTTGTCTAACGATGAGACCACAGTCAGATGTCTGCTGGAGTTTGGCTGTGACCCGGACGTGGAGACTCCACCCCAGGGCTCTCCGGTAAGTAACCTGAGACTAACCAACACAAGTAGGCTTCTCATCCCATTGTAAATTTTGAAGCTCGTTTTTTCTGTCTAGTTCATGGTACGGTGACACTGGGCGCTAGTGTAGACGAAATTTCGTTTGGATTATTTTAAGGTTAATCTCATGAATTGAACTTTAATGTTTGGTTATATAACTAGGGGACGAGTTGTTGTTTATGATTAGATCGTATAATTATGTTAAATGAGGTTTTAAATTACTGAAATAACAAGAAACAAATTGTAAACAAAACATGGTCTCACTCTACAGTGGCTTCAGAAGTTCCATAAGGATAAGAAATCTACTAAGGGAGTACATTTTATCTATGATAATACTTTCTAAGAAACCTTGATAGTTCTTGAGCGGAAATATCGACTGAAAACTCTGTATCTTTTGTTTTATTAGTTTTCAATATTTTTAATTGTCATGTTGTTATTTGTTTAATGCATTTGGTATTTTTCCGTTGTTTGTGGTAGCTTATTTTTTCCACAAATGTATATATTTTCAGTTATGATACAAAATAATTTAACAGTCCACTACTGAACAAAATCATGAAACTATTTATATGGAAAATTGTTTAGTTGTTCTCTTTCAAGTAATTAAAACTTTGTAGGGATGGTCAAGTCTCGAAATTTCGGGAAATTTTCGGGAAATTTTAAATCTCGTTACACGAGACGAGATTTCTTTTTGGCAGAGATTTTTATCAAGACGAAAATAAAAAAAAATAAAAAATTAAAAAAAATTAAAAACGCCTGCAGAAAGTCAATGCAATACCCGCAATACAGGAGCGTGTTGTAGTTGCGTTTCCTTTGCGAAGGCGTTCTTATTTAATTAATTCTTCAAATAATGTAAAATTACTTTAATTATTTTAATAACATTTGAGAAGTTTTTATAAGTGTTAGCAGTGTGAGGAATGTTTTATTACTATAAAAAAAGTCAAAACAAGTAACTATTTTATAAAAATTAATATTTTATTTTATGATTTATTTTATTTTAGGATAAGTTGAACTCTATCCTAACTGATATCACTATGTTTCCTAATCGTAGGCATTTTTAATAATTTAGGCGTGATTAATAAAAAAATGTTATGCTGATGTTTTTTAACAAAAGATTGTAAATATTCTTGCCTATTATCATTATTTTTGTGTTTAATTAGTCATCTAACAATGTTACAAAATCAGGTAAAAATTCCGAACGTGCATTTCCCGTTGTGTATGAGAAGGGAAATCCCGTCTCGATCTCGTCTCGAAATTTTATGAGAAATAAAAAATCTTGTCTCGTCTCGTCTCGAACTTAAAATCCAATCTCGTCCATCCCTAAAACTTTGTTGTATTTTTTTATGAAATATAATTGTTTCTCCAGCCTTTTGTTAAGTTTAATCTTCATACTTCGGTTATGCTCTAGTTCCGACTATTTAGTCCAGTATCTTTATTTTTTGTCTAATTAAAATAATCTCTTAGTGACAAAAATATAATGTAATGAGAATTAAATTTGTATACTGTCTTATGCTCTTTGTATATTTAATTTTTCCATTTCCCTTATTGTCCATCCTCTTGATCGACTCCTACACCTGTCCGGGAACCACCTAGTTATGATGAAGGACCAGCCGGATTAAAGAGAGTTCACTGTATTTGTGTTTGATAGTACAGTTAACTTTTGCCAGATTAAAGACATATCTCAATATAATTTCTACTGATGTGTTTTCTCGTAGGGTTGCCCCACAGTACAGGCGGAGACACAACACTGGACGGCGCTGACTTACGCGGCGCTGGTAGGCAACGTGACCATCGCTAAGCTGCTGCTAGACCGCGGGGCTCACGTAGAGGGTGGCGCAAGACTGAGCGAGGAACGGTGCACGATCACACCCTTGCAGGTAATGGAAGCCTTCAATCTATTGTGGGTAATCAGGAGTTGACATTGTAGAATCAAGAGTTATGGAATGTGGTAGAAATTGTCCAACCTCTTTATGATCAACCACAACTGTTATGACAAGAGTGGATATTTTATGTTTTTGGTTTGACATTAATTTAGGCCTATATGAAAAATTAATTGTCGTAGGTTAAACTGTTCTTAAATGGGCACATAATAATATACATTGTGGTCACTGACCCAAAAAAATCCTTTGCCTTTTGCGCTGTGTATATAACTTAGCTGATATATACGTACGATAAACGTAAGGGAGAGTAATAACAGGTAATTAGGTACTGACAACTGAGGACATTCAGGATCCTCAGAGCCAGAGGGGGAGACAATGACATGGAGGGATGTAGCGGTTTAGTAAGTCCAAGAACAGAAATGTTGAGTGTAACAGTTTGTCACTTGCAACAAGTTTACAGTTTATTGATGAAGATTGCAATTGCATGGACTGTGGACCAGAATCTTGAGTAATCGTAACCAGGATCTTCACAAATTGATTTTTTTGCAGTCTTTAACCTTAATTAATAGTATTTGGAGCAAAAATCATGTGTGTTATTCTATAGGATTAATATTAAATACTAAACAGAGTGAGAGTACAGTACGTTGATGTTGTATGTTGTTTGTTGTTTGCAGGTGGCGTCTAGTTATGACAACCTAGAGATGGTATCACTATTGTTGTCTCATGGGGCCCATCCCTTCCTCTCTACTCTGCTCAAAGACTCTCTTTGCTACTCCGGCTCAGCACAGAGAGGCTGTTATAGGTATGTTGAGTTTTGTTTCGATTGACTTTGAAATACAGATAGGTGCTCATTTATATGTGTAAATCAGTTTCTGTATCATATTTAGTAATAAAAATGTAGAAAATATTTGCTCTACTGTAAAATGATTGGTTTTGTTTAAGGAAAGGCTCTAGGCTAGGATTTTAAATTGTAGAAAAAGGAGGTTAGCAGCTAGCTTACCTTGAAAGTGTGGGTAGGCCATAGAACAAGTAGAAAAATTAGTGTAGAAAAAGAAGTGTGCATAGTGTTTTTCTACTTGTTCTATGGCCTACCCACACTTTCAAGGTAAGCTAGCTGCTATCCTCCTTTTTGTAAAAAAAATGATTGGGTTTTTATAATAAGGGACCACTAGTTTTACTATTCAATTCAATTCAAACAATTTTATTCATGCAATTTTTAAATCAAATACATAATCCCATGTGCCATGCAAAGCACACGCGGGATGAAAAACACATTTTTATTAATACATTTCATTTTCTTGTTTCTGGCAGCAAACAGTTCATTTTTCCTTCTTTGTCACTTTAACAGAACAGTGAGTAGACATTTCCTATTGCAACAGTTTTAATCATATAAATAACACTTATGTTATAAATAAACAAATTAGAATAATTTAATAAGAACACGGTTTTTAGAAAGACAATAAATTCTACATGCAAATATAAATAGTTATTTATCTAAAACAAAGCTAAACATAAGTTACAGATTATTTATGCTATATTATGATTGATAGAAAACAACAAAGCTTTTGACTTTATCACAGACCTATTATCATTATAAACTTCATTACCGAACATTTTTACAAACGCATTAAAAAATTTTGGACCAAGACAACAAAACTGATGCCTACTAGTTTCCTTTTTCAAAAAGCTTTCTGCTAACAAGTAATATTGTGCTGATCGAGATATTCTATTGACAGGTTTCATATTAAACATGTACGGATATTTAAAAACAAACATAATCAAACAGTATACGTGCAATTGATTGAAGGTTAAAAGTTTTTCTTGTTCAAAAAGATAACTTACTCTATCATATTTTTTTAATCCAAAAACTGTCCTGAGTGCATGTCTTTGGTTTGTGATGACAGGTTGTAATATGGTAGGATAAGTACCCCCATAATGTACTATTCCATATCTCATTACACTTTCAAACCAGGAGATGTATACCTTTTTTAAATGCTCACTCCTAATGTTGTCTCTTAAGTGATATAAAGCATAATTTATTTTCCTTAATTTAATTGAAAGTTGTTTTACATGCTGCTCCCACTTTAAATGATGATCAACAAACAATCCTAGATATTTAACATATTCTACTACTTCAATACAACTGCAAGAACAATTATACAAACAAGAGTGTTTATGGCACAATAAATTAAATTCATTTTGTAAATTTTCTCGTGATTGATTATAATCAAAGAAAAATAAACATTTAGACTTTAAGGAGTTTATTAACAATCTGTTTTCAACTAGCCAATTTGATATCTTGTGTAAATCTTTTCTTATTTTTAGTTTCAGCGACTCTTTATTGAAAGCTGAGCACACAAGAGCTGTGTCATCAGCATAGGCAAATATTTTTGAATATAAATCAAGCTCCAGCAAGTCGTTTATATATATATACAAAAAATAATGGGGCCCAAAACCCCTCCTTGAGGGGTGCCAAATTGCAAATCAAGCACTTCACTCAAAACATTATTAACTTTAACAGCCTCAGGGTTGCCACCAGCCATGAAAACCTTGAAAAGCGTGAATTATGCATGAATTTAGGTGACCATGAAAAAGTGCGTGAATTATGCGTGAATTTCGCCATTGGACCATGAATTCTCAAAATCATTATTAATAATTCAGCCAAAACCCCTAAATGTTCTGAATCAAATACTCCGTATTAAAACCATTCTCGAAATGAACACCGAGATAAAACGTCAAAGTGGGAGTGTCAAGATAAAAAGTTTTGTTGCCATGCCACGAACAGAAACGATTGCGTAGTTTATTCAAGGTCAAATCCGATCGTAACCGACGTCAGCCGAGTAGTCTAGAGATGAGAATTATCGTTGTTTTCCGGCAACGGTTATAACGATAACGCAGCTGCCCAATAACGTGTTGCGGCAACCTGTTATTTCAATAACGATTGCCAACTCGTTGCCGCTATAAACCGTTGTCTGCCGGTCGGTGTTGCGGCGTTCAGTTATCGTTGTCGGTTGATCAGTTCAGTTTTCAGTTGTAGTCGGGAATCGGGCGTGGCCCAGACAGGATGCGTTATTCTCACTGAGCTAAAATTATAACTGGAGGTAGCACTGCCATGGCAGAAGTCTGTCAAAAGCGTGTCGCTAATTTTGTTAGGTTGGTATAGCAGTGAGTTTTTTCATCCAATGACATGGCTTCTATAACTAGGTTTGTATGGCAGTGAGTTTTTTCATCCAATAACATGGCTTCTTTATAACTCACACCTCACGCAAACATGGCGGCTGGCGACACGCATCTTTGACATTCAGTGCTACCTCCAGTTAGAATTATAGCTCATTGGTTATTCTAGTTCGTTTCAGAAGTTATCGTTGCTCTGGTAGCGTTACGGCAACGGCACTAATGGCAATGCATGTTTTCGTTGTCCGCGCGGCTTTTCTGCAACATTGTGTAGATAGATACGTTATTATAATAACAGGGAGTTCTCCGCAACGTGTTGCTGCGATAACGTTGCCGTGGCCACAACACTGTTATTCATCCTGTTATGTTATAACGCCCATCTCTACCGAGTACCGATCTACCGATAAAATCGATGCTTTCGGAGCCAAAACATCGATCACATCGATGTTTGTTCCGAGTTTCTCGTCTGTTCTCTGCACTGTAACAGCCAATTAACCTAAAACCAATACAATTCAGTTACGGAAAACATCAATACTGTATTTCATTACTTTTTTTGGCCTAAAAGACCGATGTAACAAACCAAATCATCAGTTCGGTAATCTACCATCGATGTAAACAAACAACTTCGAACATCGATAGAAAAGACATCGATGTTTCGAAAACATCGACAATCGGAATTGATGCTCGCTGCTCGCTCTCACTCATTCTCCACTCTCTACTCTAGTGTTCGTGTGGAAGGAAATACAGAATAACCATAACCTAAAAGTTTTAAACTGATCTGAAACTTGTCAAACGTTTGAAGTAGTGGTGGACACTGGACAGTAAGATCACTTTTTGCACTCGTGATTCCGTTTTGTGCTTCTTATAATTGATTACCCAACACTCAGTGGAACAAGTGTTTAGATTAAATATTTTTTATTACTGATATATCATACTTACGATAGTTATGCCTATTATTAAGTACCTTGCCTTGCCATAAAGGTCAAAATGGCTTGCTCCGGCTGGAACTTAATCGTCTTCTGTGTTTGTTTGGTCAAATATGTCGTATTTCAAACTACTGTCAGTGTTGAGTACATGTGTTTACCTAACCCGCCATGTTAAACTTCCCTATCCCAAGTGTGATGTATACAACTTCCTTACTTCTCGAGTGATGTAAAGTTGAAAAAAACTCACTCGGTGATGTAATGAAACCCATTTAATTAACATTGAGTGCTTAACTTAAAAAATATACTTCTATGGAGCCAACGACGTTCAACGCTAGTAATCAGCTGTGCTCTTGAATTTTATTGTTTTGTTTTGAAGAATTTTCCTAACCTAGCTTTTGTTTGTACATGAACGTTACTGTTAGAAGATGAGTGAAATGGATAGTGAAAAATATTGTTCGTAACCTCCTGTATATTGTCGGGTCAACATTCACCTGCGTGATGTAAAAACGCTCTTACTACACTTGTAAGGTAAATAGCTATTACAACGTGAGTTTGAGTTTATTTATTTAGGCCTAAGTTGCAAGAAGTCAATGTTGTGCTGAAAAATGGTGATTTCGTTCTGAGGAAGGTAAATGTAAATGTTTTGTTAGAAGCATAGGTGTTTTCAGTCAATACGAATCTAACTAATGAGATGTAAATTTAATTAAATAATTGTTTTAACTGTGATTTAAACCTGTGTAGGCAAATGATAATATATAAACTGATCCAATCGGAAGAAACATCCTTCTAAACTAAGTTTATTTTAACCTTTTCTGTAATGTAATTAATTATTTTTTTATTACTTAAAAGTTAGCCTATGTTTAAACTTACATTTAACTAATCCACTAATATTTAACTATTTAACTAAATATTTATTTACATAATATTACCTTTTTAGAGTGTTTTTATCAGTCAGTCGGTAACCTTTAACCTTCTCAATAAATAAAAGTTGGTTCAGGCCTAACTTAGCCTAGATTCAGCTTTGGATTACAATGTAGGCTAGCCTACTGTGTTACAGTATAAAGTAATAGATTGCATGTGCGTTTTAGTAGGCCTAGATATGGCCCATTACTAAGTTAACCGTTTCTTGATCATGTTCTTAACATTTGTTTTTATTATGCCTATTATCTTAATTATGCGTTATGCCTATTATCTTAATTTGATGTTTAGACAGTAAAGTTCTAGGCCATTGCTGGATTAACTAAGTTAAACCTTTTATGTTTGGATGCAATGATTTTTAGGTTAGGCCTATACCTAACTACCAATCCGACTTATTATTTATTTATTATTTCTTCTAACGTTTGAATTTATCATTAGGCCTAAGTTATGATGTTGTTAAATCAGATGTTTCATTTTTTTTTTAGAATTACGTTGTATTATCACACACAAGATTTTTATTAAATATCCTTTTTCATCTGTGATTTTACTTTTTTTAGACTGGATAAATTTTATTAAATTCTTATTTTTCACTCTAAAATAAACGCATGAAATGTGTTTTATTTTATAGTAGCACACAAAACTATATATTGTCGATAAATTAATGTACAATTCTGAACTAGGCAATACTCTTTTATGGTGAAATTGTGCGAGCATATACCCCATGAATTTTTCAAAACTACCAATGAAAACCTTGAATTATGCATGAATTTTTTTATCTCACTTTGGTGGCAACCCTGAGCCTGCTTTCTTCCTTTACAAAAAGATTGCAACCACTCTCAAGCTCTACCACCTTTGCCATATTTTCTAAATTTTGAAAACAGCACATTGTGATCCAAAACATCGAAAGCTTTTGAAAATCTAAATACAAAGACAATGTATATTTACGTTTGTCAATGGCATCAGTGATAGTACTGACATGTCTTTCTAAAGCAAGATCAGTGCCTTTACCTAAAATTATTTTACTGTTAATCTGAACACAAGAAAACCCCTCTTCTACGCTACAGTCCAGATTCTGTACCACCCAACGTGTCTACATTTTTTTGGGCCAATTTTTCTTGTATTTTTGTGTCTATATATGCGTTTTGATGACCCTTCACAACAGCAATATGAAAATTATTTTACTTTATCCCTCGTACAAGTGTACTCAGCTGTCCTTGATCATTGGGCTTATTTCAAATGGTCCTGGCTAAGAACCAGCTGGTCTTACAACACCGTGATACAGGACATCTCACTCCTTTCTACACTCACCGTTCATTCTTATTCAGCTTGAAATACCACCAAAGTTTGTGTCGCTGTGTTAAAGAATCGAATACAATCTTTTACAATCGTTATCAGTTGAGAGCTAAGTATTGACGTATAGTGTTGTGTGTCAGTGCCATAGCCGTGGCTGCAGCCCATGGACAGAGAGCTGTACTACACAAGCTGCTGTCTCACCCTCTGTCTCCCAACACCAAGGAAGTGCTGTCACTGGAGGAGATACTGGCAGAGGGAGCTAACCAGCTGACTGCTGACCGTCGCCCCGGCAACCGCCTCAGAGAGGTACCCACTACAATCCTAATAGTTTGATAAATTTCATTGGATACTGGTAGAAGCGTATACGTTCAAAATCCAATCCACCAGTCATTATTTTATTTCACTATGGGATAGACCATGAATCATTAAAATAAGCTTATTAAAGGTTTTTGCAATATAGGCTATTCTTTTGTTGTCACAGATAAACCACTTGAAATTAGAAGTGTTGTGAAGTTTTTATTTAAAAGTGGCTACGGATATTTTAGTTTCAACTATTATATTAAGATCTTAAAGTTTGATCTTAAATTCCTAATATGTTATCCAAATATTAGAGGATTTTTGTGAGGAAAGCAGGCTTTTCTGAACAGGACAGAGCACTGGCACAATTAACAAGAGACCATGCACAAAAGTTGGAATATTTCACTGTCACTGGCAGCATTTTCAGCCAAGGGTGTTTGAGTTGTTTTAGTAAAAGAGAAGTAATGAGCCTTGATTGTTATGAGGTATTTATGAGTATATTCTAGGGATGGACGGGATTGAATTTTTAGTTCGGGACGGGACGGGATTTTTATTTCCTTCCCAATTTTCGGGACGGGACGGGATTTTTTTCTGTGCATAAAAAGAAAGTACTGTATTGCAGTTACCAAAAAAGACATACAAAATCAATTTTTACCATTTGTGGCACTGATCTATAAAAACCAAAAAATGGGTAACAATTTACAGGTACCTATAGAAACTTGTGACTAGCGGGTCACGAGGTGATCATCTGTATGACTCACGGTCACGGCGCGATCGTCGTCATGACTCGCGGTCACGGCGCGATCGTCGGTATGACTCGCGGTCACGGCGCGATCGTCGGTATGACTCGCGGTCACGGCGCGATCGTCGGTATGACTCCGCGGTCACAGGGTTATCGTCGGTATGACTCGCGATCACGGCTCGATCGTCAGAATGACTCCGCGGTCACGGCGCGATCGTCGTCATGACTCGCGGTCACGGGGTTATCGTCGGTATGACTCGCGGTCACGGCGCGATCGTCGGTATGACTCCGCGGTCACGGGATTATTGTCGGTATGACTCGAGGTCACGGCATGATCGTCGTGACTCGCGATCACGGCTCGATCGTCAGCATGACTCCACGGTCACGGCGCGATCGTCGGTAGGACTCCGCGGTCACGGGATTATTGTCGGTATGACTCGAGGTCACGGCATGATCGTCGTGACTCGCGATCACGGCTCGATCGTCAGCATGACTCCACGGTCACGGCGCGATCGTCGGTAGGACTCCGCGGTCACGGGATTATTGTCGGTATGACTCGAGGTCACGGCATGATCGTCGTGACTCGCGATCACGGCTCGATCGTCAGCATGACTCCACGGTCACGGCGCGATCGTCGGTATGACTCGCGGTCACGGCGCGATTGTCAGTATGACTCGCGGTCACGGCACGATCGGCGGTATGACTCGCGGTCACGGCGCGATCGTCGGTAGGACTCCACGGTCACGGCGCGATCGTCGGTATGACTCCGCGGTAACGGCGCAAACGTCGGTAGAACTCCGCGGTAACGGCGCGATCGTCGGTAGGACTCCGCGGTCACAGGGCGATCGTCGGTATGACTCGCGGTTACGGCGTGATCGTCGGTATGACTCGTGGTCATGGTGCGATCGTCGGTCCAATAATCGCGGCCACGGCGCGATCGTCGTTATGACTCCGCGGTCACGTCGTAATCATCGAAATGACTTCGTCTCCTGCGTTCGCGGACCTATCGCTCGCAATAACGGCGTTATCGGCACTCGCGAAGCTGAAAAATTGCCGACGATCAAACCAAATCCCGTCCCGAAAAATTCCCGAGTCAAATGTAATCCCGTCCCGATAATCGGGAATATTTTTTTCCCGAAAAATTCCCGAAATTTCGGGACCCGTCCATCCCTAGTATATTCTATACATTGTGTTTACTGCTTAGCTTGTATGAATGTGTGATTGTTGTTTAACAGTCGGGCAGTGAAGGCCAGGCACAACAGCAATTGCTCAAGTTGTCCAAACCACAGATCAAATGTTTACAAGAGGCAATGTACCACAGCACAGAAAACAACCATCTAGGTCAGTATATCACTCTGTATAGTGTAGTCAAACTCAGACTCAGCGTGATGTGGTCCAGTTTTAGAAATGTGTACCAGAGGACTAATTTGTCAACATAAAAAAGTTAACATAAGTTTTAATGATAAGTATACCTTCCTAATCAGTTTGATAATCTGATCAATAGAATTGTTGAGTGGGCTTTTAAAAACCTTAAAAGAATGTTACCAGTTATGGTATTAGTCTAGTTTAGGGGTGTGCGATGCATCGAAAATGCATCGAAATTTCGATTCGATTCGATTCGATGCATCGAATCGCGATTCGATTCAGTGGTGGTCAAAAAACGATTCGATTCACGAGGGAGTCAGTATCCATATACGAAAAACGCCTGCAGAAAGTCAATGCAATACCCGCAATACAGGAGCGCGTTGCTGTTGCGTTTCCTTTACGAAGGCGTTCTTATTTAATACATTCTTTGCATTAAATATAGCTTTAATTGTTTTATATTTTTTTGTTTTGACATTGCAAATGATTAGAGGTTTGTTTTTTGTCTTGATGTAAGCAGTGTGTGAAATATTTTACTACTGTGAACCTAGCCAAAACAAGGTAGGTTACTCCAAAATCATTTTAAAAATAAGTCTGAAAAATTGTTACTTAATACTTAACTAGTAAAATTAATGTTATAGACTGATTCATTTGGTATTTTTGTTAGGTGTCTGCCGGTCCCCGTCCCCGAATTTTTGTTGGGGCAAAAGAAAAAAAAAAGAATAATTTATTTCCAAAGAAACACTCTTATATTATTATATCTATTATTACAGAGGAATTAAAATGTTCAAATGAGAATTAAAAATTAAGTTGGCTCACGACCTTTAAGAATAAAGACACAACAGAGCAATTGCCGCACTGCCACTAGCCAGAGCCAGGTCTAGTCGTCTACTGATAAGAGTAACAAGACAAAAGCCGTGACGCAACACTAACAGTGCAAAGAAAACAAAGTCAAAAGAATAGAAAGACTATTTATCCAGACATACTAGTATAATCATTTATTGTTTATTCAATACCTAATTAAAAATATATTTTATTATTTTACATAATAAATTATAAACAAAAGAAATATCTGATATAGTGAACAGATCTGTATCTTGGTTAGATGGGGTTAAAAAAATATATTTCTAAGATCCAATACAATATTTACAACTCACAAATTACATTGAATTAATTTCTTTGAAAATAATCTCTAACAGTTTTGTGTTTTTGAATAAAGAAATATATTTCTTTGTCTCTACTCCCTTGTTTCATCACTTGCATTTTGTCAGCAATTGAAGCAACTGGGTAGCAACCGGGTGGTGTAAGAGGGGAGGGGGAGGGTCTATGACCTTGAATTCACACATCGTTGCCCGGGCCTGGCTGGTGAGACTGATTCATTGTTTTTGTTGACATACTACTACCCTTCCTTAAGAGAAAAAGGCCCTGCTGTTCCAAAAACATTGAGGGTAGTTTAAAAACATTGACCTGTGTTGCCAAGGGCACTAGGCTAGAGGATAGCATTTAACTTTCTTGTCTCTTGATTTAATATTATTTTAATCTTCTATATATTATTTAAGAGTTACTTTTCGGGTACCTAATTAGTTGTGATATTGTTTGGCTTTATTTTATGGATTTTTAATTCTTTTCATTCATTAGCTATCAAAATCAGTTGTTTTAGGATTTTAATCTCTTGCAGTAGGTCTATACTACTGTATGACATGATATGCATTTTTTAGTCCTTATTAATTATACCATAAACAATGTTTGTATGTTATTTACTGTTTTTGAGTTTTATAGGAAATTAGTTTACACAATATCTTTTCTTCAATGAGTTCTCCACTTGACATGTTGCTTCTAGCCTATTACTATTTTAGGCCCTATAAAAATAATGCCTAGGTAAAGCTGTAGGCCGGAAGGTATGGGGGTTTAGTGAGTGGGAGAAAATTTCGCGCCGTTCCGGCCAAACCTCACATGCGGGGTTGGTTCGGCAGATTGGCCACAACCTAAACCCCAACTCTCACTTGTTAGCTGCGGAGAGCTACCTTCTGCCACTGGGTGTTGGTCCACCTACAGAACCAAGTGAGGGGGGCCCTAGACTAAGGTGTAATGTGATCCGTGCCAAGAGTCTTGTGGCACTGGGGGCCTAATATTCAGTGTCTTAACGGAGCCTTCTGGGAACCAGGGGTAACCCAGTCGTACACACCCCTTACCTCTCTAATCGGGTCACTGGGGAGGTGGACTTAAATACCCGGTATTCGTGAGAACAATGTAGACAGTCTGACCAAAATGGAGGAGGAAGGTCTACTGAAATCTGACGATGACGACAAGCTCGCAGAAACCGGAAAGGAACGAAAAACGACTTTCCAGGGGCGAGTTGCAAAGATGGAGGATAGCGGATGCTTTAGCCAAAGGCGAAAAGGTGCTATCCAGAAGTGAGAGGAGGCTGGTGTGGGCTGCCAAGCACCCTAACTCTGCTGCCTGCAAAGCCAGTTCCTCCAGGAACTAGGATGGTGGGAAAAAGCAGAGCAAGGGTGGTACCCCCAAAGCTGACTCTAATGAAGCCTCCAGGAAGAAAGGTGGAGGCTGTGCTGACACAGCCACAAAGGATTAGCTGGTCAAGCAAGTTCAGGAGCTGAGACCTTTCAGGGAAATCTCGCTACGGCTTGCCCCAGCCAGAGACCTTGTGAAAGCTGTGAAGGTATATTTAGGTGCCCAGCCCTACAAGGTCTGCGTATGAGATCCCTCGTACGAAAAACGACTTTCCAGGGGTGAGTTGCAAAGACGGAGGATAGCGGATGCTTTAGCCAAAGGCGAAAAGGTGCTATCCAGAAGTGAGAGGAGGCTGGTGTGGGCTGCCAAGCACCCTAACTCTGCTGCCTGCAAAGCCAGTTCTTCCGGGAACTAGGATGCTGGGAAAAAGCAGGGCAAGGGTGGTACCCCCAAAGCTGACTCTAATGAAGCCTCCAGGAAGAAAGGTGGAGGCTGTGCTGATGCAGCCACAAAGGATTGGCTGGTCAAGCAAGTTCAGGAGCTGAGTCCTTTCAGGGAAATCTCGCTACGGCTTGCCCCAGCCAGAGACCTTGTGAAAGCTGTGAAGGTATATTTAGATGCCCAGCCCTACAAGGTCTGCGTATGAGATCCCTTGGCCTATTGATGGGAGATCAAAGGGAAGAACAGGTCACCATAGTCAAGAGGCTCTCACGGTTCACCAAGGACCTGGGATTTGACAGAGAATGAGGACCTGTGAACGAGGGTGCACAATAAGCTGTTCTAGCTGCGATGCAATCCCATGGTAACTTGTAAGCCTGGCCCTCTGTTAAAAAAAAAAAAAAAAAAAAAAAGCTGTAGGCCTACTGATGCCAATAATAATTCTTTATTTATGATGATGTAACAAATAATGTAAGTGTGAGGTTATTATACTAAGGAGGTTAGGAGGCAGGGAATGAATGATACATATTGCATGGTGGAAACATATTATTTTTATTTTCTTCTTGCTTGCAGTCCTGAAGCCGGTCCACAGGCCCTAAACTTGTGATATGTAAATTTATTTCTTAATGGTCTTTTTATATTAAGTTCCATTCAAATTTGTTGTAATTTAGCTACCGGCACCTATTTAGTTATTTAAACAGTTATTAAAATGAGAATGAATGTCTTGATAAAAAAAATATTTTCTTCTTTCTTGCAGTTGAGCCAATTCAAGTAAAAATTATGAAATAGGCAAGTAAAGCAGCTCACTGGTATTTCCAGCAGTTATTCTAATACATATGATTGAAAATAAATATTTTTTCACCTAAAATTCATATGTAAAGTATGAAATAGGCCTAATACCACATCAACAAAAATTTGTATTACACAAATGTGATACATTTTAATTATTGTTAATCCACTCAATTGACAATTATGAATAGAAAAATACCGTATTGCTTCGAATCGAGTTGCATCGAATCGAATCGAAAATATTTTGAATCGAATCGTTGCTTCGAATCGAAAATTTTTTGCTGCTTCGCACACCCCTAGTCTAGTTTAGTTAATTAATTTTAACTCATTGGGTTTGCCGGAAGAAAATAGCTCAAGATGCAACCGAGAAGACTTGATTCAACTGTAAATTTAGCTAAAACTCAAAGAAATATGAATAATTCCAAATCTCGTTTCAGTCGGTAACTATCAATGGCCGACATTCAATGATTTATTAGTCTCAAGAGTTAATATTTTGATACAAAAGTTTTGTATTTGGTAGTTATCAAATAAGTTAAATATTTACATTTTTCTAATATTTCTTGATTTTGATTTGTCGATATCGACTTATGGTATACCTGGGAAAAGTATAATATTAGTCTGGAAAACCTGGAAAAGTCAATGAAGGAATTGGTTTATTTTCCAAATTAAGTACCAACCCTGATAAACCAAGGCCATGTGTGTTTATTTAGAATGTAATAGATGCAGAATTTAATGTTTCTAGATTTGACTGTCAGCAATGTTTTTTTGGTTTGTTACAGAAATCACATTGTACATACGTAACCTGGGCATCGCGTGGACGTTGCACTGCTGGATGTACACCTTGCAGACGGCTCATGACCATCATCTGGAGAACATGATAGATCAGCTGCTACAAGACTTCCTGCAGGTGTGGCCGGACGACTGTTCCACACAGTTTGTAGACGAGTGTCTGCCTCTGCTGTTCAACATCTTCCGTTACAGCAAGGTTAGAGTTTACTGCAACACTTGTGAACTATTATATTACAAATTAAATTAAAGAATAGCAGCTGGTTAAAGATTGTTTTGGAAATGGACAGCGTTCAGCTAACGTATCTTAAAAAAAGTTGAGTCCAGAGGCTATAAGATTCCCAAATAAAAGATCACAAACACTGAGTTGATTCAAAATGGAGAGCTTCTTCACAGAGTAGATTAAACAGAAATGGCAATTAAAATTCATAACTGGAGTAATCTAATCCTCAGTGTTGCCAACTATGGAGCACAAAAAGATTTATGGGAAATAATTTTGGAAGCTAGCTGAAAGGGAAATTCGGGATCGGGATTACAACAAGGCTGGGGGAGGATTTCAGAATTTATTTCCACCTTTTCAATTGGAAATTTTAAAATTGACATGGATGGTATTTTCTGCCTATAATTATTCAATCTACTCTCTGAAAAGGTCCTATCTATATTAGTAAAAAAATTTCACTGTTGTTTTTTGTTGTGTACTGTTACCCTGGACAACAATTTTCTCAGGTAAGCTTGAGGAACTCTATCCCTTTTTAAAATGATAATAAATAAGTATCATTACTACTTTTTTATGCAGTCACATATAGAGGTGTGCGGATATCCGAAACATCGGGTCGGATTCGGTTCTGTTCGGATATCCGTATCTGAACCGAGCCTAAATTTGATATCCGACACTATCAGTTATATATCCAACTTTTTCGGATAGACAACATATTTGAAGTTTTGGACAGAAAACTAAATCTTCATAACCATCATTAGTTTCCCAGGACAAAATTACAGCAATACGTTTCCAACGACAACATAACAGCAAAGGACAAAGAAGCCGTATGATGCAATACCGATGTCTAGTTTATAGTCGTTATCGGCTGTTTTGCTTTACGATTAGATGTGCTGGAACGAACAGACAAAAAGCAGAAAAGTTATTATGGTCAACTCGTGCTTGTCTCCTGATACTAGGGGCGCATTGCGTAATAGTTTTTTTTTTTACAGTACTGTTTTAAAGTAAAAAATCTAGCCTACTTCTGTGCAGTTACGTTAACAATAGATTTAATGTTTCCCGAAAAAATTCAGAATAGAAACAATAGAAAGGCAACACAAGAGAAGGGTGTGAGGGGTTGGGCAATGACCTCGAAAGGAGCCCGGGTAACGAATAGCAACAGTGAGTCGAGTAGGCCTTGAGGGGGGAAGGGGTGGGTACGACCTTGAAGCTATAAATGGACTTGCACTACTTCCCTAAATCTAAAGGACTGGCGAGTGGTATTCCAATCACAGGACAAGATACGTTGTTTTTGGGGTATTCATTGCCCGGTTTGACTTTGGATTGTCTTATTGTGTAGAAACTTTGAACAATCAAAAATTAAATTAGAACTAACCACGATTATTTAGCATTGATTGTGTATATTAAATTATAGGGACCAGGGGAAATATACAAACTTTTGTCATGATTTGAATTTCAACATCAAAATACAATATTGCACAATCATGATATTTTAGGTCATTGACCTTTATTATGCATCCGGTATTGCTGTTTCAGAAGAGAAGCACGTTGATAAATTATAAATTGATATTCCCGTGGTTAAAAAGAATTATTTTATAAACCTATAAAACAAAATCATAAAATCTTACATAAGATAATAACAATAACAGCAATTGTAAAAAGGGTATAAAGCTAACAACGTCATTATACTTTCTCTTTGTTCTTCTATTTCTTGGGTTTCCCTTCATCACGCATTCAGCAAGTTGCCTAGTTGCCATGGTTACTAATCACCCATGTCGTCATCAGCTTTTGTGACATAGGGCACAGCAGGGGGTAAAACTTGCCAAAAATCGGTTAATTTTAACCTATTATTTAATTACCAATGTACTTTATTGGTACTGTATTAATAAATTTGCCGATTTTTGTCAAATTTTACACCAAATTTATTGAAATTTCAAGGTGAATATCAATAAAACAATTATAACCAAATATTTTTATTCATTTAAAAGATTGATTTTTGGTATTGGGTTTCCCACTGAGTGCAGCCGAGCGGCACTAATGAGGGTTGAATCGCCTTGGGGTGAACAATAGACGGCTTATCAGACCCGAGCCTCCCCAGTGGTCTGGAGAAAGCTTGTAAATTAACTATTGCACAAGTGTGACTTGACATTGGGCTGCTTCAAATTTGATTTTTTCAAATGAACTGTGATGTTTCAAAATCAAAAACAATAATTTGGGACCATACTGCATAACAATATAATGGACTGCGATAATTGTTGAATATACAATCCATTTTTAACAAACTAAGATTATACTATTTGAATACAATTTTTAAAATTATCTTGGTATTTTTATTTTACTTGGGGTAATTAAGTTATGTAGACTAGTGAATTCTCGGTTCATCAAGGTTCTACTGAATTATGTTTGGCAGTGAATAAGTGTAGAATGAAATTTATAAATTCTGGGATACACACCTTTTACAGAGTTATAAAGCCTAATTGCCCTAATTAACTTGCCCCAACATCAAATCTAGAGCCCAGCTTGTTGCGTGATGTTTTCTAAACTTGGCAATACCGCAGAATGCAACATAAGGCCAATAACCCGTTCCAAAAACGTCAGGAAATACAATGTGAAAATAAACTTGAGATAGAACTCCTTGTCTTGTGAGAACCAGGAAACAACATAAAACATAACCTCAAGTAAACAAGCCCAAACGTTTTGACATCAGTTCTCTGAGCTAAAGTGTTGTGTGGAGATTTTGGCTTCTAGTGTACTTAATTCAAGCAACCAACTTTTGAAAATAGATGTTGTGAATTGTGCTTTTTAAGAGAGAAAAAACTGTGGACGTGGCTAATTTGAAATTCTATATGATTCAAAATCGTCATTTAAGTTTATTTACACAGCTTTACAGTGTTTTATAGGTTAAAAATGCATATGCAGCTTATTATTAACCGCGCCGAACTATCCGAATCTGAACCTCCCAATATCCGATCCGATCCGAACCGAGCCTCAACTATCCGATCCGAAATGAAATTTCACTATCCGCACACCTCTAGTCACATAGTAACTTTTGATGTTGTTAAATATTTTGCTAGCCATATATGTATGTCACGTCAGATATAAATAGTCCGCTATTAGGTAACAATGCCATATTTGTTTTGAATTAATTTGTAAAAACTTGTACTGTAAAATGTATTCTTAATGTGCTCAACGTGACATAAAATTAAAATATAGATGCTAAAGTGGTATAATCTTTCACATTAATTTATAAATTTCTTTTATCTTGGTAGAACGAGGGTACCACGCTTCTACTGGCAGACATATTCTCCACTTGCTTTGGTTGGGAACCGATCAAACGTATCCGAGACTCTACACTGAGTGGAGGCGCTCGCATCGACCCCAAGTTTGTCAACAATGCTGAACTCAGTGACGTCCAGTTCAGGGTCGAAGGTCAGTATTATCACAAATTTGCTTAGTTTAAAAAATTATTCTTAAGAATTTTGCAAAGAAATAAATGGGTTACATTTTTTATAAGTGGTAGTGGGTAGGCAACATCTTGCAGTTGCTGTGCAATATTTGTCAATAATTTTAATAAAAACATCCCTATGAATTTAAACTATTCTAATCCAGAAATTGAACCAATGATTACAGGTCGAGTGTTCTACGGACACAAGATTGTTTTAGTCACTTCATCACCGAGGTTCCGAGGAATGTTAAGCTCCAAACTGTGCGAAGGCAACCCACCTATTGTCCAAATCAATGACATACGCTACCATATATTTCAGGTAAGGATTGTGTAGTTTTGTAATCCTCCCAAATCTTTTTGGGAAAAACATTTTAGAGCCTAATGAGTAGGACATTCCTATTCCCTTGTCTCATCTACCTTTAGGCCTTCTTGTGTAATCATAATTGTGACAAGTGTTTCTACTAAATCAATAAAAACTTTCTGACAGAGAAAAGCATCTGGCAGTTGTTTGAATAATGAGCAAAAATTGTATATCATAAGTAATACTGATGGAAGCTGCTGACAAAATTATACAGCTCAGATTAGTATTCTGGATAGAAATTTTACTCCCCTCATTGGCTTTTATATCAATCATTCTGTATGTTTGACAGCTGGTGATGCAGTATCTGTACAATGGTGGCTGTGACACTCTTGAGGTTGATCACAACGATGTGTTGGAGCTGATGGCTGCGGCCAACTTCTTCCAGCTGGACGGTCTGCTGCGCTTCTGTGAGGCTCAATGCTCCGACATGGTCGATTTGGACAACATCGTCTCCATGTACATTCATGCCAAGGTGCGTGTCCGAGTAGATTAAACAAATACTTTCTATACAAGTATACATCCAATAACCAGATTTAGCCAATTTTTTTATCAAATGAGAACATAATTATTACCCTAGCTAAATGTATTATTACTCTTATTATCTATATAATTAATACGCTACATGAAACTTTGTCGGTTGAACTCCTCCGCCATTTCTTAACCGATTTTGTCCATTGACGTCTCATTGGAAAGAGCGTGTCGCGTAGATTTGCAAACTGGTATTACATTTTTGAAAAAGTCCCTTGGGCTCTGCCCCAGTGGCTTTGAAAGTTCCCATGTTATCCTTATGAAGAACATAATTGTTTACATTTTGATCAGCTGTATAATTTAATTGCTGTTATTTATTTTTCAATTCAATGAAACGTCTTGAGTCAGGGTTGCCACCAGCCATGAAAACCTTGAAAAGCGTGAATTATGCGTGAATTTAGGTGACCATGAAAAAGTGCGTGAATTATGCGTGAATTTCGTCATTGGACCATGAATTCTCAAAATCATTATTAACAATTCAGCCAAAACCCCTAAATGTGCTGAATCAAATACTCCGTATTAAAACCATTCTCGAAATGAACACCGAGATAAAACGTCAAAGTGGGAGTGTCGAGATAAAAAGTTTTGTTGCCATGCCACGAACAGAAACGATTGCGTAGTTTATTCAAGGTCAAATCCGATCGTAACCGACGTCAGCCGAGTAGTCTAGAGATGGGAATTATCGTTGTTTTCCGGCAACGGTTATAACGATAATGCAGCTGCCCAATAACGTGTTGCGGCAACCTGTTATTTCAATAACGATTGCCAACTCGTTGCCGCTATAAACCGTTGTCCGCCGGTCGGTCGGTGTTGCGGCGCGTTGCTCTGGTAGCGTTGCGGCAACGGCACTAATGGCAATGCATGTTTTCGTTTTCGTTGTCGCGCGGCTTTCCTGCAACATTGTGTAGATACACTGAGCTAAAATTATAACTGGATGTAGCACTGCCATGGCAGAAGTCTGTCAAAAGCGTGTCGCTGATTTTGTTAGGTTGGTATAGCAGTGAGTTTTTTCATCCAATAACATGGCTTCTTTATAACTCACACCTCACGCAAACATGGCGGCTGGCGACACGCATCTTTGACATTCAGTGCTACCTCCAGTTAGAATTATAGCTCAGTGTGTAGATAGATACGTTATTATAATAACAGGGAGTTCTCCGCAACGTGTTGCCGCGATAACGTTGCCGTGGCCGCAACACTGTTATTCATCCTGTTATGTTATAACGCCCATCTCTACCGAGTACCGATCTACTGATAAAATCGATGCTTTCGGAGCTAAAACATCGATCACATCGATGTTTGTTCCGTGTTTCTCGTCTGGTCTAAATAAACCAACACAGCCAATTAACCTAAAACCAATACAATTCAGTTACGGAAAACATCAATATTTCATTACTTTTGTTGGCCTAAAAGACCGATGTAACAAACCAAATCATCGGTTCGGTAATCTACCATCGATGTAAACAAATAACTTCGAACATCCATAGAAAAGACATCGATGTTTCGAAAACATCGACAATCGGAATTGATGCTCGCTCTCATTCTCTAATCTCTACTCTCTAGTCTCTACTCTAGTGTTCGTGTGGAAGGAAATACAGAGTAACCATAACCTAAAAGTTTTAAACTTTAAACTGATCTGAATCTGAAACTTAGAAACGAGTCAATCGTTTGAAGTAGTGGTGGACACTAAGATCACTTGTTGCACTCGTGATTCAATTCAGTTTTGTGCTTCTTATAATTGATTACCCAACACAGTGGAACAAGTGTTCAGTTTAATTTTTTTTATTACTGATATATTATACTTCCGATACTTTACAACGTTAAAATAAGAAGTACCTTGCCTTGCCATAAAGGTCAAAATGGCTTGCGCCGGCTGGAACTTAATCGTCTTCTGTGTTTTTTTTGGTCAAATATGTCGTCATTTCAAACTACTGTCAGTGTTGAGTAAATGTGTTACAACGTGAGATTAAGTTTATTTATTTAGGCCTAAGTTGCAAGAAGTCAATGTTGTGCTGAAAAATGGTGATTTCGTTCTGAGGAAGGTAGCCTAAATGTGGTAAATGTTTTTTTGAAGCATATAACTAGGTGTTTTCAGTCAATACGAATCTAACTAATGAGATGTAAATTTAATTAAATAATTGTTTTAACTGTGATTTAAACCTGTGTAGGCAAATAATAATATATAAACTGATCCAATCTGAAGAAACATCCTCCTAACTAAGTTTATTTTAACCTTTTCTGTAATGTAATTAATTATTTTTTTATTACTTAATGTAAGTTAGCCTATGTCTAAACTTACATACATTCCATAACTTTTGTTTCGTTCTTAGCTTTAACTAAATATTTATTTACATAATCTTACCTTTTTAGAGTGTTTTTATCAGTCGGTCGGTAACCTTTAATCTTTCAATAAATAAAAGTTGGTTCAGGCCTAACTTAGCCTAGATTCAGCTTTGGATTACAATGTAGGCTAGCCTACTGTGTTACAGTATAAAGTAATAAAGTGCATGTGCGTTTTAGTAGGCCTAGATATGGCCCATTACTAAGTTAACCGTTTCTTGATCATGTTCTTAACATTTGTTTTTAAAGTAGCCTATCTTAATTTGATGTTTAGACAGTAAAGTTCTAGGCCATTGCTGGATTAACTAAGTTAAACCTTTTATGTTTGGATGCAATGTTTTTTAGGTTAGGCCTAGACCTAACTACCAATCCGACTTATTTTTTTATTTATTATTTCTTCTAACGTTTGAATTTATCATTAGGCCTATGATGTTGTTAAATCAGATGTTTCAATTTTTTTTAATAATTACATCGTATTATCACACACAAGATTTTTATTAATATCCTTTTTCATCTGTGATTTTACTTTTTTAGACTGGATAAATTATATTAAATTCTTATTTTAACTCTAAAATAAACGCATGAAATGTGTTTTATTTGATAGTAGCACATAAAACTATATATTGTCGATAAATTAATGTACAATTCTGAACTAGGCAACACTCTTTTATGGTGAAATTGTGCGAGCATATACCCCATGAATTTTTCAAAACTACCAATGAAAACCTTGAATTATGCATGAATTTTTTTATCTCACTTTGGTGGCAACCCTGTGAGTACTTTATTTACTATTTGAGTTTGTGTAAACATAACCCCCAAGACGGATCGTGTTAGTATGGTTTTATCTTAAATTTGTGTATTTATCCTTGTTTTGTGTCGCTATGACGGGTCGTGTTAGCATGATGGTAACTTAAATTTGTGCATTTATCGTTGTTTTATGTAGCTATAATTTGTTTATTTGTTGTTTTTTTTTTTTTTATGCCTCCGACGCGACGATAACATAACATAAGACAGGAGGCGTAATCGTGATAACGACCGCAGCTACAGAACAGTGGCGCGTAAAAGGCTTAACTCATCACAGTCAGCACCTGACCCTGGACAATCTCAACTATTAGGTTACAAATGCCCTAACACTACCCCAAAACGACTTTTCGTTTTCAATTGGCCCTCAATCAATAACCTGTGTTGCCTGTACAGCGAGGCATTCTGAGAAGGAAAAACCGGCCGGAGTGCTTTAGGTTTATCAATAACGAAGATAAACATATTCTGAGTTACACACCGGTAATCTTTGAGTTGACTCTTTTAAATTCATTATAAATATGACAGTTATTCGTTTTGAAATAACTCCTGTAATACTTTGCAATTGCTCGAATTCGAGCAACATGTACACTAGTTATTATTATTATTAGTATTATTATTATGTTTCCTGTGTCACTGAGAGGTTTTAGTGCTTTGTCTTCAAATCTGAAGGTAGCTGGTTCTAAGCAAGTGAGATCGATTTTGGACCTAGATGCCGTCTGTTGTTGGGCTATCAAATAATGATGCTAGAAGGTATACATTAGGTAGTAACATGACCGGGTTTGGATTGTTGTATTGTTCCTTTAAAAGTGTTAAAAATCTTAATGGTATTTATAAAAAGAGAAAATTTGACAAATGTCATAAAAGTGATTTTCTTCAGGTGTACAACGCATCCCAGCTGATGGAATACTGCCAGGGGTTCTTGCTGCAGAATATGGTTGCACTGTTGACTTATGATGACTCTGTCAAGAGGCTGTTGTTCGGCAAGAAGCTGCACAACCACGACGTGTTGGCAGGACTGCTTCTCACACTGCAGGCTAGGATCAAGGCGAGAAACAATACTACTCGTCCTCAGCCCAAGCCTAAGTAGTTTGTGTGATTAGGCCAGGAACAGACACCATCTATGTAAAACTGTAAACTTCAAACACACCTTAACAAGTATATGCATTGCTATTTGGAGAACTTAACATTAACGTCACACTGAGCTGATATTCTAATTTAACCCCTTATGGTGCTAGGCAATAAAGTTAAAAAAAGTGTGAACTCTCTGAAGTTGAATTTGTTCAAGGAAAAGCTCTACGCCAGGATTGTGATTTTTAGAACAAAGGAATTTCAGCTAGCTTACCTTAGATTTCCTTAGATTACCTTAGACATATTTGTAATCTAGGTTTGCCATAGAATTTTGAAAACACAAAATTATACAATTGTACCTTATGTCCTCTGTAGGACGTTGTCAAATGTAGACAAAGACATAAAATTAGCTGTTGCGAGTTTACAGCCAGCCACCATTTTGTCCATCTCTCCATTTCTACATGTCAATATACAACTCAGTCCTACAAAGTTCCCCAATAATAAAATATTGTACGTTTTCTGTGTGTTCTATACACTTTATGGTATGATATCTGATATCCCTTTATTATAAAAATAATTTCCATATAGTTTGAGATTATTTCAGATGTGAATATTGAAGTAGATTAGAACTTACATCAGTTCCTGGCCTAATCATATGTTCATGTGCCAAAAGTCAACTCTCACATAGTTCCTTGTACATCACCTCCCATGACGTAGGATCACCCTGTATATTGTTTGTCTGTTGTGTGCTTCGAGAAAAACAATAATCAGAAAATACTTGCCATAAACTGTGACATTTTGTGTAACTTTAGTTAGTTTTTTCGACAGGTGTTAAGGAACACAACTAACATTTAATGAAGATGGAAGAAATCTAATTTAAACATTTATTATATGCAGTAAAGTTTGTTTTAAAATGTCCTTAAAATATGTCAAAAACCGTTCCCCTAAAATAACCTATATTTTTTTCAAATCATTGATACTGAAATGAATAATTTTCCAATTTCCAAACATCATTTTGTTATTCTAATGGTAAATATTGATATTATATTATTTGTTCTGTTAAGTATATTTTATACATTTTTAATGCTTGTTGAAGAATAACAAAGCTTAGTCCAACACCCAGGGGCGGACTGGCCCGCCGGCCCACCGGCCAGTGGGCCGATGCGCCTTCTCAACATTCCAATATTTGCGCCCTCGTTAAAGGAAAAATTCATAAAAAAATTTAAAAAAATGAGACGAGATGTATTTTTTAGAAAGCAAGAGGAAAAACTTAGAGTAAAAGTTTCAGCAGTGAATAGCAAAACATAAAGTCGGGTGTGAGACCTGAATAGACACTGTCGACAAGCAAGAGCAAAGCAGCTCTTCTCTCTCGTACGTGTAGGCCTACTCCGAGTGGAAGGCACTTACTTTACTCTGTGGTCTGAGCTACTTAAAAACAGCTGTCCTCTTCCCGCGTTATTTTACGCCCAACCCGAAAAAACTGCACTGCGACCACGAGTACTAGAAAAATACCGGTATGGATCATAAACATAAACGAATGACGTTTTTGGTCCGAAAATAAACATTATTTAACATTGCTTAAATGGAACTGCCAAATCATATGTTCAATGCTCAGTATAGGATTCGGGCCAACGACATCATTTGTTTATGTTTGTGATCCATACCGGTATTTTTCTAGTATTCGTGACTGCGACTGCATCAGACATCGGTCGGTGTCACGATGTCGTCTGGTCTGTGGTAAACAACTAGTGAAGATAATTTAATATTATTCATATTTGTTATAATATTTAATTATTGCTCACACTATAACTATTTCACTTTAAGTCACATTTAATTTTTATCAATATCAACTCAACTCTCTTGTAAAATGGCGTTTGCCGTGCATGTAATAAATAAATAAATAGTATGAGCTGCCAGTGCCAATTAAAATGTGACTCTCTTTAGTGAGTGTCTAATTTGTGTCTCTGTGTCGAAAGCTTCAATTTATTTTTATATTCTTTACCTACACAGGAAACATGAACGAAAGCAGTATTGTAGAATCACTACTTTTAGAAAATTTAAATAGATTTAGTGACAGTGTATTTGTTAACTTAACCATTACACAGTAAAGGTTAAACAGTAAACAGTATTTTAATATGTGGCTACAGCCTATTAATTAATTATTTCAATATGCACTATGGCACTAATTTTACCTTCTACCCAGACTAAAATACCTTCGTAGTTCTCTCTAGGCTATTTCGTTTGTAGAAATAGGTTAGGTAGGCCTACTTTAGGGTTACAGTTTTGACTTAATGTAATGCTAAAAAGTTGGTTTTGTTCACAGTGAAAGCGTATTGTTTGTGTTACAATAATTTCATAGAAATCTAAAATATATAACTTCTGCTATTTACAGTGCCAAAAAATACAACAGTTGCAAGTTCAGGCTGTAAACAGGAAGCAAATGATTATTTATATTGTATGCATGCAGCCAAGCCATGCAAGGGAAAACAAAGAAAATACACAAATATAATACAAAAGAACCTAAGAAAATCATTTGTATTTTTATTTTTGTTAGGATATTTACTGTCAGAATAGCACCAAGTCGTGTGGGTAAATAGTCTAAATTTGGTAAACCAAACATTAATCAATAGTGTCAGTTATCAGATTTCTGATTTTCCACTGTTAATGCCTCTAGATTGCGTAAAAATGTGAGTTTACAGGTATAATTTTTAAAAAATGTCCCGTTCCATACCCCCCAGACCCCCCGGTTGGCGCCTTCGGGCTGGTCAAGGTTTACGCCCTAATAGAGTACCCAGTCCGCCCCTGCCAACACCTTGATATAAAATTGGTCGTAATTGTTTAGAATTACAGTGTTAAGTTAAGACATATACGTTATTTTTTAAACATTTACCCTGATAGCTTAAATTTATATTTTTAAATAACATCACCTCAAAGTGATAAATAAGTGGTTTCTGTAAAGTAAAAAAAACAACTGTTGACATAATTGCTATATGCTTGCCATATTGTGCTCATAATGTAGTGTATAAGAACAGAATATTATTGATATTATTTGTAGTTTAGAAAGTGTATAGGTTTTTTTTACTACAACTATACAAATAAGTTGTTGTTTTTTCTACAGTATTTCACACTGGACGGTTACTACCAGTGTAGCTTGTGTATGATAATAATTTTGATGTATTATTAACTCATTTTTAGTGACAAAACATGTCTTGGTTGTTGTATTTATTTGTAACACATAGCTGTATAAAATTTAGGAACAAGTTTGTAAATACGAAGGAAGATGTACACTACAATAATATATAAGTATGGTGCATTATATTGTTATTGTTTATATTGTTGGGAGTTGCAAGTGAACATTCAGATAGTTCAGATTTAAATAGACTATTTTTTACTGACTTTGACTTGTACCCTTAACATTTGCAATTGCTCATAACAGTGAAACATGAACGACTTTCAAAATATTCTTGATTGTCAACGCTCCAAAATTAAAATGTATCCTAAAAATATAATAACTCACAAGTCACACTCTACTTTTCCGATTTGGGCACTTAACGAGCAGGTATAACCTCGTTAGATGTTTTTTTTATCATGGGTAGAAAAGTCTCTCAGAAATTAAACCTTCAATAATTACAACAAATAACATTTCAATATTAAGAGCAATGTTTAGAAAACCTTTTAGTTTTTCCTTGTAACAAGTTTTGTTTTTGTAACTTCCAACAGTGTGCTAATGATTACAAACTTCTGCATTTATGCAAGCATTTCTTTCCGTCTTTCAATTTATATTCTCTTTTTGTATGAGTTTAAGCTTAATCGTTTCTTTAATTACTAGGATTGATTGTATTTATCAGTATTATGGCTATTGCTCTTTGCTCAGTACCGGTAAAACTAGTATTTTTATTGTGCAATTTATTTTATTCTATTTTAACAACTAAGACCTACTAGTAACTTGTACATGTGTAGACTCAAAAACCTTATTGTTTACATCAATTTTGGATCATAACATTCTGACAAGAGTCAACAAATGAACAAAACTAACTTATCATCTGTGAAGATGTGATGTATAGACAAATAAACGTTACTATATAATTTATAACTCTTGCAACAACCTTTTGTACATGTATAAACTTATCTCTAACCGATGGTTATTTTAGGTTTGTTAATTTTTTACTGATTTAAAAATACGAGAATTCAGTTACATACACCACTAGACTGTGTTCTGTTAGTCCATTAGAGCATATATTTAATATATTATGTGGCATATAAATTAATACTATAGAGTCCTGCTATTTTCAATGTCCACCAATTGTAAACCTAAGTTCGGAAATTCTTTAATATTCTTGTTGAAGTTAGCAATGTTATCACAATGTCACCGCTCATGTAAAAGAAGCTGCCAATATCGCCACAAAGTTATCAAATTAGCTGAAATTAGTGTTATTGATGTGCTGTTGCTGAAGTTAGTAATATGCCAAGAACGTTGAAGATTTAAGCGATGATTTTGCAAACGTCAAAAAGTCCATGTTGTTGCTAAGAATGTTGTCGATGTTGCCTGAAGTTTCCTAGAATCAAACAACAAAATTTGAAATTTGATGATGTCCCAAACAACAACAAAACTAGTGATATCTACATAGCTGGTGGCAAATTCAGCGATACCACCAAAAACGGCAAAGGTAGAAACATAATCGCGAACGTTAGCAAAATTAGTTATGTCTCGTGAACAAACACTAAAATGACACAACCACATTGTCATTGTATCCTGTGATTGTGGCATGGCCTTAATCATCCTGCAACATCGTCACCATCTCTTTTGATTGCGGACAACATGTTTTGCCAATCGCAGATAGACGGCAATCCTTCATTATTAAAAACATTGGTTTATTCCAAATTCCCGCTGCTCCTCTGTCCTTAAATCCAATTCAAACATTCATTAAAATGACCTAACTTGTCCTGTTAATACAAGTTTTTATTGATCCTGCAAAGTGAAATTACAACCACCCTTGAATTTGCAAACTCATTTTCAATCAACATTTTTCTCTTCTAAAATGTTGAATTAAGATACCTATTTTTCTCTCTAGTTTAATCTTGTGTTAAATATTGTCACAAATTCACAGTACTTAAGGTTTTGCATTTAATACACAAACAAATGTTCCTTTATTTCTGTACATGTATACTGTGTTATTATCTATTATGTTGATAACGTATGTTTTATAATCTTTGTGATTAAAATTGTGATTCCACTATATCAGTCAACATCACAAAATGAATTTAAATTGTCAATAACTTTTCCAATACTGTTTGGAACTCAAATTGCATTACCTTTTTAGTTGTGTCATTTCAAAAGGAAAATACACTGTTAACTTAGTTGATTGTCCTTCACTTCAATGGCATTTTGTTTTGTTTATAATTTTACAAAGTTTATTTATTGTATAAACATCATATCACAGCAATATTTGTAAATGTAAATAGTTTGTACCATATCAGACCATTAATATTGTTATTCTTCTTTTCGGAATTGGCTTTTTCTATTAGGATGTTATCTGTTAATTATAAATTGTTGCTCTTTGTAAGTTTGTCTTTTTTTATAACCTTATTCCTTGAGAGTGGATATGGTTTGACAAAACTTTGTCTTGCTACTAATGATTGGAAATTCTCACATGGAACCAAATAGGTTTGGTCAAGAAACTCATCGTTAAGTAAAGTCTTTAAAATCCTATTACAACATTTTACTAAAGTAAATGTTTATTCAGTGATTGACAAATTAACAAGGATGCCTGGGATGATTACCAAGCATTAATTTGTTTGTTAAATTTCCTCAAATTAAATTTATCCTATTGTTTTATTACTTTACCTTTTTGTCATCACACACTTGTAACTATCAGGGTACTTTGCAGGGAAATTCTGTGTAAACAAAACAACAAGCTGTACGAAATAGAGTACAAGGGTAATAATGAAGTTAAAAACATTAGAGTAATCACATTTTTTATACAAGCTCAAGTTTCATACAATAATTAGTGATGTGTCAGTCAATCACTTAATTTTGAATCCCAAGAATAAAATCGGATTCAAGATTTGATGAGCTGGATTCAAAAACCAAATCTCAAATCATTAAGAGATCAACAAATTTTTAAAGATTCAAAATCATTAAATTTGAGTATTTGACAACAGTAGAACCCCTGCTATCCAGCCTTGGTTTATCTGGAAACTTCTAGGAAACCAATATCAACAAGTATTTAGTGCTTACAGATCTTACAACAGACTATGGCCTAATAATTGTACATGTCAATCTATATAATTAATACGCTACATGAAACTTTGTCGGTTGAACTCCTCCGCCATTTCTTAACCGATTTTAACCATTGACTTCTCATTGGAAAGAGCGTGTTGCGTAGATTTGCAAACTGGCCTTACATTTTTGAAAAAGTCCCTTGGGCTCTGCCCCAGTGGCTTTGAAAGTTCCCATGTTATCCTTATGAAGAACATAATTGTTTACATTTTGATCAGCTGTATAATTTAATAGCTGTTATTTATTTTTCAATTCAATGAAACGCATTAAGTATATTTATTTACTATTTGAGTTTGTGTAAACATAACCTTAAAGACGGATCGCGTTAGTATGGTTGTACCTTAAATTTGTGTAGTTATCGTTGTTTTGTGTCGCTATGACGGATCGTGTTGGCATGATTGTAACTTAAATTTGTGCATTTATCGTTGTTTTGTGTAGTTATAATTTGTTTATTTGTTGTTTTTTTCTTTTAAATGCCTCCGACGCGACGACAACGAAACATAGCCAGGACTGACAGGAGGTGTAATCGTGATAACGACCGCAGCTACACATAGTGGCGCGTAAAATAGGCTTAACTTATCACAGTCAGCACCTGACCCTGGACAATCTCAACTATTAGGTTACAAATGCGCCCTAACACTACCCCAAAACGACTTTGCGTTCTCAATTGGCCCACTATTCGTTCTCAATTGACCTGTGTTGCCTGTACAGCGAGGCATTTTGAGAAGGAGAAAACCGGACGGAATGCTTTAGGTTTTTCAATAACGAAGATAAACATGGTCTGAGTTACACACCGCGGTAATATTTGAGTTGACTCTTTTAAACTCATTGTAAATATGACTGTTATTCATTTTGAAATAACTCCTGTAATACTTTGCAATTGCTCGAATTCGAGCAACATGTACACTCGTTTATTTTAATATACTATTACCTAATTTTTTTTTTTATCTGAATGTATAGTATTTATTTTTGTTCATTACCTAACCGCTTTTTCCAATAGAGAAATACTCCATTGGCTTTACAAACATACTAAACACTACTTTTGGCTATGCTGTAGAACCTCAAGTCTTTGATTAACCTGTCACCTTATAACTCTGTTATCTGTCACCCTACTACAGTACTTAGATTATATTCGATGGAATTTTATTTTTGCTATACGAACATTAAACAAGTACGAACCAAATAACAGTGCTATATTACTCTAGAATGTAGGCTTTAGTAATTTAAATATAAGCATATTAGCATTATTCACTTGTACAGGGTTTAATATCTTCCGTTTAAATCAACTTTCTGTACAAGTGCTGATCGGCGCTCAGACAACCACTGTTTCGCCTGGCTACTGGTGTTTCCCCGAGTTACTAAAGACGCTGCAATCAACGGAGATAAAATGATCGACTCCTGCTGACTCTTAGTAGAGATTCTACTGTATTTATTGAGTTCACATTATATTAGTTGAAAGTACTGTTTTTATAATAGATGGAGCCAAATCATTATTGGGCCAGAAGCATAGTCCTATGGTGGCCGGATATAAGGAGTTCTGTGTCACTAACACTAATATTATAACAAAAGAGTGAGTACTCCATGGAAATAATGACAAATGACACATTTATTAACATCATAGAATCTGTTTGATCACAAGTGTACAAAAACAACAAAATACAAATGGTAAAGTAAAATATCTGTTTACTTCAATAACAAATAACTTATCTAATGAGCAGCTTTAAAATGGAAACTTTTAGGTTTAGCCTGAATTGCTCATGATTACAAGCCAACGTAAGGTAAATAACAAGAAGGAATATTTAAAAAAAACTATATAGAATAGAGGAACCACATCTTTTCTTATTGGTAGAGAGACTGCCGAATACTGGGTTACTGTCTTGGTGGTTTGAGTCTGAAAAAACAACAAAACATTAAAATTAATTTGCAAAGTAGTTTTATCTATGTTGGATATTAAATTTATAGTTAATTAGCAATTTATGTCCTGGGATGACATAATTCATGCTTGGAACACAAGAAATACATAGAAAATAAGAAATAAGTTATGCATGAACTCCTGTAGTGGCAAATAACTATCAGTTCACTAGCTTTTTCAATGTTTTTTGAGATATTTGGTAAAATTTGTAAATTTTTGTGAGAAAAAAAAGAGTTCTTATCGATAACAAAATTCAATCATTAAACAAATTTGTTTCTGAAAAATTATTATAGAATATTATTTTTTTACAATCTCAACAAAATAGATCACCAGTATACATATACTGTATTGTCCTTTAATACCAATAACTATTTACAAAGGTTGTCTATAAATTTAGGTTCCCAAGCTACTGTCAAGACAGAGCTGAAGTCTGAAAACTGTTCTAGGCTAGTCCCCGCCTCCAATCTTGCTGTGGTAGCTGTATAAGACAGGAAGGAAACCACATCATCCATGTTTAAAATTGTATTTTCTTTTTCTTGTTACACCTCTGTAATTTAAGGGACCTCCTATTGAAACCCTTGCCAGTTTAATATGTATGTGTGGCTAAATCTCAGCAGTGCATTATGTCGGGTGAATCAATGGGGAATGAAGAGGAAATTTTGCTTACGGATCAGCATATTTGAAACTACTAGTACTAGTAGTTTAAGAATATCTCCCCTCAGATTAAAATTATCAACTTATCAGTCAGTGGTGACGGGAGCTCTTGAGAGACTTAAATCCACAGACATTATACATTGGAGTCCCGATAATCCGAACTTCGGTAATCCAAAAGACTGCTTAATCCGAAACAATTTTTATTTTTTTATTTTTTGGAATTAAAAAAAAATTAAATAAAATTTTTTTTTATTTCTGTTATTTAACTTTTAACACAGGTGGCTGTACCTCATCAAAGTATTATGTAGCGGCCGGGCGAGATAGACTTGTTTTATGGTATTTTAGTAAATATTTCGCCATTTTTAAAATTAACATTTTTCATTTTCATCCCGGGTTCCAATCCCGCCAAATCACCAATGGATTTTATTTAAGTTATGCTGCAGCCCCTAGGTCTAGCATAAAGTAATGTGAAAAACAATCCCGGGCTCGTGCCTAGCGGCCTAGTACTAAAATTTTTTTTAATAATTTAAAAAATTTTCAAAAATAAGAAAAAACAAAAAAACTTTTAACCCGAAAAGGGTCTGGTCCCAACCATTTCGGACTATCGGGACTCTACTGCATTGTTTAATACTCATATTTTGGTTTTACGTACATTTCAGCCACTGAGCTGTATCATTTAGTGAAGCATGGAATTACCAGAATAAACTGTGATTTCCACAAATCAGTGCTGTTTAGTCCTTCTCAGAAGGTCCGACTCACCTGTGTATGGTTATGTTGTCCGACGTTGGTATGCTACTGGCATCAAGCGGAGTTAAAAAGATAAACTGTTGGTTACTGTTGTTCGCGTGATCAAGCAACATGTCGATCACCACTTTCCGATTGATACCATCCTGGAGACACAGAAAAACCAACTCAATACATCAAAATAATGTTTATGCCACACTACACTATATTGACAAATTTTCCATACAAGGATTTAGTCCATAAAACAGCTGTTTGCCGCCAGCTTAATCAAATGGGGGTTTCATTGCGACTACTGTACTATAATGAGTTTTACCGGACACCAATTAGCTGATTATACTGTATTTGGGTGGCAATGAGTGGTTATAAACAAAAACATAGCCTCTCTTAGAGGTCTAGCCTATTCATAATAAATAAATAGAGGATAATTGATATTATGGCTCTTTTAGCGAATTTCCCTATAGGGAAGTAGCTATTACCGTAGGTCTCATGGTAAGACTTAGGCCCGGGACCGATTTACTTTTTCATTTTAATGTCCCCAGAGGCCAAAAACACCATTCGTTCAAATTTTTATATATGTATATATATATATATAGATTTATATATATATATATATGTGTGTCCGTGAACACGATAACTTGAGTAATTTTTATCCGATTTTGATGAAATTTGGTTTGAAGGTGTAAGGCGGGATAAACTTGAACGAGTTCGCGATCCAGCATGATCGGACCATGGGAACAGGGTTTTATGGGGGGTTTTATGGGGTAAAAATTGGTTTTTCTCACTTTTTACCCTCAAAACACAAAATTTCCCAATTTTTCTCTAAACCTTCTTAAAGAGCTTAAAAAAACAAACAATTCAGTATATCAAAGTGTTTTTGTACGGTTATTGGTTACGGAGAAAACTAAAAAAATGGTAAATTTAAAATTCCCATGTTATTCTTATGGAGAATATTGTAAAATGTTGTGGTTTGCTTGTTTATGGATATATTTTGATCAAACTTGGCAAATTTATTTATTTTATAGTAAGCTATCAATATTTTACTAAAAACACACTACTTTATTAGTTTCCTTGTAGCAGCAAACCTAGGTACTCGTTAAACCTAATGTTATTTAAATAGATCAATTGAAAATCAATTCGGCCAAATGGAAATTCGCTTAGACGGCAGGTTTGCTGCGGCGGGGGTATTTTCCAGATAACGAGGCTTTTTTAAATTCATAATCCATACAGTTCACATCACGCCGAGTTTGTGAGACTGCACTGTTTACTGTTGAAGGGTTTGGCATTGAATGTTAATCTATTAACTAAATCAAATCAACATAAACGACAACAAATTCATTCAAACTGGTGTTGTCGCAACTTACCATGAACACGTCAAACTCGTCCATGAAGTGGAATGGCAACTCTATCTCCAACCACAGTGCCATGATGAAACACACAGTTGCAAAACTCTTCTCTCCACCAGAAAGAGAAAATGTGTCCCGATTTTTCCCTCCTTGTTCTTCATTTTCCGGACGAGATATTTTGATCTCCAAACTTTTATTCGGAACATCAAACTGCAACTTGCCCTAAAGAAATGTAGTTTGTTAAGATGAGCAATGAAGGTGGAATATGACAGTGTGAGCTGAAAAGTACAGTGAGACTAATTATAATACCAAGGAACCAGTAAAAGTACATTACAATACCCCAATAGGCCCTTTTAAAGACAGTTCCATAACTTCTTGCAAATGAGTCGGAATAGTATATTTCATCAGAGGGCCTAAAGTGACTCTTTTTGACCAAGAGGTCAAGTTTTACGATCGAGGCGAAGCTGAGGTTGGATAATGAGCGAGGTATAAAAAGTCACTTTTTGCCCGTGTGGTGAACTATATTTTTTGTCATATTGCATCATTAATGAACAAAAACAAAACTAGAAAACAACAAAATTGTTATGTAAAGAAAACCTCTCAAAACAACTTCCAGCTTCTTTTCAATTCTGCTAATGAAAATAAGCAGCTGGTCAGTGATTCAATTATTTCGTCTGTTAAGGTTGTGTTATTATACCATCAATATGTCGAGCAATCGACATTAATAGACTAAAACCACCTTACCTAATAAATCAATCGATAAATAATTTTGATCAATACTATTGTCTCAATCGAAATTTACAACTGTTAACAACAGCTGATTTTTACTGCCTAGAGAGTAATTATACTCCTTTAGACCCGCAATGCATGCATTAAAAACGACTGTTTTTGCTGCAGTGTGTATTATGTTCTCCATTTTTCGTTTTACGGGAAAATACCTAATTCGCATAAGAGTGTCATATTAAGGAAAATTTCAGAATGCATTCTCAAAAACTGCCTGATATTTCTAGAAAATGATGACAAGCAATAGACGCCCAAAACGCACAAACAAATACTTCTGGCATTGTTTTAAGATCATTTAATGTAGAAAACTTGCTTGAAAGCAATGCTTTTAATAAGTTAAAAAAAATGTAAAAAAATTAAGAAAACAGACCTTAGCTTGCCCATATGGCCAAGCTAATTACCAAATCTGGCCAAGATTGAGAAAATTTCAATTGTTCAGGTTCAACCAGAACTGTGGGTTCACCAATGACATTAGCAAGCAAACATAGAAAAAATACCGATACACAGGATAAAACTTTTATAGATGTTGATAGTTCTGAGACAAACTGATAAGTTAAATTGATGAAATTTGTATTATATCTAAACATTGTTTCAATTTATAGCTTTATTAAAAACTATGAAACCTGATCACTTCGCTCAACCGGCTTTTACTGCTGTGAAAGCAATCCTAGTACTGTAAGTATACATCTGAACATTAAGAGAAGAGTGCAGTAACTAACAAGCAACTCCTTGCACTTAAAAACTTTATTTTTAATCCATCCAGACTGTTCCACACTCCATCAACCCAAATTAATAAATGATTTAAAAAGAAGAGACAGTTTCTGAACCTACCTCCAAGTTCCGTTCCTTCAGGGCCATTTGGAAATGATGTTTGGCTGTACTCATCATTATCTTTTGTAGTTTTAATTGCCTCTGTTTCCTCATAAGTAAGGTATCAAGTTGTTTCTGAAACAATTAAATAATAGTTGACCGAACACAACAATCATTTCCTACACTAACCTGTTAGTATTCATTGATTTAGTTGGAATTTACTTTTCGGAATTTACTTGTGGGTTTGTCTATTTCTGCAGCAGAATTCAAAATGAAGTAAGTCTAAAGTCTGTGGATGATAATTGGAAGTTGTCTTGAATAGATTTAAATGGTAGTTTAGATTCAAATAGAAATTAAACTTTTAAAAAGTTATAGTATGTATGGTGGAACCTGTCTCCTGACCCTCTGAACCTGAGAAATGTCCAATGGTTCAAGGCCCAGGCCATTCCCGAGTAGACGGAGGGTTAGGAAAAAGGTCTCATCATACAGACTATAATAATTTAAGGAGGTTGGTGTGAAAAAAAAAATTGTTTTCCTAAAATGATTTTATACTGCCATTTTGTAGCCTGAAATTTCGAGTTTCCAACGATATACAACAGTAAGTAAGTTATTGACCCTAAATATTATACAAAATTATTTTTTAAGAGTATTTCAGCTGTTTTCCAGCTGGGGCAGAGGACACTTTGACTTTTGTATATTTTTAGTCCATGAAAAAGATATTTTTTTCAAATTGATTTTATATTACCATTTTGTAGCCTGAATTTTCAATATTTCATCCCCCACTTGAAAGTTTAAATATACTTTAGAATAAACACTGAAATAATTAAATAGCTTTTTAATGTTAAAACTAGATTTTATCTATTTGAATACCTTAACAAACTTGCGAACTTCATTCAAATGGTTGGTGACGGAATCAAACGAAGCTTGTCTTTCCCTCAAAGTGTTTTGAAGCTCTTCTTCAGATCCACCCAACTGGTTTTCAAGACTGGTTAAAAATCTTTTAACTGTTTTGAGCTCTGTTTTAACTTCTTCCTTAGACCTTTAAAAAAATATAAAATATGAACATGGTGCAAAACCATATAAATTACACTACAGTAGACCCCCTCTTAACCGACCTCGTATTAACCGATAATCGGATTATCCGCCTTTGATCGTAAAATAATATAGTTTGTTTTAACCGACCTTGCTTTGAGCAGCTCGGTTTAACCGCCGCTTTCTAGGAATCTCGGCATTTCCGCTCCCACGCTGGGCGATGAGAACTGAACCATACGCTTATCTCCACAGGATATGACTAACAATAAGTTATTTTGTGATGATCACAAAAAATATAGCATAGCCTATTGTCAGTTTGTCATCATCGTTCGTAGCTCGAGCACATCTGATCTGATTTGTTATCTGTGCGGCAAATTTATAACATCATAAAGTGCGTTACGATTTTGAGATCTGATTATCTTATCGCTGGAGTAAACAAACAACGCAACTTGTAGGGAGGGCAGGGAAGGGGTGTTAACAACTCCAAGGTCAAGATAGTTTTTGTGCCTCGAGCCTCCAGTGAGAGGCTATAAATAAACGTCCTGTCTTACAACAAAATGGTCGCTTGTATCTTTAATGACGACAAAAGGTTCTTTACTGTATTACGATGTATTTGGAAAGCATTAATTAATACATTACAGTAGTAAAGTTATTAAAATAGGAATTTTATTGACTCTTGCCTAGTATTATAATATATTCACTGAAAGTAGGCCTATTTGACTTAACCGTGTTTTGTGTTTATTCGTGACATTTCTATCAATATGAAAAAGGAGAAGAGTAGTTTATTTTATAAATAATGCAAGTATGACTTCAAAATAATGATTATATAATTCCAAATGAATAGCACTTTATTATGTTATGATTTTAAGGATTGCCCGTTTTATCCGACCTTTTGAATCATCCGACCTAGGTCCGGTCCCATTAGGGTCGGTTAAGAGGGGGTCTACTGTATAAATCATATCCTGAATATACCATCATATTTCAACGTACACACACACACCACAGTGACGCAGTGACATTACACACACCATTCAATAACCATTCCACATTCCATGTAAGTGTATATAAGAGTTAGTTTTTTTTTTTTTTTTTTTTTTTGTAAACACAACATTTATTAGTTGGTATTAGTTTTTAGATGCAAAAACGTCCCCAACTGTTTTCAAAATTTTGTGTATATCAACTTTAGACAATTGTAATTTGCATTCTACTAATTGTCAACTAAGTCAGCAATTAAGATATCATATCATAAACCACTTGACAAAGAACACACGAATGAAAAAAAAGATAATTCTTAGTTTAGATTTGAAATTTAATTTTTGAAAATACAAATTTCCACTTTTCCAGCAACAAAACGATACTGGGATTGAGCGAGTTAATAAATAAAATCAACGTTAAACAACACACAATAAAATACACCCAGGTTGGAAACGAGTTAATAGTTAATAATATCAACGTTAAACAACACACAAAACAAAATACTCCCAGGTTGCTTCAGCAGCAACAAAATGATACTGGGAGGAAACGAGTTATTAAAATTAAATTATAGACGTTGAACAACACAAAACAAAACGATACTGGAATGTAACGATTTAATAGTTAATAATATCAACGTTAAACAACACACAAAACAAAACGCACCCAGGTTGCCTCAGCGGCAACAAAACTAATCGTTACACTCAGTTATGAAATATCACAAATAAATAAGAATCATAAAATAAATATAATATACATAGTTTTATTTAAGATAGGGTATTCATTAACTATATGAAGTTACTAGTATTATCATTCGGCAAAAGCAAATTTTAGAGTACAGCATATTCTAGATGTGTTTCCTTCACAGATTGTTTAATACTATTACTGCTGCAATATTGTTTACCTTCTGGTTTTGATCTCTTCGCCACAAGCTTGGCTAGCATTTTCCTTAGTGGATGCCAAAACCTCTTCAATTTCTTTTATTTTAGATTCCATCGTCTCTATTCTGTTTGTTGACCTTTTTATCTGGTCCTTAATTGATCTTTCCTTTGATGCTGTTTCTTGCATTAATGATGTTAATTTCTGGATCTCAATCTATAACAAACAAAACTCCCAATACAGCAATTGTGTCGGTTTTGAAATTGTCTTATATTTTAAATTATTCTTGAACTTGAACCATATTTGAAACAACATTAGTGGCATTAAACTGCAGTTTAATTTACCTAGCAAAATTCACTAACAACGTCAAACACAGTACTTTTGCCAAATAGTCTTTCCATTGAATGACAGAAATAATCTAAATATAACACAACTATGTATACAATTTGTTTTTTGAACTGTCCCTACAAGCTATTTCAACCCTTAAGGGTTATTAATTTTTTAATTAATATAATTTGTTACTGTACCAAATGTAACCTAATATGCACGAAAATCAAAATATTTAATGGAAAAGCCGACATAAGTATCTTCTTCTCTCTCAACAATAATATTAAGAGATACCCGCTCCCAAAAAATCCTAAAATTATCTAAAGCATGGTTGGTATATCCTAGGCGTGCGCTTGGTTGATCACTGACAGGTGTGCGTGTCACAAACAAAACCAACAGGTACACAAAACAAATTAAATGTCTCTTATTTAATATACTTAGCTTACCTGAAGTGGAACCTTCTGCCTGTTTGACTCATCAATTGTGCTTTTTAAGTTTTCGTAAAGAGATTTACTTTCTTCGTAAACCTCTTTTACACTCTCGCATTCATTTTTCAACTCCTAAAAAATGCAAACACATTACTTAAGTTGAATATTATCTGAGATTCATCTAATCAAAACTAGTAAAAATTTGATTTCCAAATATGTTTTAGTTGTTATAAATAACCTCATATTATTCAAAAAGGGTGACTGACATGAACCGGATGTTTTTAAATGGCTAGTATACCTGTGGCTACAAGTTCTGCGAGGGGGAGTGGGGTCACTAATTTGTATATATGATTAATGATTCCATTTTAGAAGCCATGGAGCAGTGGAAGGCACAACGGCATATGTTTGCCTTTGGTGCGTATGTGCGAAATGGCAAGTCTATCACGGCAGAGCAGGGCCTTTTTCCAGTTCACTTTCTACTTGTTCCCCATTCCATACAATTATCAATTGGGATATAATCCCCCAACCACAATGGATCTAGAGAAAGAAACAAGGAAGTAGCTTAATTAAACGCTATTAATGTCTAATGATGCCATGTCCTTCATGTACATGTACATGTAATGGGAGATTTAAAGATGATTGAAAGCTGCATATAAGTGGACTCCACCTGGCTGACATTATAATTGACACACAAACAAATGTGTAATATTTATTTTTTAAACGTCTAGTCTTTTCGGTCCCCATTTATATTACACCTTATCTTAACATGAAAAAGAGTAAGTCGGAAACTAAAACCATCCTAGGATACAAATCCGAACATACACACTCAGTTTTAAATACGATACACTCAGTTTTAACATAGAAAATTCTTAAGAGGTAGTAAATGCTTCACCGTCTCATCAGCAATACCACTTTAGAATTATTTCCAACATTTTATTTAGTATATAAATATGTGTAAGATATTTAGAATTCTTTTTCCTGTTACCTCACACTTTTGATGTTGAGCTTCATACTTGCTTTTCAACTCTCTGGATTCCTCTTCCAAAAACGCAACATTAGTTTGGCCGCCTGAATCTTGCAACTCATTTTTGATTCCCATAATCCGCTGTTCAGTGTCAAACATCTTCTTTTTGATATTCCTCAATTCTTGATCACTCCTCCTCATTGAAGAACTCAATTCCCCAAGGTGGTGTTGTATTTTTTGTTTTTCTTTCTCAGCTAGGTTGATATTTTGAGTAAGATCATTTAATTTCAAGGAGCATTCACTGGAAAATGTACAAAACTGAATAATGTACAATTGAAGGAATACATTTGACTGTGTGATACAGTTTTTGTATTCAATTTGAATTTTTTTATAATTGAAAATAAAGTAAGAAATTTAAAATGAAAGTTGGTTCTATGATATGGAAAAGCATTAAAAAGTTATTGCTACAAAAATTGCTTGATTATGAGATTGAGTCTTATAAACACCGATTAAAGTATTATTATTACCTTTATATATTTGATATTAAGTGAATCTCCTTTGGATTGGAAAACCCCCAACCTCATTTTTTTGCCCTCTTAATTTTCAAAGTTCTTACATTAATAAGTTCCCCTGAGGTAAACTAAGGATAAGTCTAATGTCTGTCCCCTACGACAGATGTCATAACCCCAGGGAATTTCTTGTCACCTAAAAATAGTAACCTAAACATCCACTGAAAAATTTTCAGAGTTGTGCAATAATGCATAGTTTCAACAAATTTTTAAACCGCTCTATTTTTGTTGCCTTTGCTATATAAGCCGTAAGAAACTGGTTACAGCTAGTTCACATAGATATGTCTACTTCATTATCCAAAATGGTAATTTTAAAAATATGTTGTTAACAAAGTCCATATAATATGTATTGGTAATTTAATTATAAACAATAAAACGACTAATCTATATAATTAGTACGCTACATGAAACTTTGTCGGTTGAACCCCTCCACCATTTCTTAACCGATTTTTTCCATTGACGTCTCATTGGAAAGAGTGTGTCGCGTAGATTTGCAAACTGACCTTACATTTTTGAAAAAAGCCGTTGGGCTCTGCCCCAGTGGCTTTTAAATTTCCCATGTTATCTTTATGAAGAACATAATTGTTTACATTTTGATCAGCTGTATAATTTAATTGCTGTGATTTATCTTACTAATATTATAAATGTGAAAGTTTGTGTGTTTGTTTGTTTGTTTGTTTGTTTGTTTGAAGTTCAATCACGCATAAACCACTGGACGGATTGGGCTGAAATTTGGCATGATGATAGCTTACATTCCCGATTAACATATAGGCATATTCTTATCTCAAAAATCCTTTCGGGCTCCGCCCCAGTGGCTCTGTAATTCCCCATGTTAACCTTATGAGTATTCATATTTAAAGGGAATTAAAGAATTTAGTCAGCTGTTTCAACTAAAAAAGTTGGTTCTATGATATGGAAAAGCATTAAAAAGTTATAAGATTTACCAACAGGGTGCAGCACTATATTTTTTTTGCATTTATGAAAACAGCTAATTTGAACTAAGCAGCAACAAAAAACTGTGATTCGCAATGAGAACTGTCAAAGTAGGATTGTTTACAGGTATGTATATGTTTTTCATTTCATGAATAATTTGTGATATTTTGCGAATTGATAATTTATTTTTCTCTATTGTTTAGGTAAAATGGTAGAACATTATGGCTATGGTAGATGTGTAATACTATAGAATACTGTAAATTTAAAAAAGCAAATTTTATCAAACTGTGTCCTCCACCCATTGCAATCGCAAAGCTTGAGTATAACTGCAATATGCATTTTATACTTATATTCCAACCCCGTACGAAGGACGGGTACTCTGCTAGTATCAAATATAAATCAATTTGCTGTGGTTACATTTACTGATTTTGTTGAAATTAAATATTAACCATTTTAATTTAATTTAAATTCGTACACATTTCATTGTAAAAAATTGAGTAAGCCTGGACAATTTGATATGTTTTAGCAAATAAGAAAAATGAATTGATATAGTACTGTATTTTTTGAGAAATCATTGAAAGAAACGATTTGTTAACCATGGAAAAATATCAAAGTCATAGAATGGCAGAATGGCCAAGTAGAAAAAATAGAGATTAAAAAAGATTTACCATCGTTATCAACCTATATAATGAAGAACACCTATAGCTACAATATGAATATTCCCACAAACAATGAACAAGGATGTTAGCTGAAGTTGAAGTGCTACTATTTTGTAGGAAACATAGACTTAACTTTATGATGATTGGCAAAGGAAACCCCTCTAAGTCTGAATTAAACTGGTATGGCAAGAACATTAATCATTAAATATATGTTTTCATAAAAGTCAAGTGATTTTAAAAGAATGTAACTACATCTAAGAAACCTCGATAAATCTTTCATTGAAAGATTCAAATTATTCACAATTAAGGGAAACAAAAACCCATCTGAACGACATTAGGCCTTTCAATTCTGCATTTTTTCAGGTAAATATAATTTACGATATAACAGTAACTAGCCAAATGAATGCCAATTGATGCAAATAAAATTGCGACAGAGAGGTTATGCAGAAAATCACATAGTTCTTAGTCATGTAAACAAAATGTTATCGCTATAAAAAATTTACTGAAATTTGCAAACGTACTGGCAAAAATGGGTGGTACCATGCAGACTACATTATTATTGACGAAGATCAACACGGACAACCTAATACGGCTATAAGTGGGAAACATTTAAAAAACCAGATCAACTCCTGAAAAATGATAAAAGATTTACAAGAAATGTTGATTATATGGAACTGTTAGGTACGTAATCTATGAGTTGAGTCTTTTAAACTCATCGGAAATTATGATGACTTTTATTTGTTTTTAAATAACTACTTTACTTCTTTGCAATTGCTCGATTTCGAGCAACGTGTAAACTAGTCTAAATAGTTATGATACAGTATTACACTGAAAGATAAAAATATGCCCATGAATTAATATAATTACTTGATTAGATCCTCCTGCTTGGCATGTAGTAGTGTGGCTCTCAGATTGGCACTTGAGGCAGAATAAGATTTGTAATTGGGAGCTGGGATGAACTGGTCGCCAGTCATAGTTAGAGCCTTCTTGCAGTGAGCTGGTACCTGTTGAAATAATTAATTTACTTGTAGGCCTACATAAGCAGTGAATGACTAACATTTTGTGATAATCAACAAGGTTGACTACAATAATAGCACTAGCAGTTACAATTTTGGTCACAATCAGAACGGGTCAGAATCAGAACAGCCAGATCAGAATCAGCTGAAATGTAGATCAAGCAAAAATGTGGCGTGGAAACACAGGAAACCTTCCACTTAAACCTGCTAAATGTTGTGAATGGACTATAATCATTACCTTGTGTTCCTCATCCAGCAGGTCGTAAGCCATAGCGTTGGTAGGTATGAGAAGCACTGACTCTGCCTCTAGTTGGTCAATGATACAGTTGGCCACCACTGGAGTGTCAATGTCCAGAGCACCGACCAGACTGACCAGTTCCCTTGTGCCAGTCTCATTGGCACTGATGTTGTGTGCCTACAATACGTGATATGGGATTCAGAAACAACAAAGATAATTTATTGATTAGCGGAGAAACTATTAAACAGATCTTCCAATATGTTTAGAATATTCACTTTAACTGTAAACGTTTACAAGAGTTGAAATGTATGTAAAATATGTAGGGGTCTGCGGTGCACCGAAAAAGTGGGTACAAGCTTAATTACCGTCATTGGTTCAGTACATCATTTACGTGGTACAAATTCGGCTCGGTACAGCCTATTATAATAATAAATTACTTATCATGTACTATCTTAGTCAATGGTAGTTGGTTCTGAGCACATAAAAGTCTTATCAGATGTTTGTTTACATAATTTATTACTAGGGCGATGATGCAATAAAAAACCATTAGCAGTCCCAAATCCATTAACATTTTATCACGACAATAATTGTTGTATTCAAGTACTTCCAAGAATTGTTGAGTTTTATCACTTTTATTCCTTTACGACTTTCCCCAATTCTATTTTATCATAAAAATAATGGTTTTATGATGACTGTAAATTTTATCTTTAACTCTGTCAGTATATTCGTGAATATTCAATTTGCCGCTGGCCATTGCCTAATGCAATAAAACTGTCTATGGCTTCATATTAAACTTGTAACAACTAATGTACATTCTTATTTAATAAGTTAAGATATTTGTTATGGATATGTTTTATTTATATTGATGAAACCACAAGCCGTAGTAGTAGTGTTTTTTGTTTCCTATATTTTTTTATTGTGTTGAAGGTACTTTATGCAATCTAAATCTTATGAACTAGAATTATGGTAGTGATTTTGCTACCCTCATTGTAACCTACTCAATTTATTTAGGCCATCCTAAATAATTAGGTCTAGGCCTGGGTCTTTTGACTCTTTGGAAGAGCTTTAAAATATACTAAGAAAATTGGATTGTGTCTGAGATAAACTATTGATTGATATGTGTGGATGCTAACTTTGAAAATGAATGGACAATAATATTAGGCTAGGCCTACTCTGTGGTAATCCAAATTTTAGTTTCAGAAAAAAACTTTGCTAGAGATGTATCCATCTTATAATTAGTTTTTAAGCTGATAAAAAAGATGCTCTTTGCCATTACTTCATCATAACATCCTGTTTTTCATTGTCAACTGTTGAATGTGAACAGCTGGCAACTACACTGTTTTCGTACTGAATGCTTTTATATGTTTTTAAAAGTTTAAAAAACAACTAGACATTGTGTTGGTTGGAAATAATTTACCAGTTGTGTGAAATTATCTTGTCAATTATTGCTTCAAACATGTTTATTCCTAAACATTCTTATCCTGATTTAAAAATCACTTAATAATGGCTATTCAAAGTATCTCAGAGTAAAATAGGTAAAACCTTTATCTTAACTGTGATTTTTCTTGACACAATCCTAGTAGGAGTAAAAGGTTTTAATAATGTGTGGTACAGTAATTTTTGTTAGAAAATCATGAATTTAGGATACTATCCATTTTCATAGTAATGTCATAAAATTAAAAATAATGGTTTAAATACAGTTCTGAGAAGAAAACCGCAAAAATACGGGTAGCCGCATACCGTACCGATTTTGTGCCAGCTGTCTGCTGTCTACAAACAGTGCTAACCTGCGTAGTTACCAAGTCTGTTTGTTTATGTCATCCAAAGCGGTTTATAATGTAATTATTTAGTGTTTTTACGTAAATAATGGATAGTAGTGACATCCGTATACATGTGTGTTTTAGTGAGGATCTTAGTGATCCTGACGAAGATTTGTTTGGTGTTGGTAATGAAAACGTACGCATACTAGGCCTAGGCCTATGCCTACTCTTGATCCTTGGGTGAGGGTTTCTGTATATAAGTGAGATATAATATTTTATTTTTATTTTATGTGCATAAAAGTATATATTTTCTTGTTCTTTATTAAATTCGCTACAAAATGGCTATTTTCAATTTTAGTTCAGAGCAAAATAATTTTATTTTTATGATGTGCAAAGTTACAAAATGAAAACAAATTTATATATTTTGTTTGTTTACATCTTTAAAAATATTTTTATAGAAACATAACCATGCAATAATATGGTATGTTTTTGTAGATAATTTTATACTGAACAAGAAAATATATAATATGTTATGGTTTGTTTAATTTTTAAACTTGATTATTAATTTTTTTTGATTGCCGCAAATTGCCTAAAAAATGCTTAGCACCAAGGGCAAATATAACTAGCAGTTGGAGGGTTAAGGTAGGGTTGTGACCCATTATTTCAAACTAGAATTTTACACTGATTACAATGCCACAATTCGTTTTTAAAAATCTTGATCCATTCTAAAGTTATGAGAACTTTTTATAACTTAATTTTTATCCCATTTTAACATTGTGCATTTACAAACTGAGACCATTATCTCAAAATAGTGCTAGATAAAGATAAGTATACACCACCATTTATTGTCGACCTATTTTTATTTGGTTAAGACGGGTGTATTTTTTTCGGCCGCCATCTTGGATCGGCCATTTTGAAATGTGATAAATTATTTTAAATATGAAGGTAGTGTTGTGACGCATCATTTTGAACAACTGTTTTATGCTGAACTCAATGCCGCAATCCGGCGGCCAAAAATGTATACCCAGTCAAAATGAAGTACTTACTACTCTACAATGATCTGACGTAGTACGGAGTTGATATCTTAAGAAATGTAGAAAAAAGTAGGGGGGTAACTCATTTAAAACTCACCCTGTATATTTACCGTATTGTACATTTTTACAGTAGAGAACAGTAAGTGTAAATTTATTACACCTGAGCAATGATAGCAGTGAGCAACCACTTTTTTACCTAACAGCAATTTGATCACCCTATCATTACAATGGACATGAAACCGTCTTGTTTCACACTGTAACAATATTGAGGTTAAGGCAAAAGGGCCTAACTTAATAGGATTTTTTGTGAGAATAGCAGATTTACCTGAATGGGAAAAAGGGGCAATCTGGCACAAAAAACTCCTTAAATAATAATTCTTAAATAATTATTGGCAGTAACAGGAAAATATTCCAATTTTTGTGTACAGTGTAAGTTTTTGTGTTTCTTGGGACAGATTGGACTGTCCCATGAATATTAGCCTGCTAAGGTCACAAAAATAGTAAAAATTAAAACAATACTCTAAGTTTTAACCAAAATTACTTACACGAGATAGGAACTTGCTGCAAACAATAGGGGGAGGAGCTATTCTGTAGGAAGCACATATAGGTTTGATTATTTTCGCAAGAGTAGCAGAGTCACTGGCATTATCCACACAGAAGGATGACAAGAACCCTTTGGACATAAAATTCTCAACAGCAGGTGCCCATTTGGGATCGTGCACTTTTATGTGCCTGCCTGAAAATAAAGGTTTAAGTTTAAGTTTGTATTTTTAGTTTTGAATTTGTGCATAATCCAGGCTTCCCACTCAAACTTAAATATTGGATTTTCACTGTTTATTCTTGGTTTTCACAGTCATATTTGCATATTTTTAGTGACATTAATAAGGGTCAGGGAACGTTTTCCAGGGACAGGATTGCAGCAGCATTGCATAAAGCTGTAGAAGACACCAAGAGACAAGTAAAGTATAGCACATGGTGTGTGCCCGTATCAACACCGCAGCAATGGTACAGGATGCAGTCAACACGCCAGCTCCATCAGAAAAATTCTGATTCTTGAGCAAGTTAGGATACACAAACAATAAAAACAAATTACAGACGAACAATAGGAAGGTTTATTTCACTATTCACAGAATAAGTAGTAATAGCCAATGTTTATTGATTTATTGGTATTTATTATTTTCAACAATGCTATGCTTCCAAATTAAACTAAAAGTGATGTTGATTAGAGACCCAAACATTCAACAAATATTTTATTTTTGTTATTCTAGCATGTATTTAACAATTTTGATTTCTTTCAGGAGGAAAATCTTTACATATCATATAAAGCCATGTTATCTGAATGTGTAAGCAAAAGCCGTCAACTAAGTTTGTTTCTAAGTTTGCTTGATAGGGAATTCAATGTAGCTCTGATGGCAGATGGTACTAGAGTTAGCCTTTTGAATCCATAGGGATTGCAATGGGTATTGACAGTTTTCAGGAATTTAGAAACAGAATTGATCCGTCGTCTCAACATCAAGTTTAGGTTTTTCACAGTTGATGAAATTCGCCGTTTTATTTAAGGTTTCCCAGTTGAGTAGTGACCCTGAATATGCTTTGATTTATAATGCTGTACAAATTAAACATCATATAGGTTCTAGCTTAGCTAGAGTTTCAGCTAAAATGACAACTGTTCCAATTCTATACCTTAACATGACAACTGATATAAGTGAACGCTGGAAATATTAATCCTGAAAAAATTATTAAGTTTACTTCTTACAAACAATTCAATTCTTCTTACAACTCAATTTCTCTAAATCAGCATGAAACTCACCAATAGGTCCGATCGGCTTCTTGCTGAACTTATTTGATCTTGCTGCCCTCTCAATCTCTGCTACAATTTTTACGATTGCTTCCCCATAGAAAATCAGATCATTGGAACTTTTACTGAGCTCTTTTAGCTGATCAGATACCTTGGCTGAAAATGCAAAAAAAAACAATGTTTTCAGTGTGCAACTTTCTAACCAGCATTTGATGTAGCACAGTAGAACTGTCAGCAGATTTATCGGGACTGGACCCAATTCAGATAATCAAAACTACGGATTGTTGGATTTTTAAAGCAAAAGGTATAAGCTTGAATAAGCAGATAACTCTTTGCCTGTCGATTGATACAGCACAACAATGACAGCTATAACTCTCTATATGACAGCTACAATCAACATCCATAAAAATATGCAATTGATTACCAGACTAAAAATCGGCAATTTACTTAATTTTCCTGGCCGTATTTATTAAATGTTGTTCTTCTCTAAGTGATTAGAAAATTTAGAGATGAATAGATCATTACTGTATTACTGCATGTACAACTAGCATTTATGGCTTTTATAAACAGCTACAGTATCCTAGTTTAATTTTCCAATAGATTTATTTATTTGGAGTTAAAACCCAGAAACCATTTAATACAATTTTACTCATTTTGTCAATAGGTACAGTAGAACTCCGATTATCCGAATCAGTGGGACCAGACCACATTCGGATAATAAAAAATTCGGATAGTCAGAGTTTAATGTGAATTCCGGGAATTTCCAAGAAAAATCCTCATTTTCGGTACTAAATGAACTTTTAATTAATAAGAAATGAAATCAGAACATTTTTGCAGTTTACAATGCAATTTTGGAGCACAAGTGTTCTATACATGTTCTTAAGTTAATAGTGTTCCATCAAAGTCCAAAATTACACATATAATGGCTAAATCTTTCTAGTAACAATTCTTTGATATTTTGCGAAACTTATTATTACTGTAGCATTACGTTTTAAAATTGTTGAAATAAGTAATGCGGATAATCGGCGATTCGGTTAATTGGAGTTCTACTGTATTGAGAAGAGCTCCAATTCAACTTTTATTTTGTCTTAATGAACAATTATTCAATGTTATTTAGGAGATTGTAACAGACATTATTCATAACGATTAGTTAAAAAAATAATTTAGAACGATTCAGGATATAGAATCTCATCACAAACTCAGTTGAGTAGTTTAATTACCTAGATCATAACTTGATTAATACACAATCCAAGCAATTTCAAAATTTTTACATTTAAAATCACACAGAGACGTGTAGGCCTACTATAGTCAAACAAATACAAAAGCTATGAAATAAAAGAATACCAAAATAACAATTGTCTTCTCCTATCTCATTCGATGGATTGGTTTGAGGTTAGTTGGTTTAAAAATCAAATCATTATCTAGTCTTGGCTCGGTTCGGTACCAAAGTAACAGATACAAGACGTTCTTATGTACTATCACAGCAAAAGAATTAATTGTTGATTGTAATTTTTTAACAGATGTATCTCTTGCGTAGAAAACTAAGCCGATGAACTGATGACATTAAGAAACATGAAATCTAATTAATTTGGCAAATCTCAGCCACAGGTTTGGAAAACAAAAGATGAGGAGGCAGTATGATTTGTTAACATCATAAAAAGAGAAAACCAACCTCAAAATGATCAGTTAACCATGTGAAAACCTTTGAAAATCTCATTTACTCACCTTTTTTCCTTTTCAGGTTCATGAGGTTCTGTTCACATGTCTGCAACTCTCTTCTAGACGCATCAATTGTATCGTTGAGTTGTGTTTTGTCATGTTCTGCAGTGGCGTCAGCAGCTCCAAGAGCATCCAACTCCTTCTCTTTCATGTTCAACTCCTCTTTAAGACTCTCTTGTCTTTGCTGAATTTCGGGTGCACTTCTGTAATTGTTGCAAACAAAAAATGCAATATGATCTTTATGAATAAACATTAAAACTCATGATTAGAAATCAAAATAAACTGTAACACTTCAACCATAACAACTTTTTTAATGATTAAAAATCCTGGATAAAACTACTTTCTTTTACACAGGCTCATACGAGCTCATCATGAGTTAATACGAAACCTGGCCGTGACAGTATCCTATCAGTCAGGTTGCTGCCTCTAAGCCAGTGAGAAAATGCTTTAGACTGCTTTGCCAGTGATTAGAACTACCAGTAGGGTACAACACTAAAAACGCTAATCAACAAAAAACCCAAACATAGTTCTAAACTTAAAACGCATATTGCAGCATGTATCAGTTCGCTTTCAGCTAAGGATGGCCAGGTCCCAACACTTGGATATTTTGGAGAAAAATATATTTCCGATTTCTTGAAGCAATCACATTTGACTTTGGGATTATTTTCGGAACCGGATTTGTTTTAACTGTCAGCGATTTAGCCACAATCGCGTGTGACAATGGTGATGTCTCAACCATCATGGGAGATTTAATTGTTGTTACCCGTAGAAATAAGCATAAGGAATTTAAAAGGTTAAATTTTAGAGAACCGTCTTAGACTTTCATTTCCCGTCAACCAAAACCAGTTAAAACGATATTGAGTAAAACATGGCTTAAAAGCTGTCAAGAATATTTAGAAAACAACGACCAATCACAGCGAGGTACACTTGAAAGGTAGTTAAGTAAAAGAAAGGCTATTGTGTTAACAATGCGGGGTCAAAGTCTTAAAACTAAAAATCCTTTACAAACTTAATTGATATTTTTTGTGTAAATTAAACCCTTAAGCACTAATGAACTTACTTAACAAGCTTTTCAATTTCAGTCATACAACTATCATATTTGTGTTTCATGGATTTCATATTCTCTTTTGCACCCTGAAACTTTCTTGCTAATTCGTTATATGAATCTTTTTCTTTCATATACTTTGATCTAGCAGATTCCACACTTGTACGAGCATCTTCAACTGTCTTATCTATTTCCTTTAGTTTTGATTCCAACTCCCTGAAAAAGATTGTTTAAACAGCTCATTACGAAGAATACATTTCACTTAAATTAACATAATACATAAATGGATTAATTTATTTATTTAACGCTAAAAACCATTTTACATTGTGCATTTCAATTTTTTTTTTTATTGTGTATTAATCATCAGGCATAGGATATCTTACGGCCTACCAATCACAGCTAGTCATCTAGTAAATCTAAATGTTTACAATAAAAATATGTAGATTTATGAGCCACGAGGGTTAAAAATCACTAGTCTAAAAATCACTTACAAACCTCAATATCTTATTGAAAAAAGAGTCACATTGTATTACTACTTCATTTTGAATTAACGCTACCTATTAACAAAGTAAACATTCTTGTTTTGTTAGTTTAAATACTTAGACAAACCCCTTGTAAAATTAAATTCAGGGATATACTGGGTGTTTATAAAAAAAAACTTTACAACTTAACAATCCTCCTATCCCCTTTTCATATAACATAAAAGTTTTCTAAAAACACCACTTGAAAGAGGGGCTGAAAAAGTTTTAATCAGAAACAGTTTTATCAGCTGATTGGTTTATATTGTTGCTTTGTAAACAATAACAAATAATTTATGAGTCTAGTTAGAATTGTAATGGATGCTCGTATTAATATCATATTAATTGGCCTACTAGGTCACCAGATATTACCCCGTGGGGCAGGATCACGTATATGCCAGTAAAGTGAGCACCAAACAAAAACTCTGAGAATCAGGAGAGAATTTGCTGAAATAAATTGTTTCATTTTAGGTAGTGTTTGGTCCGAACTGGTATTTAGACTTGACTATTTGCGTGCAAATAAATTCAAAGACATTGAAGTTAGATAAACTCCTCATTATGTACAAAAACTTGATATTATTTCCTAGACTTTGATTGTTATTTCATAGCTGTAAGTGGAAAAATTAAGGTTTTATGGTTCTTAGAAGTAAAGTTTTTTGTATATCAGGAGTTTTTTAATAGAAATAGTTTGACACTTGCCTCTAATGCAACAATAGAGTTGTAAGGTTTGTCACAGGCACAAATCCTATAACGTGTGTCAATGCTTAATTGGCTGATTCCCCTAGCTACCAAAGATAGTTCAGTTTTTTAAACAAGTAAAAATAACTACCTCATTTTGTCATTAGTACTGTCGTCCTGAAGGTATTTTAACTCGTCCTCTAGATTTTTCAAATCCTGCGTTTCTTTACTTAAATACCTTTGTAACTTTTTCAGCTCCAGATTGTGTTCATAAACCTGTAAAAAATAACGGGTTTCTATGATTTGCAGTTCAAATTTTACCATAAAGATATATTAATATTCTTGGTTTCCAAATAACATTTTTCAATATTATTATGAAATCCTTAAATGGCAGTTTTTGGGTATAAGATCCAAAAACTCAGGTTTTCCATGTCTGGGCTGCTTTAAAACAGACACACTACCTATAAAATTGTAGTTTTCTATGAAATTATCCATAATTTGGAAACAAAAAAGTGATAATAAACAAGATTTAAGTACCAAAATTATAAAATTTATTGATTTATGATTGTTGACTTTGTTCATTACAATCAGTTTCCAATAGAGCCTCAAAGAATTGAGGATGATTAGTTACACAACAATCTTCCAGACTTCAAGGATGGTATTTATTGATTCGTTTCAGTTTTAAGAATAAGACTTTTGTTGATTTATCCATAAGTGAGAGTGAACATACAGAATACACAAATGGCATTTGTCATTGGGCTAACAATATAAATTATCCTATCCTATTTTGGCAAGAGGTCAAAGTTAGATTTTAACAATACCTGAGTTACCAGTACCATTTTCTTGCAGAAAAAAATTAAAAATTTTAATTTTTTTTAATGCATGAAATGTCTTTGGTTAGTGCAAATACAATGCATAAAATACACGAGTAAAATTAGGTTTTAACTGAAGTTAATTATTTCTCAACAAAATAAAATGTATTTCAAAGGACTTCAGCCAAACTACTAGGTTATACTTGCCTCTGCCCACAATACTTCTTTTTCCAGCTGTGCACACTTTTCTCTGTTCTCTCTGGCATCCTCAAATATTTTAAGTTTTTCTTTGATTTCAAGTACATCATGGAATGCTTCCTCCACGACCTGGATTAAATTTTAAACACAGTTAATAGTATTATAGGTTTGTGTCCTTACGATTTTACAGTAAGTAAGCCTATTTTTGTTTACTAGTTTTTAAAAACTAGCGTATTCAGGGCCGGTTCTAGGAATTTTCAGAGTTAAGCGAACACCCGAATCGGCGCCACCTAGAATCACCCCCCCACCCACAATGAACATAACTTAACCCTATTTGTGAATTTTTTTTCCCCAAAAATTTGGGGAAGAACTTTTTTATGACAAGACTACAAGATCGCGCCACTCATCCTACACTCATCTCCATTCATACTTGGCTTAAAATACCTACTATGTATGGTCGCCAATTCATTGAACAGTATTAACAGTATGAGTTTAGGTTAGAAGAATACTTGCAATTAAAGACTTTTTCGACTATTGTTTATTATGCTCAGAAATTTAGCATATTTACACTTTAACTCATCATTTACACTTTAGCAAAACCCAAAGTTAACAATTTATTTCTAAATGTGAAATCAATTTTCACAGGATAACTTGGATACAATATAGGTTTTTATAAAGACTATTACAATGAAAAACAGGGGAGAGTGATCAGGGGAAGAAGGGAGGGGGAAGTTTCTTGTTGTGATAAGTGGCGTTTCACGCTTATCTCTAGCATGAGTCATGAAATGAAACCCAAAGGCGCTGCGCTGTATGCTGCCGAGCGTCAGCTCACTACAAATCGAAACTGCAAATAGTGCAAATCAATGCCTTGAGTCCTTGAGTTGAAGTGCTGTATAAGTATACGCATTTTTCAAGTGCTGTTGGTACAAACAGAATAAATGCCTTTGGTGGGGTGCTTTGAATACATGAACTCTGAGCGAAAAAACAAAATTAAGTTGTTCACTTGTCTCAGTAAACTTGTTTCCAATTTTGTCTCCTGAAAAAAAATGGTTGGTGCCATATGCGACCACGTAGTTCGCGTAAGGGTTAAACCGGGCCTGTGTGTATTGGTGTTTTATATATATACTATGTATACACATCATCGTTCCCGAAAGGGGTCAGTCGCAGAGACATTATCTAGGGCTGTGTGGCAATTGAGGCGGGCAGAGGTCGGCTTTAAGAATGCCAGTGAAGGTGCAGATGACCTGTGTCTTAGCTCGTATTGACCACCACTCCCAAAAAGTCGTGGCCAAAGAAGCCCAGGATGGAGGTACCCTTAAGGCCAAGGCTAAGCCGGAGCAGACAGCTATGGTTTTGTGGTCAATTAGACAGACCCAGGAACTGGGTAGGTCCGAAGACATAGCCACTTTTGCTGCTGAACTGAAGGTACATAAACTGTGCGTTGACAGAGGATCAATTATAAATTATCAATTGGATGACGTAATTGGGGCTCTTAAGAAAGCTGTGATTCACCAAACCAAATACGAGCCAGCAGCAGATAGTCGTCACTAAAAGGGAAGATGCACACGGCAGTAAGGTTTTGGCACTCCAACATTTAGAGTCGGCTGAGTGGAATTAACAAGGTTTTTTGGATGCCTCGGTTTCGGTGATTACTGCCAAAACTTAAAAGTGCCCGACTGAGGCAAGAATTGCCTTCGTTGTGTTGTCACAGCGGCCTCTCTTGTAGTCTTCGTAGCGGTTGGGAGCAGGAAGAACGAATATTAAAACAAGCGAATAGGGATCAACTAACACAACAATTTCATCGATTAAAAATAACACATTACAATTTACAAATCAAACCGCGACTGACCGAATAAACTACGAATTAGAGTAACGAATTTTAAAACGTACACGGACTTATAGAAGAAAGGAGTAAGATCAAATGAAAGGGGAGACCGCCCGCGCGGACCCTACCGTCGTTCGCTACATCCCGGCACGATCTGAGACTTCAGCATCGTTCGAGCGGAAGCATCAGCTTGGTCACATGACCATCGTTAACCAATCAGTGCACGCTGTCGCTCAGCCCATAATTCAATGCAAGGACAGTTGTTTGACAGGTGCTGCACCCAAACAATCACAGCAGACATTAATGAAACTAACTGAAGCGAGAATGAAGCTAGAATTGTCACATTGTTTATCGCGATCCACGTGCACTGCAAAGTCAGCACATTCCAAGGTGTATCCGGCCAAGCCACGACGTCTGGTTAGGATTATTGTAGGGCTACAAAGTAATGACATGAATTGGAGTATGAGTTATAAGGTTTACTTGGAGACTGATTTGAAGTTAAATAAAATTCAATATTGCTAAATACGGTTGACACATCAACCTAGAAAATATTTGGTTATAGCCAACGGGACAGGTTTAGGGAGTAAGCCCAATCAGCTTAAGCTCAAAGTTAACAAATTACAACAAAATGAGGCAAATATGCCAGGCCGTCACTGTGTGTGTGTGGGGGGGGAGGGGTAAAGACTACTAAGCTGAGCCTTGTTTTGTCAAGAAAAGGGGCTAGCTGAAAAAAACATTTATCATATAGCTGGGTCTGGGCAGTGCAATTCAAACTGCATTCCAGCAAAGCAAAAGCCCACACACAAAGATAAGAATACTCCATTGCAATCTTGAGCGATCCAGGACAGCTGACGTGCTTCTCACTCAGCTTGCCCTCGCACACGGTGTAGAGGCGCACTTAGTCATCAAACAGTACAAGTACCAGGATAGAGGCCCATTTTCTTGGTTCACTGAGCCTTGCTATTGCTGCATTCTGGGTGAATAATACAGCTCAAGTGCAAGTGCAGATCATTCGTTTGGGTTTGATGGAGTCATATGACCTACTATAGTGTCTACCTCACCCCAAGGCCACACTAAAAAAACAGGCCGTAATGCTCGTCAAGCATGACGTCACAATAGAAGATGGCAATGACGTAGGTATTTTTTTTTTTTTCAAGGAAAGATTAAAACAAGCAGCTGATCACAAACGGCAAACATTACATCATTGCCGTCTTCTATCGTGACGTCATGCTTGACAAGCATTACGGCCTGTTTTTTTTTGGTGTGGCCTTGCTCACCCCCAACGAGACTATCCGTGACTTCCACGAGAAGATAGGCCGCCTGGAAGAGAGCATGTGCGATACCATAGGGTACGTCATCATGGGGTGTTGAATTGGGCATGGTCAAATTCACTTGTCATCCTACGGGGAGTGCCAGTGGTGCCTGCCACACTTTGCATGGCTCACGCCACACTAAGGCATCAGTTACATCTATAATGGGGCTGATTGCCTCATCTTGCCTCTATAGCTGGCGTCTATGCCTCCCAGAGTCCCAGGAGACCCCGGTAAGGTAACTATTACAAACAATTCTTCTCTAAGGATAAATCAAATCATTGACCTAATAACCCTAATAACCAACCTGAAATTTCCTTTTGATATTGTCTTTGATTTTTTCTGCTTTAAAAGTACTTTCTTCAATAATGTTAGATATATCACCAAGTCTGGACGCTTTCAAAAAGAATGTATATTTTTTCTTAGGATCTGACGAGTTCAAAAAACTTCTTGCCATGTCTTGCTGTAATATACACAGAGGATTTTCTGGTTGGATGTTAAAGTGGTCACATATTCTCTCCAACTCTCTTTTTTCATGGGAAACGACTTTGTCTAAAAAAAATATAAAACATTGACAATGAGTATTAAGAAACAAGTGAATAACAAAACTAAATCTAGATCACTAATTTAAGTGTATTTTTTGTTTTTGTACAGTCTAACCTTTATATAACGAACCTCAATATAACGAATTCCTTGATATAACGAATTTTTTTTAATCCCCTAGAACTCTCCATAAGAGCCTATGTATATTTTACCTCTACATAACGAACAAACCATAACAACGACCTTGATTTAACGAATTTTTCGTGATTTCGGCTAAAATAAGACACCTCAATATAACAAATTCATCATTGTCAGAACCTCTACATTGCGAATTTAACCTCTGCATAACGAATTGTCTACGTCTTTCCCTTGATATAACAAATCCCCCACCCCAGTATTGTTTTTGGAAAATCTGTTTCTTTATCAAATGAAATGGAAAGGTGACGTCATCGCTTGCGCTAACATTCGTCTGCTCCGTTTTACACATCTCTCTGTCTGCTGTCGCTGCGCACGCAATGTTGCAACTGAGAACTGATTTCATTCACTGACGATTGATGACGACGTGACGTAATCTGTAGTAAGCTGTGATTGGGTGATAAGTAAATATGGTGAATTGTACAATTTTTGGACAAAGAGAAATCTAAGAAAGAATATAAAAATAAAAGCAAAGAGAAAGAATAGCAACATCGTTATTTTAACATTCCTTAATTTACGAGTGTTTTATTATCTTTAAGTTGGCTATGAATATGCACTTTTATAATGACTTATCTAATAATTTATTGTTTTCAATACGATTTGTTTCAACTAGCAACACCAATGCTATAGTTAATGATTATTATTGGCATTCCTCTGTTGTGATAAATCAGTACTGTACTGTAAGTAGCCTACCGGCCTATCACGGAGCAGTCAGTAGCTTACAAAACTTTCTACTGTTTTGTTTTGTTTTTTACATGGTTTATGACTACGCAATGTAGTGTTTAGCTAGGTTTTAGGAGGGTTAGAACAAGCTGTCATTTTAAACTTACAGTTTTTAACCTGTACCAAGGTCAATGCCATTGTCATGATTGCGCAATAGGCCTATTCAAGATCCTTCACCTTTATTATAATATTATGTCGGATAATTTAGTTTCTACCATTGACTATTGGATACAGAAGATTCTACTGTACAATGAACACTGTACTGTAAAGTATTGTAGCCTATGCTACTTTAATTATGTTTTAATGAGGTCAAATCCCGGCCTATATTGACGGACGCTGGTTCTGAACCTCGACTTAGCGAAATTCCTGCAAACCTAACCTCTATATAACGAACCTCATTTTAACGAAATCCTTGATATATCGAATATTCAGTTCGGTCCCTTCAGATTCGTTATACTGAGGTTGGACTGTATTTTTTTATATTTTTTTTTTATTATTTCTATCCTAATGTAATGTTTATTTATAAATAACATTTACCTTTATAAATTAGTAACCTTTGCCTTTGATCCCACACATATCTGTCAATTCAATAGTTGTTTATGATTAAATTAATCGTAGCTGGTCCCTCAATTCAACAAAATTTAGTTAGATGAAAAACAGGCAGTATTTATCTAAGGCATTATTACTTTCTTTTTTTCACTTCATACATTGACACTTTTATTATTTTTCAAACAAGCTAACAAAAAACATGAGCAAAGGTCTTCCAAAATATTGTTAAATATTTACATAAATTATTATAGAAGAAATCTTATGGTGGAATTGATAATTTTTTCTCTGTGATTTTAAAAGATAAATTATGCAAAAAGAGCCTTTTGTTAATTTTTGTATTAAGGTTTTTATTGTTGTTCAAAACCATTCATGGTAGGCCTATATTTTCCTGATACAGGCCAGAATAGTATTTCTTCTTGAGTTTTTAAGCTCATTTTTAAAGAATTGTCAAAAGGATGGTTTTACAAAAAAGTGTTGTATCCTCCAGAATATTTTGTTAAATATAAAATGGTTTAAATACCTGCATTAATCCAAGTTTTGTTGCTGTTGTGGCAACTATTTTCTGTTCTTAATATGCAGAACCATCATTAGGCCTACCAATTGAATTGCTTCATTTGAAGATTGTAGTAGATTTTAATGACATGAACACAAGAAAAACAAAAAAACACACATGAACAAATGTATGCATCTCATTTATTCGAATGTGATGTTTTTTTCATGTGTTTATTTAATCAAAATCTACTGATTACCTTCAAATAGAAAATATGGTTGACTCCTTGTGGGGCTGTTGATGGTTCTATATAATAAAGAACAGAAACTAGTTTCCACAACACCATCAAAGATTTAAAGTGGTTTATGATACCTGCTTATAGCAATCTTTAGTAGGTACTTATACCATTTTAAATATAATACAGGTACCGGTATCCAGAGGCCAAACAACTCTTTGAAAATTAAAGCGGATATAAACCGTATAATGCTATAATGGATAAATCGATAAATTTATTTTACTTTTTGTTTCCCTTATTTTTGTAACTTTATTTTACAGTAAGTAGCTTAATCTATACTAGAGGACCCATGCTGCTCTGCAGCGTTAAAATAAATATAATATCCGAGAAATAATCTAATTTATGATTTTTGATTGAGTAATATGGTATCTTGAGCTTAACTGATCCAAACGATTAATTGCTCAAATTGACACCTATAATTTACTGATTATTTTGAGTCTAAAACATATAGAAAAACATTATGAATACTGGAGCTGTTGATTTGTAATAATATTAAAACCTTACAAAAAATAATTTTTATGTTGGTTGTTCACCTTGCGTTTACTTGAAACTTGTCCGAATTGAATAACTAGTAGCTTAAATGAAAGCATATATAGTCAATGATGAAAACCAGTATTTCACTGAAGGTTCTTAGACTAAAATATATAGGACTATAAAATTATAACTGGTGAAGGTACATCTTAAATTGAAAATAAATCAAATTATGTGTTTTGGTCGAGTAATACAATAGGTAAATAATTGCCGATGCTTTATGTGAAAACTTGGCGCGCATGCCTTCAATTTGAGACCTCATCCATGAAAATTGTTCGGGTAGAACTGGTAGAACAGCCAAATGAACTCGGAAAAGAAAACCCAAATTTAACTTCCATAAGAAATACATGGGAGCAAATTTTGTTAACGTGTAAGCCAAGTAGGATGATCAATAAATATATGCCAATGCTTGATGTGAAATCTGTGCGTGCATACCTTCAATTTGAGACCTCAATCGTGAAAATCGGTCGGGTAGAAGAGCCAAAGGAACTCGATAAAGAGAAACCGAATTTAACTCCCATAAGTAATACATGGGGAGCAAATTTTGTTTGTGTATACACCGAGTGGGATTATAGATAAATAAATGCCGATGCTTGATGGCAAATCTGTGCGTCCATACCTTCAATTTGAGACCTCAATCATGAAAATCCGTCGAGTAGAAGAGCCAAACGAACTCGGAAAAGAAAAACCAAATTTTTTTAATATATAATAAGATAGTAGGCCAACATGAATTTGGTGATAAGTTTTTTGAAGCTACCATGCATCCAATGACCAGGTTTAATGTGTCATTGGATATGTCGTGGCATGTAGATTTGCAATCAAATAAAAAAAATTTGAAATTCCATCAGGGCTCTGCCCCAGTGGCCTTCAAAGTTCCCATGTTATCTTAGGGAGAAAATTTTAGTTTACATTTGAACAGATGAATTCTTTGAAATTTAGACTAGGCTAATTTGAAACAGCTGGTTATACTAAAATTGAAAATAATGGAAACATGAGCTATCTACTATTTATCTATGTTAGTACCTGGGGACCGAGCTTTGCTCAGGGAAAATCATTAGTCCACTCTGAAAGCAGTCTTAGTACTGTATTGGAGACACATAGATCCATTCCCAAACTCCACACGGCTCGCCTTTACTACGTCCTACACCATTTCCTACGTCATGGACCTGTTTCCCTCCATTTCCATAGCACTTTAGGATTGTAGATACCTTAATCTAATCGTTATTAACAGTTCCCACACTCCGGACAGCTCGTCTTTACTACGTCCTACACCATTTCCTACGTCATTGACCTGTTTCCCTCCCTTCCCATAGCATAATCAGAATTGCAGATACCTTAATCTAATCGTCATAAACAGTTCCCACACTACGGACAGCTCGCCTTGACTAGGCTACTTCCTTCGCCACTTCCTACGTCGCGGACCTGTTTTCCTCCCTTCCCATAGCATTTTAGGATTATAGATACCTTAATCTAATCGTCATAAACAGTTCCCACACTCCGGACAGCTCGCCTTTGACTACATCCTTCACCACTTCCTACGTCGCGGACCTGTTTTCCTCCCTTCCCATAGCATTTTAGGATTGTAGAAACCTTAATCTAATCGTCATAAACAGTTCCCACACTCCGGACTACTCGCCATGACTACTTCCTTCACCACTTCCTACGTCGCGGACCTGTTTTCCTCCCTTTCCATAGCATTTTTGGATTGCAAATACTTTAATCTAATCATCATAAACAGTTCCAACACTCCGGCTACTCGCCTTGACTACTTCCTTCACCACTTCCTACGTCGCGGACCAGTTTTCCTCCCTTTCCATAGCATTTTTGGATTGCAAATACCTTAATCCAATCATCATAAACAGTTCCCATGCTCCAGACAGCTCACCTTGACTACTTCCTTCACCACTTCCTTCACCACTTCCTTCGTCACGGACCTGTTTCCCTCCCTTCCCATATCATTTTAGGATTGCCCATACCTTTATCTAATCGTCATAAACAGTTCCCACACTCCGGACAGCTCGCCTTGACTACTTCCTTAACACCTTCCTACGTCGCGGACCTGTTTTCCTTCCTTCCCATAGCATTTTAGGATTGCAGATACCTTAATCTAATCGTCATAAACAGTCCCCACACTCCGGACTACTCGCCTTGACTACTTCCTTCACCACTTCCTATGTCGCGGACCTGTTTCCCTCCCTTCCCATAGCATTTTAGGATTGCAGATACCCTGATCTAATCGTAATAAACAGTCCCCACACTCCGGAATGCTCGCCTTAACTACTTCGCTCATCACTTCCTACGTCGCGGACCTGTTTCCCTCCCTTCCCATAGCATTTTAGGATTGCCCATTCCCCTATCCAATCATCATAAACAGTTCCCATGCTCCAGACAGCTCACCTTGACTACTTCCTTCACCACTTCCTTCACCACTTCCTTCGTCACGGACCTGTTTCCCTCCCTTCCCATATCATTTTAGGATTGCCCATACCTTTATCTAATCGTCATAAACAGTTCCCACACTCCGGACAGCTTGCCTTGACTACTTCCTTAACACCTTCCTACGTCGCGGACCTGTTTTCCTTCCTTCCCATAGCATTTTAGGATTGCAGATACCTTAATCTAATCGTCATAAACAGTCCCCACACTCCGGACTACTCGCCTTGACTACTTCCTTCACCACTTCCTACGTCGCGGACCTGTTTCCCTCCCTTCCCATAGCATTTTAGGATTGCAGATACCCTGATCTTATCGTAATAAACAGTCCCCACACTCCGGACTGCTCGCCTTAACTACTTCCTTCATCACTTCCTACGTCGCGGACCTGTTTCCCTCCCTTCCCATAGCATTTTAGGATTGCCCATTCCCCTATCCAATCATCATAAACAGTTCCCACACTCCGGACAGTTCGCCTTGACTACTCCCTTAACACCTTCCTTCGTCACGGACCTGTTTCCCTCCCTTCCCATAGCATTTTAGGATTGCCCATACCCTTATCTAATCGTCATGAACAGTTCCCACGCTCCGGACTACTCGCCTTGACTACTTCCTTCACCACTTCCTACGTCACGGACCTGTTTCCCTCCCTTCCCATAGCATTTTAGGATTGCCCATACCCTTATCTAATCGTCATAAACAGTTCCCACACTCCGGACAGCTCGCCTTGACTACTTCCTTCACCACTTCCTACGTCACGGACCTGTTTTCCTCCCTTCCCATAGCATTTTAGGATTGCCCATACCCTTATCTAATCGTCATAAACAGATCCCAGACTTCTCACTGCTACCCTTGACTACAATGTATCGAGTAATCTCCAGTATAATCTTTGCTAAATGATGTTTTTCCTTTTGTACTGTATTTGTAATTTGCTAGTATACTGTGGGTAGTTGGCTTATTATGAACACATGCTACAACTTCAAGTCATTTGTTTACTTTTTCCTTGTTATTTAATTCAGCCAACAAGGTTACCTAGCAACCCATAAGACTAATGTTAAAAAAATGTGATTTTCAGTTTCATTTTTCTACGTAATTAGATTTTTGTTGGCAGTTCTAACTGCAGTAAACTCGTTTTTAGGCCAAAATTAAACTATTTACAACATTTGAAGAAAATCGTCGGAACCGTTTTCGAGATCTTTGTGCAAGCAAGCATACATACATACATACATACATACAAGCAAACATTGCTCGTATTAGAGTATAGGATTAAAAGAATTTGTTGGATTTTTGTGTGCAGCAAATCGACCCCAAAATTGTTATTTGTATATGCATATTGGGTATCAACTTAAAGCTCTTATCCTCTAGATGTGCCTTTTGCGGGTTTGGATTATATATCGTAAAAGCCCTTCGTCCTACAGGCTTTTAAAATTTCAAAGTCAGTGCTGAATTCTGTTGTCAATTATCTGAACTGTTTCAAGTTTTTGTTTAAATCAAAATGTAAAATATTGCAATGCTATTTGTATAAAATGTAAGGAAGAAAATGACTTGCGTTGAATTTTGTGTTGTGATAGGATTTTGTGTTTTCATAGCAGCCTATGTTTTATTGATGTTTTAGGGAATTTAAGTAAAATATTGTAATGTTATTTGTTTAAAATTCAAAGAAGAGATTTTGTGTTTTCATAGTATGTTTTATAAGCATTTGTAGTTTTACCAAGATGCCTAAAAAAGATCGTGCAGACAATGAAAATAATATGGATATGATGAGAAATAATCTTTTTCACCTTTATCAACTATATATCAAATATATTTTTGGATTTTGAAGTCACAAAGTGACGCTGCTAGTTATAATCTATCTTGACAAAACTCCTATCTATGTACATTACCCTTTTAAGCACGTGATAAGTTAATAATGAATTTTTTAGTTTATTGTGTACAGTATTCATTTTAAATAATAACTAGTCCTAGGCCAACTTCTAACTATATTATATCCATTCACTAAGCTTCACTAGGCTAAGTTCAACACAATATGTGTAGTTACTAAAAATATTACTTGCCATGAACATCTTTGATTTTATAGCAGCTGGAAGATTCCGAAAACATTCGTTCCACTTTGATAAAATGTCCATAGACACTTGGGTTATAAGCTGTCCCTCCTTCGTTGTTGATTGTGATTGTTATTGTGCAAGACTTCTTCCCATGTTTGATCAAATCTAGAAAAATATTTAGAAATATTACAACTTCAGGTTTTTAACAGCTTACATAACAAGCCTTTAACAACTATTGGTCCACATAATTGTTAAGTGATTTCAAGGCTTTAAGTTGTACACTCGTGCCTGTCACATTTATGTCACTCATAACCGCACTCAGCTGCAATCAGAATCAGCTGTTTACCCTGAACCTGCCTCAACCAACTGAACAACTTTAAACACATTTCATTGAAATGGCGACCAAACAAAGTAGGTATTTTAAGCCAAGTATGAATGGTGATGAGTGTAGGATGAGTGGCGCGATCTTGTAGTCTTGTTAGTGACTAAGGCAACAAACCAGGCTTAAACTCTTTTCGTGCGATTTAGTTGTTCCTGTTTGGACAGTTTATGCTGTAATTTATTGGGTTGAATATCAAATAGTGGTTTAATGTCACAAATCTTTAACTGAATCCAGCCAGTAACTGAGGTTTCATAATACTTTCAATGAGTCAATGAGTCATTTTACATTTTAAATGTACAACAGTTGGATTTTACAGGCGACATAGTGGAGGATTGTACTTTGAAACTATTTGAGGTAATAAGATTGGAATTATTTTAATAACAAGCGAATTATTTTAATAACAAGCCAAGAAGGTCAAGTTTATTTCCTTGTTACAAATTCTATAGATATAAACCTAGGTACCTTTGATTGAAGACCCTCTGTTAGTAGCTAGTGCCGAGCCGCCAAGACCAACAGCTACTGCAGTTTGAATTGCAGATTTCCCACTTCCATTCTTACCAATCACAAAGTTTATGCGGGGATTCAATTGTACTTCCAAATTATCATGACACATAAAATTCTTCATTTGGACTTTATGGATGGTACCAGCTACTCCCTAGAATAATAATCAACTTTTTAGCATGCTACTCTCAATGGGGCTTTGAGATGTGTGTCGTCAGTGATCAGTCAAACTACAAAATATAACAGCCTGATGAAAGGAAGCATCAGTGTGATCAGTGTGCCTGTGCCTACCTAATCTAATACATTAATGCAGATATTTTCTGTGGAAGTAGCTTATTTATTCTGAGCAGAAGATAAATAAGGTCAATGAAAATAAAATAAGGATTATGGGTATGCAAAAAGTATTGGCATTTGCTACTAAGTTAACAACATCAAGTCATATAGTTCTGAAAGTGTTGTTACATAATCATGAATATGCCACAGACAAGAGAATAATTAGTTCACTTACTGATTTGGAAGGTCCGTTTTGTGACGCTGATGTCCCAGCCTGGGTCTGTGTAAAGTAGTCAGAATCCATTTTCTGAAAATAAATAAACACAAGTTGATGATAGTTTAAACTAAATAGGCTTACACTAGTCCGATTATGCTGGTTCACGAATTCGTTCTGAGAATAAACATAGGTTCACATGTTGTACCTACCAAATTTCATCAAAATCGTATAATTTTTTCTCAAATCGTCACAAAATTATTCGAAATTATTCGATTCATCAATTATTTTATTCGGTTAGTTAGGTTCTAAGGTTTTAACCTAACTAACCAAACTTGATATATCGAATAAAATAATCGATATATAGATCGATATATTCATTCGAATGTGTGTAGGACGTAAACTAAAGTGCATCCATATCTATATTTATAAAAGAGGAAGTTTTTATATATATATTTGAACGTTATGGACTCTAAAACCGCTCGACAGATTGTAATGTCAGGCATTATTAAGCATTATTCAAGGATTGTTTGTGTGAAGTTTGGTGCAGATCCGTCAAAAGGGCTCTGCCCCAGTGGCTCTGGAGTTTCCCATGTTAACCTTATGAGTACTCATATTTAAATGGAATTAAAGAATCTAAACAGCTGTTTCAACCAAACAATTTGATTCTGTGATGACCAAAAGCATCAAAAGGTTACAAAATGTACCAACAGGGTGCAGCACTATTAATTGTCTAAATTTATGACAAAAGTTGCTAATTTCAACCAAGCAGCTGTGATAGGTACAAAATTAAACAGTCAAAGTAGGATTGTTTACAGTTATGTTTATGTTTTTATTTTAATAAATAACGAGCTGTTGGCCCGTCCTAAGTACGGGAATAGAGTAGTCTATTAAAACTGTATATAGCGTGTCTATTACTAATTTAAGCATAGTTTAAGCAATTCCAAATTTATAATAAAGAAAAAGCTGCCAAGATGAATTAAAACATGTTTTCATTGTCATTTTCCCGGCCTTTCCTCAAAAAGTCGAGCAGTAAAATAATTTTCATAAGCTTCTTTTTAAAGATTTGTGAGCTTCGATTCGTATACAGCAATGGTTATAGAATCTTACATATTTCCTATAGGCCTAATCAATGACTAAATCACAGAGTAAATAAACTAACCTCAGTTCTATAGAATATTTGTTTATTCAACCAGCTGTTAGGTATAACAAATTATATTGCACTAAAACAAAAAAATATTTTAAAGATTGCTCAAAAAACTTAAATTAGAACGTCTACTATTTTACTATTTATATTTAAATAAACTCTCATAACCTCTTCTTACCAAATAAATGAAAGTATCAATGATTATAGCTTTACACATAGCCTAGTATAGGCTAAATAAGTCAATTATACTACGTATGTCGTTTCATTTTCATTCAAATGCTGAATTTGTGTCGAAAACGCTGAATGTTTACAGCTGTTACGTTAAGCAAATGTTATTATTATACCAAAAGCTAGAGTAGAATGTTAGCGTCGGCTGCTAGACTTTTTAAAATTTAAAACTTAATTTCTAAAAAACTGAAGCCCTAAACTTAAATTATGGCTTCGACATTTGATAAAAATATATCCATAAACAAGACAAATCTAGGCCTACAACATTTTACAATAGTCACCATAAGAATAACATAGGAATTTTAAAATAATTTTTTCTGTAGCCAATAACCGTATTTAAAAACACTTTGATATAACCTACTAAATTATTTTTTTGTGCTCTTTAAAAAGGTCTGGAGCAAAAAAGATAAAGTTTTTGCACCATTATTTTCAGGTAAAAATCTAGTTTCTAATAATATATAAATTACTATAGAACTCTTGGTCACCCTCATCACAATAATTACCGGGAAATTTGCTAAAAACTAAGTGCCCTTTTTGTTCAACATTAACTTAGGCCCTATAGGTAGGCCTGTAGCCCATACAGTCAGTTTATGAATTCAGATCATGTTATTGATTATTTTATAACCAACAAATTAATCTTGCATAAGTTACAAACCACCTAAATTAAATATCCAAATCCACTGCTCTTAACTGCGGTTACCAACAGAACCTGCAGCTTTCGGGGATTTTACGATAACGTGAATGTGTGTTGTTTCTAGCAACCTAACACCAGTTATAAGTGTGATTGAACGGCAAACACAACTTTACAACGATAACTAAGTCATTTTAAAGGTTCCTTCCCTTCCCTAGCAGCTCAATAAAAATTAACTCACCTGAATTGGCTGCACTTTAGTAAGCTTATCTGTCCTACACTCATTCAAATGAATATTGATTATTTCATTCGATATATTAAGTTTGGTAGTAAGGTTAATCTAACCTAAGTCAACTAACCAAATGAAATAATCGATATATCGAATAATCTGTACATCAATATATTTCATTCAAATGAGTGTAGGACAAATACTTAAGTGCCGCCAAAAAGTTTAACTTAAATTGTTTGATAGTTTAAGGTTTATTGGCAAATATTTTATATATCTACAATGCGATATCGTGTAATTTTTAGATGTCTACTTACAGTATTTTTCACGCTGAATCCAAAAATGCAATCAGTTTTTGTCGGAGAGATTCATAAGTGGCCGTAAAACGAAGGTTAAAATTACGAATCTATGGTTCATTGAGCTATACTGATGGTAATATGGCGTGGTCTGGATGGGTCGGTATGTGGACTGTGGACTGAGTGAGCAGGAGAGCAAACAGCTGTTTATGCTAGGCTTAATGCGGAATGAAATCAATTCGTTTTGAAACCAAATAATCAGAGGAAGGTAGGTCGGGTTTTATGCGGAATCGTGACTGTATTAAGTGTTTTGAAGTGAGGTTAGATTAGGAAGGTAAAGGTTAGCATTTTTGATATTGTTATTCCATTGTGTTTCACCCACTATTTCAATTGTGCAAAAACAGTCTGGAAGTTGCATAAATAAATAAAATAAATAAATAAAAATGTCTTTATTAAGCGTTTCTCTGGTACACCAGCTTTTCAGAACAACTTTTGTCACTATGCTACATATCTTATTCTACTATTTAGCCATTATACACCTATACAATAATTACACATTTTTTAAAAACATATCCTTAAGTTTTTCTTTAAATGTTTTGTTAGATGCAACAACCTTCAGGCCGTCGGGTAGACCATTGTACAACCAGGGACCAAAATATGAGAATCTCTTCCTCCCAAGCTCTAGAGAAACTCTTGGGAGGTGAAGCCTCCCACCCTGACGTGTCCTGCGCTGGGAAACCTCGTCCCGAAGAGAAAGCCTCTCGCGTAAATAGTCTGGCTTACAAAGAGACAACACTCTGTGGGTCATGCAGCACGTCAACAACCTGCACATGGCTTCAACGGGAAGCAGACTAGCTACTTCTCGAAAAGGAGAGACATGATCAAATTTTTCAAACAGAAAATGAAACGGATTGTGGAGTATTGGAGACGTTGCAAGCGATGCATGTCTTCCCGAGAAATGCTGTTGCCATATGAAGGGAAGCAGTAGTAAAATACTGACAGTATTAGTGACTGCACGAGCTGAAGTTTTGCAGCCTCTGGCAACAGGCCTCTGAACCTGTACAAACCTCTTAGTCTCCCTAAGGCTCGCTGGGAAACAAAGGTGACATGATCGGAGAAATTCAGATGACTGTCAATCACGACGCCAAGAGTCTTTGCTTTAAATTAATGAGTCGGTTCATTATAACCTAACCTTTAACTTACCTAATCTAACCTCACTTCAAAGGACTTAATACAGTCACGAATCCACATAAAGTCCGACCTATCTTCCTCACATGCCTTTTCTGACATAAAATGTGATTTAAACATTAATATTAAGGTTGGGTTGGGTTAGGTTAGATTAGATTAAATTATGTAACGTCATTTATTAGTTTCTGATACATTAAATTATGCACTGTGGCACGTTTTCACTTTTAGACACAATGGGATTATGTACTAAGGGATTATGCACTATGGCACGTTCATTAACAGACGTTGAGGAACTAATGTCAAAGGTAAAAAAAAAAAAGAAATCTGATGAACAAAGGTTTAAATTTTAACTTCCCAAACAACAAAAAATCAAGTATTTTTACAGAGCTTTTAAACAGAGAGGTGTCAATAAAATGTATAAAACCAGACGAAATACGTGAAAATGTCAGAGTTTTGATAGGGAATAAAGCAAATAAAGCATGGAAAAACTTTTAAGGAACTAACAGAAACAACGGAAAATTTAGCTCCTTGAGACATGCATTGAAAAGTGTCAGGAGTAAACTTGCAGAACACAACTCGCTGATAACGAAAGCAGATAAGGGCAACTCAATAGGTAGTGATAATGTAATAGTGAAGATTAATTTCTTCATCAGTGAATTCAATTTTTATGTTGTTGATAACTCAATTGTAAAAAACATGATTGCATTTGACGATATCTTGTTTATGTAATTTTTACATACAAAACGAAGGCTTGGCAATAGGGTCCCCACTCTCCAGTATCTTAGCTGAAATATTCTTGAACCATATAGAGAACAACAATCTCTTTACAGACGCTAACCGTTACAGAGATAAGATTTTGTTCTGTACAGATATGTTGATGACACGATTATGCTATTTAATGGTAATAGCAGACAACTTTCTTTATTAAACAGTTATTTGTGCAAAATGCACAGGAATAGCCTATTGAGTTCACGTTAGAGGAGGAAAAAACCAAGTATTAAATTTTCTGGACCTTACAATTAAGAAACAAAACGATCATTTCGAATTTAAAATTTACAGGAAACCTACTTGCACCGACCAGCCAATAAATGCTGATTCACACCACCCACACTCTCAAAAAATCGCCGCCTACAACAGTTTTATCCATAGATTGTTATCAATACCGATGAATCAGACTGATTATAATGAAGAAATAAACACGATAAAATACAGCAGTCGCAAATGGCTTTCACTCCAGTCTAGTAGACAAACTGATTTTTAAACATTTAAATAAACCTCAAACTAAATCAACAGAAAAGAAAACGTATATTTCAGCAATTTATGGTTCACATATCAGTAGCACATTTAAAAATATGATGGACAATAAATTCACCGTATCGTTCAAGACTAACAATAAACTTGGATCTCTATTGAAAGAAAAAACAGAAATTAATTCAACCATGTACGAGTACCAGGGGACCGAGCTTTGCTCGGAGGAAATCATTAGTTCACTCTGAAAGCAGTCTTAGTATCGGAGATACATAAATCTGTTCCCAAACTCCACACGACTCGCCTTTGCTACGTCCTACACCATTTCCTACGTCATGGACCTGTTTCCCTCCATTACCATAGCACTTTAGGATTGTAGATACCTTAATCTAATCGTTATTAACAGTTCCCAAACTCCGGACAGCTCGCCTTGACTACTTCCTTCACCAATTCCAACGTAACGGACCTGTTTTTCTCCCTTCCCATAGCATTTCAGAATTGCAGATACGTTAATCTAATCGCCATAAACAGTTCCCACGCTCCATACTAATCGCCTTTAGGGTACTACTTCCTTCACCACTTCCTACGTCGCAAACCTGTTTCCCTCCCTTCCCATTGCATTTAAAGATTGTTGATACCTTAATCTAATCGTCATAAACAGTTCCAACACTCCGGACAGCTCGCCTTGACTACTTCCTTCACCACTTCCTACGTCGCGGACCTGTTTCCCTCCCTTTTAATAGCATTTTAGGATAGCCCATACCCTTATCTAATCGTCATAAACAGTTTCCACACTCAGGACAGCTCGCCTTGACTACTTCCTTCACCACTTCCTAGTCGCGGACCTATTTCCCTCTCTTCCCATTGCATTTAAAGATTACCCATACCCTTATCTAATCGTCATAAACAGTTCCCACGCTTCAGACAGCTCGCCTTTACTACTTCCTTCACCACTTTCTACGTCACGGACCTGTTTCCCTCCCTTCCCATAGCATTTTAGGATTGCCCATACCCTTATCTAATCGACATAAACAGTTCCCACACTCCGGACAGCTCGCTTTGACTACTTCCTTCACCACTTCCTACGTCACGGGCCTGTTTTCCTCCCTTCCCATAGCATTTTAGGATTGCCCATACCATACCCTTATCTAATCGTCATAAACAGTTCCAACACTCCGGACAGCTCGCCTTGACTACTTCCTTCACAACATTCCTACGTCGCGGACCTGTTTTCCTTCCTTCCCATAGCATTTTGGATAGAGGATTGCATATACCTTAATCTAATCGTCATAAACAGTTCCCACACTCCGGACTACTCGCCTTGACTACTTCCTTCACCACTTCCTACGTCGCGGACCTGTTTCCCTCCCTTCCCATAGCATTTTAGGATTGCAGATACCCTAATCTTATCGTCATAAACAGTCCCCATACTCCGGACTGCTCGCCTTTACTACTTCCTTCATCACTTCCAGTGTCACGGACCTGTTTCCCTCTATTCCCATAGCATTTTATGGATGCCTTTACTACTTCCTTCACCACTTCCTACGTCACGGGCCTGTTTCCTTCCCTTCCCATAGCATTTTAGGATTGCAGATACCTACCTTAATCTAATCGTCATAAACAGATCCTAGACTTCGCACTGCTACCCTTGACTACAATGTATCGAGTAATCTTAAGTATAATCTTTGCTCAATATTAACAAGTGATGTTTTTCCTTTTGTACTGTATTTGTAATTTGCTAGTATACTGTGGGTAGTTGGCTTATTATGAACACATGCTACAACTTCAACCCATATAAGACTAATGTTAAAAAAATGTGATTTTCAGTTTCATTTTTCTAGGTAATTAGATTTTTGTCGGCATTTCTAACTGCATGAAACTCGTTTTTAGGCCAGAAATGAACTATTTACAACATTTGAAGAAAATCGTCGGAGCCGTTTTCGAGATCTTTGTTCAAGCAAGCAAGCAAGCATACAAGCAAACATTGCTCGTATTAGATTAGTATAGGATAAGTCTGGAGTCTACAAAATAAATTGTAATGACTGCACGAAATACTACATTGGCCAGACTTCACGCTCGTTTAAGAAGAGGTTTAAGGAACAAATGTCCAGAAAGACAACAGCTCCCCAAACATCAAATTACACAGAACATCTGCTATTACACAACCACAATCATTCAAACATCAATAGTACCAGTAATATGAAAGTTACATTTTTCGCAGGACCGTTTAAACAGAAACACATTGGGCTGCACTTTACTTTAGGTCCTACACTCATTCGAATGAAAATATCGAATGAAAATATCGATCGATATATCGATTATTCGATATATCGTTTGGTTAGTTAGGTAAGGTTAACGTAACCTAACTAACCAAACGATATATCGAATGAACCAATCGAATACGAATAATCGATATTTTCATTCGAATGAGTGCAGGACCTAAAGTAAAGTGCAGCCACACATTGGAGGAGTTTGAAATATACAGAGCAGTTAACCCTCTAAGTGTCTCTAGTTTTGGTCTTAATGTTCGCCCATTTATTGCGCAATTGCAGGGTTTTATTAAACTTAGAAACTTAAAAACAAAGTAAAGTAGGCTATACTGTTTTATATATCATTTTGTTTGGAAAATTATGGGCTTCAATGTAACATATAAAACATTACAAAAAAAATGTCCAACAATTTTTGTGGGATTAACGTTTCTCAAAAATTATAAAATAAATGAAAAAGATTTATGTTTGCGCTCAATAAATTGTTATAATTTATAGGCCTAGGTCTACAAATATTTTAAAATAGCCACTTTGTTCAGAATTTTATGAGGATTCCAAAAATATAATAATATAAGGAAGTAGATTTGTAAATAAATAAGTTATGGGCAAAAAACAGATTTCGGTACAAAGCGTTTAGCTAAGAATGCATAGCCTAACCATAGCTAGGAATCTGGCTGATAATTTACATCAATATCACTACCTACTTCTTCAGGATCATCAACCAGCCCTTCAAAATCACTTAAATCTTCTTATAATGCACCACATATATCAATACTTTTGATTTTTAACACTAAAACAATGATAAACGTAATAAAACACATCAGTCATCGGTGCGAGGTTAACCAAGCTGTTTACAAATACGCACGTCAGCTGTTTGCTACAATTATGATCGGCTCGAGAAAAAAAAAGCGCTTAAGAGACAGACCTCGGGAGAAAGCTTAGAATCTGCCAAAAAAAAGATACCTAACTCGATCCAGTTCAATCCGATTTAGTCAGTCATAGAGCCTTCGCCGTAAACAGTGTTTGTGAGTCGCAAAAGCAACACAAAACACTACACAAAGTGTGTTATGAGTCGCTTTTACGACACATAACACTCGGAGGGTTAAAGCTGACCATCAAAACGTTTTGAACGATAAACTCTCCTTTCAATCCAACTACTTATATTTACAATACAGCTATTAGAATACTGGAGGGGAACAATGAATGAATGAACACGCACTGGTGATAAGAAGACAGAGACAAACGTCATAGACCACTTTGACCGCTAGTCTAGACTTTACCTCAGCCCGGTCACGATCGATTGTCAATGTCCCTTCGTGTTTTTTATGTTTTTTGTAATGTGTGTCCGTTCTGTGTATCGTGTTTTGTATATGTCTTATTTATTGAAATCTGTTATTTACGACCTTCGAATGAAGTGATTATTTGACACCTTGAGGCCTGAAGATGGTTCACTAATGAACCGAAACTAGTTGCCAAAATCAGCAACAAAGGATTACTATATGCAGGTATTGTAAGCCATTTTAAGTAAAAACTACACGATATCGCATTGTAGAAATATCAAATAATTACCGGTTTATTCTCTGCATCACTTGTTTTAAAGGCCTACATCAATAATGACACACGATAAGTAATATAAAATATGTTAGGCCTAAGTTTACCATAATTTTGACCCAGATAGGCCTACAATCATTTTGGACTGTTTGTGCGTTAACTCAATTTACTCTGGCAAATCTGAAAACACTGATAGGACAGGCTAGCCAGGTATCTTTAAGACTAGGCCTACCCTAGTGTAACTTAGGCAGACAATGAAGGCTCTTGGGGGTGGATTTAGATAAACGGTATTCTATGATTGTCTCTTAGTACAGTAGGCCTATTACAACTTAATATCCTCCCTGATCAAAGATTAGGTAATTTTCTTGATGTTATCCCTATAGTAATTTTCTATGATATTGCAATCAATGTCAAACGTGAGATATTTTCTTACCTGTCCAACAAAAGCGGAGATCGATTTGGTGGGTTTGAGGAGAGATTAAAATTAATTTATCGTTAGAATCTCACCCGTTCAAAACATCAAGACAGAGACGCCAAACTCAACAATTTGAATTCACCACACCATTACCATTCTATCTATACATTCAGCAATCAGCTCAGCAGCACTCAGAAGGACTAGACTAGAATAGAAATAGAACTCAGTCAGACATAAGGACAGAACAGAACGAAAACGAAACTGAAATAGGAAAAGGAGGGAACTTACTGGTTACTAGGCGAGCGTTTCAGGGCAGGAATTGGACTAGTCTACTGCGCATGCGCAAACCGTAAAATTGAGCTGATCTGAAATGAACGACTCTCACACAATTGAAGCAAAAGAGTTGTTTACTGTTCTCGTTCTGTCATCTGTCTGCCCAGTGCCCCTGCCGTGCCCCAGCGATTGTAGTTTTCAAAGTCTTTAAGCTGTGTTTTTTTTGTTTTTTTTTTTTTTTTTAATAATTTGAGGTTTTATTGAAGTATCGTATGTTTTGAAGTCGGATTTAAGTGTATAAAAGAGTGTTTATTGTTATGCGTTCTACCTACGGTGCCATCCCCGTGCACCCTTGTAAGTTAAAGTTAGTTTTTATACTGTAGGCCTGTGGCCTAGTCTTTAAAAGTGTTTGTTGTGTTTTGTTCCAAGTGTTGTCCAAATAAAACAAGGATACAGTTTCTTAACTGGGCTACACTAATATCGATTGAAACTATCGATTCGATTAGTAAACTTCGATTTTTTCACCATCAACAAGTTTGGTTAGTTAGGTTATGGATTAATTTTACTATAGACATCCTATTTTAAAATATCGATTATTAATCAATATTTCAATTCGATAGTTCCAATCGATGTTAGCGTAGCCCAGTTAAGAAACTGTTGTACCCCTGTAGGGTCACACAGTTAGGACATGGTTAGGACTACCGACATTTCCCATAAACATTGCAAAAGGACGAATCTTATAATTATATAAGAGCTGTCTAGGCTGTGTGGTAAAAGGCACTTACAAAATAAGTTACCAAGCGGTGTAACTTTCATATTAAGTTAGAAACCCTTGGGTGAGTTGTATAAAGGCCTAATCTTTAGGTTGACACATTTAAACCTATAGCTTGTAAACCATTAACTGTCTGGAAAAAAGTCTATGCCGTAAACTAAATATGGTCCTTAAGCCAATTAAATGTGTAGGCTAACTAACTAACATTTAAATAACTTAGGCCTTGGCTAGGCTTTGCATTACCCTGGCGTAGGGCAAGGCTAGGTTCCGCTATCGATAGACAGGCCTAGGCCCTACACTATAGTACCCTATTAGGTTACTATATTATATTGGGTCTCTCACTCTTTGGCAGTTTCCTGTTAAAGGGGACATTCATTATTATCGATGATTTCTTTTCGATATAAGCTTATCAATATTTTTGTTTTACTTCACGATTCATAACTTATTCCTTCTGTTATCTTCAAACACATTTAAATTATCTACTAATTTAGAAGTAGGCCGAACCTTGTTTAGGCAAACATTTAATAGCCTATTTTATTGGATTATAAAATCAAACTAAGCTAATCTAACCTAAGTTATAACATAACTAACCAAACTTGCTGTATAGGCTATGTTACCGTTTCAAAATTCCGTTTAATACCTAACAGAAAAGGAATGGGGAATGGCTGTTTAACGCTGTTTAACGGACAGAAAAATAAAATTTTGATATTCGAAAAGAAATTATGTATGATAAATGTTCCCTTTAACAGGAAAGTACCCATTCTTTACATTATACCATAGACAAAAAGAATTAAATATAGACCATCAGCTGTGCTGCGGTTACCATAGGTTCTGGCGCACACTGCTTGGAGCGCCACGGTGGTTACGGCGTAAGCGCTACGTAAACTACAGCTGGGTGCGCCGGAACCTGTTAACCATGGCAACCGCAGCACGGCTGGTAGTCTATATATAATTCTTTTTGTCTATGATTATACTTGCTACTCATACACACATATAGTGTCTAACTTAATAAGAATGCTGTAACCTTTTGAAAGAGGCATTTCCTCGCGCTGTTGTAATAGTCAGAATAGGCTATTAAAACATCGTTTGTTTAATTTTAATCGGTTTGTTTGAAATTATTTAGAGTAACATGGCCATGAGAAACATGCTATTTGAAACTCCAACGACAGGAAAATATACGTTAAGTTTTATAAACGATTAAATTGTAGGCTAGTTATTTGTAGCGGCCAAAAACTGTTGTCCCGTTACCTACTTTTAGGAATAAACAATCTGTTCTCTACTTAGTGATGTAAAAATCATTATAGGTACAGGTTGTTATGGTCATATTATTATAAAGATCAAAATAACTAGGCCTACAATTTATTCTTTAGTTGGGGTAATTTTGAAGAAACAAATAACAATACATTTACAGTCTTCATTTTATGCTAGAATGTTTTACTGTAAACAATGTAGGCTATTAAGAACTGCAGTAAAGTCCTTTAGAGAACCTGCAATATCAGTAGGCCTACCTTCAATACCTTCAATATATATTGGGTGAAATATCAGTTCGTTATACAAATAGTACAAATAGTATATTATTCCCTGTGATATAAATTCCGATTTTTGTTTTGAGTATTAAAGGTGCTGTATCGTGATATGAATATTTAAAGCCATAGATTCTTTTCAAATAGACTTTCACACTGTGCTGTGGTGGTTAAACAAGAACAAGGTTAGTTCAGTTTGGTTTAGTTTATGTTAATAAAAACCAGGTAACACCTAAATAAATACAAATTGTTCCATTAGCATCATCATTGGGTTGGGTTAGTGTTGTACAGTTTTCTATCAAAACCGATTGTCAAAAGCGCCAAATTATACCTAGTTGTGTCTTTTCATGGGTAACTTAGCTTATAGAAAAAAGCTTAACGTTTTGTTAATGATACCTTGTTTGTTTATAAACTATAGGCCTACCACTTTCAAAAGAACCTGCGCAGAACCATGGCTGTCTTGCGCACGTAGGGGTGAAGGGTGATGGTGGGGAAGGGCCTGGAGCAGTGGTGGGGATAAGTCGTTGGTCGAGGTGTCTTTCCCCACGACTCTGACTCTCCTGCTGTCCTGCATGCACGACTCAAACAGGTGCGTGGTTTTTTTCTATGTGGTAGGCCTATAAGCTAACATAACCTAAACGCCGCAATGGTCTGTAAAAGATTGGCGGGTGGTCCTCTTTTTAAAAAGACCCATAGGCTAGAAGATTAATAAGCAGGCCTATTTCTTTCAAAATATTTTATATAAATTTGAAGCTATTGTCAGTAGGCCTATTAATTTATAGAAACTGAAAATTTGATAGGATAGGATACATTAAAGTTTCTCTGCAGAACTTTGCCCCATAACATTGCTGTTGCAGTGCAATGTAATTTTCAGAATCAGTCTTCTTTGCTTTGTATTTAGGCTAAGTAAAATTGATTTTCCTTGCTGCATATTAGGGAACATTATTACCATGTTTAATAGCCATGATAAGGTACAGTAGACTCCCTCTTATTCGGAAGCCTTTTAACCGGACATCAGTTAAACCAGACAACCAGGCAATTATTATCAGCACATCGGTTTAACCGGACTAGGTCGGCAGGAAGTGGGAGGTAAGCGTTACTGAAACGACTGTTCTTGTGTTCAGGATATAAAAACAGTGATTACTAGTCTAAACACATTGCTCTACTACATTTTAGTCAAATACTGTATACAGTATGAATTTAAACGGTCAGTTTTAATGAGTTTTTGGGACGTCAGTTTAACCAGAAAACCCATTATCCGGACTGGCCTGGGTCCTGAGAGTCTGGATAAGAGAGGGAGTCTATTGTACTGTATATTTTACTATGTTATAGTGACACGAATAAAAAAATAACAGCCAAAACTTCATGCAATAACCCCATAGCACCACATACAATATGTTTGTTAGTGTGAACTATGCTGTAGGCTTCACATTGAATGTGTTGCCCAAGTTTATTAAATTAAAGCTAAAACAAAGTTGTTTGTTACAGAGTCATTGATTGAGGTGCTGGTGAACTGATTGAAGACTTAAAAATGTTTTGCTATTAGTGTGAGGTGTGATAGTACGGACTGTTATGATAAATTACCACTGTTTATGATTTACTTTATACGTTTTAAAATAAATGTTCTACATAAACTATTAAAATTGAATTATCATTTACAATGCCACTATTTCCAGCTGTAATAATTTTTTTATACTTCTTTTAATTATTTTTTTACTTAGTTTCTAGACATACGTTCTGATGTAGTCAATATTTGCATAATCCCAATCACTTGCACTTTCAAAAATAGATATAGTAAACACAACAGCTTTTTATATGCCATTGTTATTATTTATTGGTGTTTTTGTATTGTAATTGTTAAGTTGCAAGTGTAGTTGCAGATGCATTGGTCTGTTTAAATGTATAAAGGAACTAAAATAAAATCTGAAAATTCCAGACTAACATTAAGATTATTCAAACAAAGGAGTTGGAGTATGTAAAAAATTCCTAAAACTCTCATTTTAAGTTTGGTAAGTTTAATTTGATACCAAATATCAAGTGTTGACCTTATTTCCTATATTTTCTCTGGATGGTATTTCAATTTATTTTATAATTGCAATGATTCTGCTTCACTAAAATTCCAGGGCATGGACTGCAATCAACATCTGCCAACATCAAATTCGAGAAAATCTAAAAATTTGTTAACTCACTTGTATATACCGTTTAATATTTAAATACAACATGAAAAATAATAGGATTTCCTGGAATTTTCCAAAATGTTTGTGATCATTCTCAACATCCCAGGCAAATCCCTTGAATAGGTATACTCAGATCACTCAACAAAAATATTCTAAGAAAATTTGTATATAGAAATCTGGAGAACATTCTCAGAATATTCTGGTAAAGTACTCTGGAATATTCATGGAATATTCTGAATTAAATTATTAATTTTGTCAAGTACCACAAAATAACTTGAAAAATACAAAAAACAATGTTTTTAGGGTAAAAAGTGGGAAAACCCAATTTTTAGTCCATTCCCATAGTCAATATTAAAGTACCGAATACTTAAAATGCAACGGATGATGGGGTGAAAGAGGAATGGGATGACTGACTTAGAGACTCAAGTCGTCAATCGTCATGGAGGTAGCGAACAGCAGATTAGCAGAACAGACAGAACTGAACTGAAACTGGACTGAACTAGTAAGTTATGACTCATGAGTCGACTCGTTGAAGACCAAGTACAACTGAATTGGTTCTTTCTGGCGCATGCGCAGTAGGCTAGTCCAATTCCTGCCCTGAAACGCTCGCGTTACTAGACTATAGAGAGTAAAAAATATAAAGAAGGAAGATATTGAGGAGAGAAAAATGAAATATATAAGCATTAACATTGTTATATATAAGCCTCATTGATTATACATACATCCCCGAGGAAGCATGTTTTATCATAGACTAGACTCACCGATGATTTCACAAGTAGACTTCTCATCCCATTGTAAATTTTGAAGCTCGTTTTTCATGTCTAGTTCTTGTCCGGTGACACTGGTGGCTAGTGTCGACCAACACTACACACTAATAAAATAATATACATTTTTTTTCTAGTACCTGGGGACCGAACTTTGCTCGGAGAAAATCATTAGTTAACTCTGAAAGCAGTCTTAGTATCGGAGATACAAAAATCTGTTCCCAAACTCCACACGGCTCGCCTTTACTACGTCCTACACCATTTCCTACGTCATGGACCTGTTTCCCTCCATTCCCGTAGCACTTTACGATTGTAGATACCTTAATCTAATCGTTATTAACAGTTCCCAAACTCCGGACAGCTCGCCTTGATTACTTCCTTCACCACTTCCAACGTAGCGGACCTGTTTTTCTCCCTTCCCATAGCATTTCAGAATTGCAGATACGTTAATCTAATCAAAACCCCTTGTAACCCCCTAGTATCTGTAAAAAGGTCCCTTGTACAGCTCGGAACCTGCCGGAAGCAAAATTCAAAATGGGGATTGAATCTCTTCTGTTGGCAAATCCGATTTACTCATTCAAAGAGTATTTTGAAATTTCACCTGGCCAAGTAAGTAAGTTTTTTTAGCCAATGAGTGCCAATGTGTGATGATAAATAAGTTTTGTTTTTGTTTTTCAATTCTCTGCATGGTGTGTTGCAGGCTTAGGCTATGATTTTGATGTATTGACGTTTCCTTGTACATATTATGCTTTCAGGAAATAAATCATTCTCATTCTCATTCTCATTCTCTCATCGCCATAAACAGTTCCCACGCTGCATACTAATCGCCTTTACTACTTCCTTCACCACTTCCTACGTCGCAAACCTGTTTCCCTCCCAATACTCTGAACAATTTTGAAATTATATTATTGGTATGTTGTCCTAAGTGAGTTTAGCGTATATGGATATTCCAAGTACAGTAGTTTAACAGAAACAGCATTGTCTGCTTCAAGATTACGCAAAGTAAAACGCATTTTTTTGATTTATCATGATTTATTCCATGAAAATTACTTTTCAAATCGTAAAGCTTACTCAATTCAATGGCGATTTCTATACTTTGGTTTGTATAGTGAAAGTTGTCATCTTATGAAATGAAGGATGTGTCGTCAGTATATAAAATTGTTTTGTAAGATATAGAGTTAGGCAAATCATTAATATAGAGGATAAACAAACCCGGACTCAGCACTGACCCTTGAGGAACCCCATCAAGGACCTCCTTAAAATTTGATCTTTGTTGTCATAAATTAACAAATTGTAGTCTTCAACAGAGGTATCATTAAAAAAATGTTCGTGCTCCATTATGACAGAAAATTCACATCTGCAAAAGAATCGTATGTAAGACCAAATCAAAGGCCTTAATGAGGTCCAAAAAGTGTCACACTAAGATAACCATACCAGATTCCAAACCATCCAAGATATCAGACACCACATAATCTATAGCCAAAGTAGTTGAACGTTTCGGTCTAAAACCAAATTGGTTGCTGTTAAAAATATTATTTATGTTCAGAAAATCTAAGATCTGGGCTTTAGCACAGCTGATTCAACTATTTTTGAACACCGGAACCATTGAAATTGTTCTATAATTTGAAATGCGAAATTTATCCCCTTCTTGTAAATAGGGATGGTTTTACTGATTTTCAAGCAATTTGGATTTGAAAGGTTGAACTAGAAAACACCATATTCACAAGATGTATCAGTGGTTCCATAATAAGGAGCAATGAATTTTACAATTTTGTTTGAAAGACCGTAAGCATCTTCACTGTTTAACGGATTAAGGGATCTTATTATTTTTGTCATATCATTCTCTGTTACCAATTTCCATGAACATTTATTTCGAGAACAATTAGCATTATTTCGAAAATTAGAGTAATCTAATCTCCTAACCTTGCTCAACATGAGCCTTTTCTACTACCTTTTTTCCACATATATGTGTATGTATGTATGTTTTGTTTCATGTATGTAATGGTTATTAAAATCATCTGCTGAAAAAGGTGGAACGGTATTGAAAAAATCCCCACTTTCTGATTTTACTTATTACCTTATTACCGTATCTTCATCTTTTACCCGAAAGGGATTGATGGCGTCAATACTTTCAAAAATCAAAAATATACATTTAGACAAACTGACATAAATACAAAACATATATTTACAGCATTGGCAATGTGGATAGGCGGATCAGTCAGAAAATTCTGGGAAAATGTCTTCAAAAAATTATTTTAGGGAATATTAGCATTGACTATATATACCTACAGGTTATGCAGGAATGAGGAATTCAGGTAGTTCTTTAGTAAATAATATGAACAAGTTATACTGTTATTTAAGTAAAAAAAGTAAAATAATTATTTGTAAAGATATACTGACAGCAATGACGAATTTCATCATTAACAATCTCATTCGGCTGAGTGCTATTTGTAGAAAACACTAAATAATAGCCTTTGAAAAATGATAAAACAGTGGGTATTTCCATTAGTTACATAATCTTTGAGTTGACGCTTAACTCGTCGGAAATTGTGACTGCTATTAGTTTTTAAATAACTCCCCTGAAAAAATACTTTGGTATTGAGCAACTATCAAACTCACGAACTACTTCGTTCCTATCGAATCGACTCGACTTCGACGGGTCTGACTTAGGGTAAAAACACAGTGGAGCAGGGCAGGTAGCTGGTAGCCTGGCTGGTCGCTTACTCGCTTACTGCTGGTTACCTGGAGGGTAGCTGGGACATACACACAGTGGCGCTCAGTACAGTCGCTTGTCAGCCGCCGATACTAATATTATCACTTATAATATTAGTGGTATAGGATAAACTTTTGTTTGAATCCATCCATCCTGGCAGTTCATTCGCTATTTCATTCTACATATCGTTGAGTACGTGACGTTGTGGTAGTCCGGACTCCGGATGGGCTTGGTTCCACAAAGGCACACGGATAATAACCTCTGATATTAATTTGTCTACGTCCATTATTTTATTTCATGTAAACAAAACAACATCCAAATAAATCAACTAAAACAAACAACACTCCGTATACAAAGAATGCGCAGTGAAAGATCCCGCGCGGAACTTGCGAACTCGAGAACACGTGGCTGTCAAATTCTGCTATTTGCGCATGCCCCAGTCGAGCCCTCCCCGCTTGAAGCTCCCAAACAATCGACTTGGCAATTCTTCTAGCTTGCCGCCTAGCTTACTGCTACCATGTCGGCTACCTGCTAGGCGCGACTGTGTGCGTACCCATAACAACGCGTGCTTTAATTCTACATCGCAGTAAGCGAGTAAGCGACCAGCCAGGCTACCAGCTACCTGCCCTGCTCCACTGTGTTTTTACCCTTAGGGGAGGTACGAATGAGGCATTTAGTTCAAAATTCCTCCGCGAACAGCGCTGTAGTAGAGAGCATTTTGGCAATGAAGGTTTACTATTCGCAAAAATAGTTCTGTTCATAAAATAAAATTATAAATGCCTCAAATTCAATTTTTATAATTTTTTAATTATAAAATTAAACTATCATAACCTAACCGAACTAACCAAACTTGCTGATAATTAAATAATATAAAAAAGATTAGTAATAGAAAAAAATAATTATGTTTATTAAATAAAACTAGAAATTGCTCAATTAAAATTTTATAATGACTTAATAATAAAATTAAACTGTCATAACCGAACCAAACCAACCAAACTTGCTGATAATGAAAAAAATCTTAGACAAAAAGTTAATGCATCCAGCGAGATTCGAACCCGGGACCTTCAGTACACCAGCCCGGCATGCTAACCACTAGACCACCGAAGCCATTGTCCACAAACCGTATTGTTACGGTAATAGCGTTCCCTCAGCTAATAAGAAGCCCACAGCTGTCATCGTAGCCTCTTCCGTACCTCCCCTGAGTAAATACCGACTTCGGCTATTAGTTCTAAATTCTAAAATGATGACTGAGGGTGTAGTCACTGAGCTAAAATTATAACTCAGTGTTAGAATTATAGCTCAGTGGGTGTAGTAGGGAGGAGGCTCGGGATTTTTGAAGAAGAAGAAGGCGCACCGATGTACCGTTCCGATTCCAATTCCGCTGTCCCACGGCGCGGTGGTGGGGGGTTGTGGTCCTCCATGAACGGTCTCGGCTCGGTCTCCACGATCACTCCATCACTCATCATCACTCTCACTCACTCCTTCTTCCAGCTTCCAGTCCAGTTCGCTGTCTTGTCTTGCTACTTGCTACTTGCTAGTCGAAAGTCGATGTTAACTTTGTTTTTGATACCTCAACCTCGTTGTAAGCAAAAACAAATTTGCTAGAGAAAACTTTGTTCACAATACAAAAGCTTAGTTGTGTTAGCTGAAGATAAGTTAAGGTGAGTGAATTAAAGTGTGTATCTTTAGTTAGGTATATAAATGCTTTTGGATTTCCTTCAACTATGACGAAAAATGATTTTATGTTGTCTTAGCGGCGCGGCATTTTGTATAAGTTTTGTGTCCTCATATGGTGCTAGTCCTAGCGTAACTCTAAAACCTGTGTGGCCCGATTATAGGCCTATTAAGTGTTTTAGAAGGCCTACATCCTTATTATTTAAGTGTTAGTTTGGAACAGATGCACCCTAGCCGCCAATTAATGGGCTGAGGTAGCCTAGACTAAGATCTGACATATAGGCCTAAAGGAAGGGATTTTAACTAGGGCCTTAGGTTTAGCCTAAGCCTACCTATTCCAAACTTAACTTTTCCTTGATTTAGGCTGGGCTGCACTTTACTTGACGTCCTACACTCATTTGATTGTTTTTTCGATTCGATATTTTCATTCGATTGTTTCATTCGATATATCGTTTGGTTAGTTAGGTTAGGTTAACCTTACCTAGCTAACCAAAGGATAGATCGATTAATTGATGGATCGATCGATATTTTCATTCGAATGAGTGTAGGACGTCAAGTAAAGTGCAGCCTTAGGCTGTTAGGCTTCAGTAAGCTATTCTTATGTCTGATTATGCTCCCTTTATTTTAAGGAGGCTAGGTAGGCCTAAGCTAAGACTTACTTTAATCTAAGCTTGCAGGCCTAGCCTAGGCCTATTCTCTTTATTTACTAGCTGGCCTGACAGACGTCGTCCTGTCCTAATGTGGTTTTATATCAAATGTTCGTTCATTTTCAAGATGAGCTCGTTCGCAACTTAATCACGTCCTGGTCGAAGTTCGTTTGCTACGCTCACTCACCTTTTGGTTGCAAATAAGCTGTGGTCATGTAAATTAAAAAAAATAACTTAATAGTGCTGCACCCTGTTGGTAAACCTATTTAACTTTTTAATGGTATATTGAACATCACAGAATCAAATTGTTTAGTTCAGCTGTTAAGATTCTTTACATAGGCTAATTCCATTTAAATATTCAAGTACCGTAAAACAGGGTGACTTGAGGCCCGTGGGGTGACTTGAAACCATAAGCTAAAAAAGTTTTAAACTTTTTTAATTTTATAACTCCTAATAAATTACTTGTACACTTCAACCTTTTTTGAAGCCTAATACCTTAGCTTCAATATGGTATAATAATATCTTCAATTAAAACAAAATTGAATGTAAAATAAAATAAAATTTAAAAGCAAAAAAGTTTCCCGAAAATTTTAAACTGAATAATATACTTTTTTCAGAACAATAACTCTCTGAACCCTGTCGCATTTTTTTTCTCTTTTTTCAACTTCTCAAATTACATTATCAGCATAGTTTTATCTCTTATCTATTATAGGATTGTCATAAACCTCAAGTCATTGTCAAAGAGTCTTCTTGAAGAGACTCCAGGGCCATGTCAATACATACGTATGATATCGGTATGACAACTATATACAGCACAATAATATGAGGGATATCCAGAAAGTAGATTACGTTTTTGTCTGTATCCGCAAGGGCTGGGCTAGCGCAGCCATCTTGGTGTCAGTTTGTTATGCAGCTCAGTTGGCATGTAGCCTTGCTATTGAGAGGTTTCTGCTGTACTCCGTTGAGTTACTCTGACAGTTAAATATGCCGCGAAATGTGAAGGTGCGTGCAGATATAAGGTTTTTGACTGCATAAAACTGTAAACCGATAACAAATTATCGGCAACTTTGTGAAGTTAATGGGGAAAACATTATTACTGAAGGTGGAGTGTGTCAATGGGTCATACAATTTAAAAATGGCCGAATTAACGTTCATGGCAAAGAGCGAAGTGTATTGCACTAGTCTTAACCGAAAAGCTTGGTTACCACAAGTTTTGTGCAAGATGGGTACAAAAAATCTTGACAGAGAGTCACAAAAATCAGCGAATGGCTGCAGCACTAACGTTTCTGGACACTTACGATAAAGATGGTGATGTGATCGCATCGTTACTGGTGACGAAACATGGGTCAAACATGTGAACTGCGAGACGAAATTGCAGTCAATGCAGTAGGGGCACACAATATTCCTGCTACCCAAGAAATGCATGCAACGATGTCGGATAGGAAGATGATTGCGACTGTTTTTTGGGATAAGGAAGGCGTAATTTTTGTGGACTTCCTGGAAAAAGACACTACAATAAACTCTTAAAGATATTGGCAATCTCTGCAAAACCTTAGAAGAGCGATACAAAGCAAGCGCAGGAGAAGTTAAGCTCAAAGATTCTGTTGATTCACGACAACGCCAAGCCCCACACAACAAATGTCACTCGCGCGATGTTCTTGAATCTTTTAAGTGGGAGTTGTTTCCTCATCCGCCGTACAGTCCCGACCTGGCACCGAGTGACTTTCACTTATTCCCAGCAATAAAGAAGTGGCTGGCTATGCAGCGTTTTGATGACGACGCACAGCTAGCCTACAAGAAGAGGTACGGTAACCAAGTGGTTGAAGAAGCAGGCGGCCGAATCCTACGACGAAGGAATTTCTAAGCTCGTTTGTCGCTATGAGAAGGGCCTTAATTTGAAAGGTGATATGTAGTAAAGTAGAATTTAAGTGTGGCTTTCATTTGTATATAATAAAATATTTTTCCAAGACTGTTTCCAAAACGTAATCTACTTTCTGGATAACCCTCGTATATCAAACTAGGGAATTTCATCTGATAATAATATGTGTTGTAGTTTCTCTGCAGAACTGTACTCGCATGTTGTATTATCACTAATTATTATTGTTTTCCCAAGAGATAAAAATTAATTATACATGTAGGCCTATTACGACACATTTACACCTACATTGTGAGTGGCATTCACAAATAAGGTAACTGTGCTTATTTGAGCTTTTGTGATGTTAGATATGTTAAATGTGTATCTCATTCAAAACTAAGGTCAGATTAACTGAAAATTTCCTTTCAGGAATTTTGTACCTATGGTCTGCTTTGATTAATCTCTAAAATAACTTAGCCTTCTCTTTTGTGGTTGTCAGGATGGGCAGAACAAAAGAACCTAATCCAGAGCCGGTTAAGATCGCTCGGGCATTAGGGGAAAACTTATCAATCAACGTCTCAGAGGAGGAAAAAAAATACAGAAACAGGAATGGTCCAGGTAATTATTAGTTTTTAGCAAATTTTTCTATAGGGAAGTAGATATACTTATACTATATCTAATCTACGTTACAGTATACTATACGTATACTAGTAGTAGGTGGCACGGCAAGACCTAGAAACTCGGAACCAATATACTTTTTCATTTTGATGTCCCTTGAGACCGAAAACACTATATTATTCAAATTTTTATATATGTAGGCCCTATAGGCCTATATAGGACTAGCTGTGTACCAGTTCTACGGATGGGGAACTTGTAGTCAGTTGAAACCTTTTTAGAAGAGTAGTTGGTTTGCATATTTAGTGTGCATTTTCCAGATACGCTAAGCAAAACTATTATAGGAATATACATGAACCTTCACAAATACAACTTTTACAACTTGTAACAATATCTGACAGTTTCAAGCCAAAACAAATGCTTAGAATTAAATGTCACCCGGATATAAATCTTGTTAGTCTGTAGCCTATCAACACTAACTCAATAAGAATTAAAACTCAATTTGGCTGATTAATTTGATAGAAGTTACTTTTTTGGAGTGATCTAAGTTGATCCCAGGTATGTAGGCCTACACCTTGGTAATTTTAGCGAATTTCCCATATAGGGAATATTAGCGAATTTCCCATATAGGGAATAAGCTATTACCGTAGGTCTCATGGTAAGACCTAGACCCGGGACCGATTTACTTGTTCGTTTTGAGGTCCCCAGAGGCCAAAAACACCATCCGTTCAAATTCATATATATATATATATTTATATATATATATATTTATATATATATATATATATATATTTATATATGTGTCCGTTAGCGCGATAACTCGAGCAAAATTGATCCGATTTTGATGAAATTTGGTACAAACATGTAAACCTACATTTATTCGAACGAGTTCGCGAACCAGCATAATCGGACCATGGGATCAGGGGTTTATGGGGGGTTTTATGGGGTAAAAATGGGTTTTTCTCATTTTTGACCCTAAAAACTTTAAATTTCTAAATTTCTCTCTAGACCATTTTGAAGAGCTTAAAAAAACAAATAATTTAGTATATTGAAGTTTTTTTGAATGTTCATTGACTACGGAGAAAATTAAAAAAAATTGTTAATTTAAAATTCCCATGTTATTCTTATGGAGAATAAATAAACTGTTGGAGTTTGCTTGTTTATGGATATATTTTAATCAAATTTGGCTTATTTCATACTAAGCTATCAATATTTCAATTCAAAAAAACACACCTCAACATCTTCCCCGTAGCAGCAAACCTAACTACTCACTAAAATTAATGTTATTTAAATAGGAAATAAATCTGAAAATGTATAGGGAATATTTTAGTAGAAATCAAGCCAGGTAAATGGAAATTCGCTTAGTATGCAGGTTTGCTGCGACGGGGGTATTTTGAAATTGTACTTATTGATTTATTTTGCAATCTGACTTTGTATATGCATTGTACATGTTGTTGGTATATAGACAACAAATGATTTGATTTGGTATTTTATATTAAATGATTAAACCTAAAAAAAAAAAAATGCATAACCCTAAAGTAAAATTGAAAGCTACTTCCCACCAGGGCTAGAAATACGCAAGGGCTAGGCCAAGCGAGAACACGCGTAGATGCCGGGAGACTAATGCACCGCCATGCTAGGCTGCCTTTGCGTCTCTCGCTGATCTTTCAACCCCTTTAACTTATTGTGTTATTGAAATGGTCCACTGGACAAAATAGTATCATCACCTTTGACTGAAATGGTCTAAAGCTGCAAGTGCAAACTAGTAGAAGTAGGTACCAGTAAAATGATAGATATTAGATTTTTTTTAAAGCAAGTACAAGAAAGTACAACAAGTTTTACAAACAAATTTTACTTATAGAATCTGGTTTTAAAGAAAGGTTTTTGGAACAAGTTCTTGTATTGTGGATTTATTTGCCCCTGGACTTAAATTTTCTCAGGTTAGCTAGCTAAAGTGTCCTATTCCTTTTCCAAAAATTCCCCAAAGAAAATAAATAATTTACTTTTGTGTCATTATTATTGCCACAAGCATTTCTTGGTGAAGAATACTTTTGGAATATATATGTTGCTATTTCAATCATTTCAATTTGTTTTGGTTACTTTAGATGATGTGAATGACATTCCCAAAGAAAAGCTCAAGTGTACAGTCTGCACAAAAAGTCTTGTAGACATTGTAAAGAAGTCTGCTGAACCATTTGTGCATATGATCCTGGGAGTCTTGATGTGCAAGGTTAGTGATAGTGAATCAATAGTTTTTAGTTATTAGCCTATAAATTTCATAAAGGTATCTTGAATGTTCAATAAGTTTTAAAATATATTCTTGAGTGTGGCAGATTGTGTAAAAATATAATAATAATAATATATTTGATTCTGCACTACAACCGTTTTGTAGATAACTCCATCGTCAGGTGCGTAGTGGTACACTAAACTGTAGTCTTGTTACACTTAATACGAAAAGTCTTCATTTGCATTGTGTCAGCGGTTTAATAAATATTAAACATATAAAAACAGGATGGACACATAAAAAGACAAATACACAAAAACATTTGTAGCACATGCATGGCTTAAAAACTGATGTCCTGTTTTTCTATGTTTAATATTTATTCAACACCTGACTTAATGCAAATGTAGACTTTTTGTATTAAGTATAACAAGACTATAGTTTAGTGTACCACTATGCATCTAACAATGGAGTTATCTTAGAAATGGCTGTAGTACGGTATGGCACCTGATTTTTTAGACGGTAAGAACCAAATATATTATTACATTTTAAAAGTCATTTAATTTAAAAGAATTTAATTTAAAACACTAAACTTCTGCTGTAAAAATCTTGTACTTTGTACCTACTTAAGTTTATTGCTGCTGTTGGGAAATTATGCAGAACACTTAACTGACCCACTTTTTCAATACAACTGTTTGAAATTATTTTAGTCAGGGTTGTCAGTGGAATTCCAGGAAAATCAGGAATTATGCGTGAATTTTGTTTATAGATTCTGCTGACAACCCTGTTTAGTTTTAAGGGACATTTTTTTAGCGGTACCAGTAGGCATTTACTATTTTCTCATTGTTATATTTTATATCAGGATAGTATTTTCACTTTAAAACCTCTGTCCACTCTCCATCCAGTGTATCATTACTTCAGTTATCAGATTCGCGTGTTTTCAGGAATGTTCCTCTTTCTATGGAGACGGGTATTTTTCCGTTGATGATGAAGGAGATGACAAGTATTGCCGCTGGTGTGGTCAAGGAGGTACCCTGTATATATGCAGCAAATGTACCTGTTCTTTTTGTAAGGTAAATATAATTCATTCTACTTAATTGTTTGTTATTGTACATGTATATTTGTTATTTTACTGCAACCCAGGACCAGCTTATAGACATCTAGCTTATCATAACTAAATAGGTTACTTAATTCGCTGATATCTAACAATAACCCAGCTTTAATATCAATTCAATTGGAACTTTAAGTCCTGGAAATTAAAAGTACAGTAGAGTCGCTAAAACGAGTGTTTAATTCCTGAATTGTGTCGACTTACCTGTGCAACATTGTAATGCTAGCATATACAGTTGTACTCCAAATCCCCGGATAAATTCATGATGAAAATCCCCGGAGGTTGGTAGACATGATCTACCTAAAAAGAAGCAATCTGTTATAGTGAGTTTTAAAATTAAGTTTTAAGTGGTAAAATACTAATGGATTTAACTTGGTATGTGTTAATATTATCTTTGGACTATTAAGTATCAATTTGGACGATATAAATCTGTGCCGTAAGTTGCTTTTAGCGAATTTCCCTATAGGGAAGTAGCAAACCTGCCGTCTAAGCGAATTTCCATTTGGCCGAATTGATTTTCAATTGATCTATTTAAATAACATTAGGTTTAACGAGTACCTAGGTTTGCTGCTACAAGGAAACTAATAAAGTAGTGTGTTTTTAGTAAAATATTGATAGCTTACTATAAAATAAATAAATTTGCCAAGTTTGATCAAAATATATCCATAAACAAGCAAACTACAACATTTTACAATATTCTCCATAAGAATAACATGGGAATTTTAAATTTACCATTTTTTTAGTTTTCTCCGTAACCAATAACAGTACAAAAACACTTTGATATACTGAATTGTTTGTTTTTTTAAGCTCTTTAAGAAGGTTTAGAGAAAAATTGGGAAATTTTGTGTTTTGAGGGTAAAAAGTGAGAAAAACCAATTTTTACCCCATAAAACCCTGTTCCCATGGTCCGATCATGCTGGATCGCGAACTCATTCAAGTTTATCCCGCCTTACACCTTCAAACCAAATTTCATCAAAATCGGATAAAAATTACTCAAGTTATCGTGTTCACGGACACATATATATATATATATATATATATATATACATATATAAAAATTTGAACGAATGGTGTTTTTGGCCTCTGGGGACATTAAAATGAAAAAGTAAATCAGTCCCGGGCCTAAGTCTTGCCATGAGACCTACGGTATTATTATTTGCTAAAACTTTGATAACCGTGAAACTGAGACTGATAAGACATTGCGGCAGCATGTTTGTTACGACTGCGCAATCATTGCCGCGCAGCCGTGTTCAGGATTACCAGTTACAGGGAATTCTACCCAGCCGCCGCTCCCTGCCACTGCCAACGTCGAGCCGTCGGGCGCCGACACCGTATTTACGGAGTGCCTACACTTTCAGCGACGCAACCACCACGTCACTCAGACGGAGCAGGGTGGTCCCAGGTATTGCAGGCGCTACTACTTCATTGGTAAACCGTGCACACGCTTTCCCATTCTGACTACATTAGCCTACAATTCTCTATGGAAGGACCGGGCGATTTAATGCTTGGTTGTACAAATTTTTGTACTGAAACTGAAAGTTTAATTTCTGAATTTTGTCTCCAATTAAGTAAGCTTGTTGCTAATAGTGAATTGAATTGTTTTGATCACCTTATAAATGTGGCAGCAAAAGTTGTTTTGGAATTTAATGTTCTATGTGGTGAGCATCTAGATACCAATCAGAGATTAAGAGATGCCGAGTCCAAAATAAAAGAGTTGGAAGGCTTCCTGGATGAGTCTAAGCGAAATTTTCGATTGAAATTAAATGAATCTTTGGTTGTAAATGATAGTTTGATAAGTGAAAAACAAACTCTGGAAAGTAGGATAGATGACTTGAATGACAGCCTAAGAAAGGTTTCAAGTAAAAGTATAAAAGATAGAGACTTGCAATCTAAGTTTGATATACTTGTCGAAGATTATGATAGGCTACAATGCGCAAATAGTAAATTCATTGTAGAAAACAGTCGATTAAAGAAATTGCTTGACAAAAAATCATTAGAAGCAAATGAATTAGCAACAAAACTTTGCGATGTGTCTGAAACTCTCAACAACCTGAAAGCTAACATTGATGACAAAACTAAGTGGTTATCGGACGATCTATTGTCATCATATTTTAATTTATTTAACTCTGAAATTTCCATCCACCGTAAAGATGTAATGTTTGTGGGAGCAGCAGTTACACACATTCTAAAGCTAGAAAATAAGGTACAAGTCGAAGCGGTGCTATCTGAATTAGATTTTAAAAGCAAGCGCCTTGTTTTCTTTTGTTTAAACAACTCTCTAGATGATGGAGGTGGAACCCACTGGAGTCTGTTAGTGTTAGATACAGCCTCAAACACTGCTGTGCACTATGACTCAGCCCAAGGCATGAACAGACGCCATGCTCAGATACTGCTAGAGAATCTAACCATATGTTCCAACGTCAAACTTGTAGAGGGCAATGTGGCCCAACAGACAGCCAGCTATGAGTGTGGGCTACATGTCATTGTCAACGCGCGGCTGCTGTTAGCGCAACTCTGCTCAGAGACTTCAGCTCCTACCTTCCCACAGCCTAATAACCCACAGATACTAACAACCACTGAGACTGTGTCTACCAACAGAAATAATAAGAATAAAACTACTCAAAGTCCGGTTTCTGAATTGATCAAACATGGTTCTAATGACAAAACTCCAAACAAACCTGTAAGCTACACGAAGACAATACCACCCCTCCCCAAGCACCAAAATAATAAAAAGAATATTCTAATTTTAGCAGACAGTCATGGGAGATACCTTAGTAAAAACCTATCATCTATCTGGCAAGGGAACGACTACAATATAAACTGTATTTTTAAACCAAATGCTACGATGGAGGAGGTTCTTATTAAAGTAGAAGAGCTTACCAAATTATTTACAAAAGCCGATACAGTCATTATACTAGGAGGGTCAAATAATGAAATTGTACAGGCTGAGTTAAGCTACTGTGAAACTATAAGAACAATGTTGAACAAGACAAATCACACAAATGTCATCGTCTCTGCTCTGCCTTATAGACATCACACACCAGGATTAAATAGAAGAATATCATACATAAATATTGACTTGGAACAACTTCTGATTCAGCATGAACACGCTAAATTTCTTCCCCTGAATGAGCTTCCTCGCCACCTATATACAATGCATGGACTACATCTTAACAAAAAGGGTAAAATAAAATTGGCAGCTATGATAAAGAACATGATTACTCCCCAACAGAAGCGGAAAACACAGCTTAACACCAATGTCACTTGGCAGGAAAAAATGCCAGGCATAAGAAAACATGACATTAATGTTATAGAAATGGACATGAGAAAAGCCATCAGCCTAATCAAAGGGGATCCATCTGTTGCGTTTGCCCACACAATATCCAGAGATATCAGCCATGAGAGGAATATGACTGCCGGTGTGGCAGTTGCATTCAGACAACAATTCGGTAGGCCAAAAGAAGTTGACTTCATTAATACCAAATTGACGTGTCAAAAGGTGCCAAATGGAGCAACAGTATACAGCCTGGTCACAAAAGAGGAGTACTGTGGCAAGCCAACTGTACAAGACTACGACGAGGCGTTCATGCAGCTCATTGAAGATTTTTCGAAGAAGAAATTTGAGACAATAATATGTTCGCCCATGGGTTGCGTACGGGACCACATCCAGCTGAAACACTTCTCCAAGAATGTTCGAAGACTGCATGAAACAACAAATGCAACAATCTGTGTGCTGTCTTGCGACCAACCAAGTGCAAAGAGAAGATTGTGGAATGGACTTTCTCACTCCAGCTTTCTACAACAACTGAAAAAAGCAATCCAATCTCACAAAGAGGAGCAGTCTTCTTCCTCCACGTCACAACCTAAACACCAGAAAACACCACTGAAATCTAAGGAGACCAACTTTCTTACTTCCACCACAACTGACCGTGACAACATCACCACCTCTACACCTCACCCTCACGAGGGTCCACCACTGACCATGTCTGCTGGCAGCACTTCTCCTCGGCTGGTACCTGGTCCTCTGGAGTATAGTGAAGTGGTAAAGAGTGCAGTGCAAAAGCAGAGTATTGTGAAAGTGTGTGAGTCTCAGTCCTGCACAAGTCCACTTATCTTAAAGAGTAAATGTATAATTAGTGACCCTGATAACCACCAACCATCTGCGCCTTACCTCACCACTAATGACAGTCAATCCAATATTTTCCTGCCTTTAAACTCCCTATTGATACCAGTAACTCCACCAATCTAACATTACCAACCTTGAAACTAAACATCCCTCACAAAATAAGTGCTAAAAGTAAAACTAGACAAATTGCAAGTAATCATAGCAGTAGTAAGCTCAATAATAATTTCTCAATTATACATCACAATGTTCAACACCTTCCCTCCCGCCAAAACCTTCTTGAAATTTTTCTTAATGAGACCAAACCAGATATTATTGCACTGAGCGAACATAAAATGACACCAGAAGAAATTGTTTTGCTAAATATTTCAAACTATGTGGCAGCATCTCATTTTTCCCGAAGTTTGGGTCGAGGGGGAGGAGTTGTAATCCTAATTAAAGATAATGTCAATTTTAAATGTGTTGATATTCCTGCTATTAAGGATTTACTTGTAGAAAAAGAACTTGAATGCTGTTTAGTAGAAATAATAACTAGTAAATTCACTTTTGTACTTGGTTGCTTATATAGATCACCTAAAAGTTCAAATTTAGATGTGTTTTTTGAAAATTTTGAAATACTCTTAAATGTCTTGAACAAAAAATACAAAAATATCATAATTACAGGTGATTTCAATATAGATGTACTAACTAAAGATAGTAGATGTAAGAAATTTGTAAATATTTTGTCTAGTTTTAATATGAAGTACTTGGTTGACTTCCCTACAAGGGTAACAGACCACTCAGAAACTGCAATTGATAATTTTGTAACTAATATTGACCCTAGCCATTTTAGAGTAACGGGTATAGTAACTCATATATCTGATCACGATGGCCAAATTATGGAGTTTAAGAATATTAAAGCAATAAAAAATAATTTGATCAGAAATAAAATAAGAAAGTTTGATTGTAATAATATACATTCTTTTTGTACAAGTTTAAGTTCTGAGTCTTGGTCTGCTGTTTTCCAATCTACTGTCTTTACTAAGTATTATAGTTTTTATAATATTTTTAAATACTATCTTGATGTTCACTTTCCAAAGCAATATGTTACTGAAAAACAATATAAAGCTAATAAATGGATTGATGAAGTGTTGAGAACAAAGCAATCTGAAATTGTTAAGCTAGAAGCACAGTTTAGAACACATAAAGATATAAATCTAAAATTAGTAATCAAAAATAAGAAAAAGGATCTCAAACATCAGATTATAAACAATAAAAAGAGATATTTTGAGAGAAAAGTCATGAGCTCAAAAAATAAAATTAAAACTACTTGGAATCTGGTAAATGCAGAAACATGCAAATCTTCTAAGATGAATAAAAACCTTAAAATATTTTATCAAAATAAATATATTACAGAACCAGTTATGATTTGTGAAACATTTAATAACTTCTTTGTGAATGCTGTTAAAGAATTAATTATAAACAACATAAAATCAAATCACTTAACAACCACTTGCAATCCGACCAATGTGTTTTCCAAAATCACGTTTAAATTTAAAACAGTAACAGAAAATGATGTAGGAAAAATATTATCATCACTGCAAAATAAGCTTTCCACCGGGAATGATGATATTCCTATCACAATAGTTAAGGCATCATGGCAATTCATATCCATTCCTTTGACTCATATTATTAATCACTCATTAATGTCAGGTATTTTTCCAGACCAGTTTAAAGTGGCAAAAGTAATCCCCATTTTTAAAAAGGGGGACCCCCGAGGATGTCAGATGCTATAGGCCTGTATCATTGCTTCCTGTATTTTCAAAAATTTTAGAGAAGATTGTGTACAACCAACTATTAGATCACCTTGAAATAAATTGCCTCTTAGATGAGCAGCAGCATGGTTTCAGACGAAAGAAGTCCACCATAACAGCAAGTGTGGAATTTGTTGAGTCAATCATAAATTCGATTGATAAAGGTGAAAAAGTCATCGGTATCTTTTTGGACCTATCTAGAGCCTTTGACACTGTAGACCACAGTAGGCCTACTCTCATAAATACACTAAGCTCTCTTGGAGTTAAAGGTACAGAATTGGCATGGTTTAAATCTTACATTTCAGACAGGAAACAGTTTGTAGAAATAAGTCATTATTTTAATAATTCAAAACCTATATATAAGGAGACATATAGTTCGAGCTTGCTAAACATACAATATGGAGTCCCCCAGGGATCAATTCTAGGTCCCTTGTTATTCCTCTGTTACCTGAAGGGTCTACCAGGGGTGATATGGGACACGAACAATAAAATTTGTCTCTATGCCGATGACACTAACATGATTGTAACTGCCAATAGTAAAGAAAACCTAGAAATTGCATCTCATATTAACTTATCAATGATTAAAGACTTTTTTGATAGTAAAAACCTTCTGCTGAATTCACAAAAATCTAATTTTGTAACATTTACAACCAAACAGACTAAGCAAAAATTAAATCCCACAATATTCATTGAAGAAAACCTAATAGATCAATTAGAGAAAACAACTTTTTTGGGATTAGTTATCGATGAAAACCTAACGTGGAACGACCATGTAAATCTTGTAGTTAAAAAAACAACAAGTGGTTTGTATGCTCTTCGGAAAATGGCAACCTCTTGCAATATTGAAACTTTAAAAACAATATATTTTGCCTTAATCTTAATCCATTCACATGTGTCTTATGGTATCTGCATCTATGGGTCAACCTCTAAATTAAACATGGATAGAATATTACTCCAACAGAAAAGGGCATTAACGGTAATTTTGAATCTAAAAAAAAAATCTGATGTAGTTAAAAATGATTTTTCCAAATTGAAAATATTTACAGTTTACAGCCTCTTTATTTTTGAAACAATAAAATTTGTAGTATCTAACAATAAACTAACATTTGGTAATACTGTCCATAGCTATAATACAAGACCCCATCGATTGATTGAACATCATAAATTAGAGCTTTTTAAAAAAAAATCACCTATAAAAGAAACAAATATTTTGATCTTTTGCCACAAAATATCAAAAAAGAAATAAATAATACAAACAGATTTTTAAATTTGGCAAAAGCATTTCTAATCCAATCAGCTTTCTTTTCTATCGGGGAGTTTTGTTCTTGACTCTTTTGATTTTGACTCTTTCTCTTAATAATTTAGAATACAATTTAACCTTATGTATTTTTTGAATAACCATCTCACTTAGTTTTAGTTCCCATGACTCTATTTCATGTAACTATATGTTTGCATATTATGAAATAAAGATATTTTGATTGATTGATTGATTGAATTAGGACCAGAACCATCTAAATATCGGAAACGTGAATGATTTTTTAATAAAACGTTTTTTGAACGAGTTTGCGAACCAGCATGACCAGACCATGGGAACTAGGTTTTAGGGGTTAAAAATTAGTTTTTCTCAGTTTTGACCCTAAAACCATAGAATTTCTCAATGTCTCTCCAAACCATTTTGTAAAGCTAAAAAAACAAATAATTAGTGTTTTTATACTGTTAGCAATATTTCACACAAAGTTAGATAATAGATCTGGCCAACACATATTTATGTCCTTAAGTTTCTATGAATACATATGTATTTTATTCATCGCCGTGCCCAAAAAAGCAAAACCATTATATTTCCATTTACTATTTTAACAAAAATATGTATAATAATTTTTTGTCTTCAGAAATGCATAAAGCAGAACCTGTCCAAGCAAGATGTGAAAGACTTGGAGTCAGATGACTGGCAATGTTTGATATGCAATCCTAAGCCATTGTACGATTGTCGTACAATTTGCTGGTCCCTGCAAGAGTACGCTCAGGCCAAGTAAGTTTAACTACAGTAGTGTTTATATTTTGTTTTTCTACAACACACATTTTGGGCATGCATACCAGGGAATTGTGCATTTGAGACCATAGCGCATCAACTAACAGAAAAACTTTTGATTTTGGATAGTCAACTCAGATAACATAGACAATTCAGAAGATAACGCACAATTCAGAAGATAACGCAGTAAAATAAGAAAAATAAAATTATTATATGGTCATTAGCAGTCCTATGAAAAAGTTATCTATTGTATTTAATAGGGGTGTGCGAAGCAGCAAAAAATTTTCGATTCGAAGCAACGATTCGATTCAAAAGATTTTCGATTCGATTCGATGCAACTCGATTCGAAGCAATACGGTATTTTTCTATTCATAATTGTCAATTGAGTGGATTAACAATAATTAAAATGTATCACATTTGTGTAATACAAATTTTTGTTGATGTGGTATTAGGCCTATTTCATACTTAACATATGAATTTTAGGTGAAAAAATATTTATTTTCAATCATATGTATTAGAATAACTGCTGGAAATACCAGTGAGCTGCTTTACTTGCCTATTTCATAATTTTTACTTGAATTGGCTCAACTGCAAGAAAGAAGAAAATATTTTTTTTATCAAGACATTCATTCTCATTTTAATAACTGTTTAAATAACTAAATAGGTGCCGGTAGCTAAATTACAACAAATTTGAATGGAACTTAATATAAAAAGACCATTAAGAAATAAATTTACATATCACAAGTTTAGGGCCTGTGGACCGGCTTCAGGACTGCAAGCAAGAAGAAAATAAAAATAATATGTTTCCACCATGCAATATGTATCATTCATTCCCTGCCTCCTAACCTCCTTAGTATAATAACCTCACACTTACATTATTTGTTACATCATCATAAATAAAGAATTATTATTGGCATCAGTAGGCCTACAGCTTTACCTAGGCATTATTTTTATAGGGCCTAAAATAGTAATAGGCTAGAAGCAACATGTCAAGTGGAGAACTCATTGAAGAAAAGATATTGTGTAAACTAATTTCCTATAAAACTCAAAAACAGTAAATAACATACAAACATTGTTTATGGTATAATTAATAAGGACTAAAAAATGCATATCATGTCATATAGTAGTATAGACCTACTGCAAGAGATTAAAATCCTAAAACAACTGATTTTGATAGCTAATGAATGAAAAGAATTAAAAATCCATAAAATAAAGCCAAACAATATCACAACTAATTAGGTACCCGAAAAGTAACTCTTAAATAATATATAGAAGATTAAAATAATATTAAATCAAGAGACAAGAAATTTAAATGCTATCTTCTAGCCTAGTGCCCTTTGCAACACAGGTCAATGTTTTTAAACTACCCTCAATGTTTTTGGAACAGCAGGGCCTTTTTCTCTTAAGGAAGGGTAGTAGTATGTCAACAAAAACAATGAATCAGTCTCACCAGCCAGGCCCGGGCAACGATGTGTGAATTCAAGGTCATAGACCCTCCCCCTCCCCTCTTACACCACCCGGTTGCTACCCAGTTGCTTCAATTGCTGACAAAATGCAAGTGATGAAACAAGGGAGTAGAGACAAAGAAATATATTTCTTTATTCAAAAACACAAAACTGTTAGAGATTATTTTCAAAGAAATTAATTCAATGTAATTTGTGAGTTGTAAATATTGTATTGGATCTTAGAAATATATTTTTTTAACCCCATCTAACCAAGATACAGATCTGTTCACTATATCAGATATTTCTTTTGTTTATAATTTATTATGTAAAATAATAAAATATATTTTTAATTAGGTATTGAATAAACAATAAATGATTATACTAGTATGTCTGGATAAATAGTCTTTCTATTCTTTTGACTTTGTTTTCTTTGCACTGTTAGTGTTGCGTCACGGCTTTTGTCTTGTTACTCTTATCAGTAGACGACTAGACCTGGCTCTGGCTAGTGGCAGTGCGGCAATTGCTCTGTTGTGTCTTTATTCTTAAAGGTCGTGAGCCAACTTAATTTTTAATTCTCATTTGAACATTTTAATTCCTCTGTAATAATAGATATAATAATATAAGAGTGTTTCTTTGGAAATAAATTATTCTTTTTTTTTTTCTTTTGCCCCAACAAAAATTCGGGGACGGGGACCGGCAGACACCTAACAAAAATACCAAATGAATCAGTCTATAACATTAATCTTACTAGTTAAGTATTAAGTAACAATTTTTCAGACTTATTTTTAAAATGATTTTGGAGTAACCTACCTTGTTTTGGCTAGGTTCACAGTAGTAAAATATTTCACACACTGCTTACATCAAGACAAAAAACAAACCTCTAATCATTTGCAATGTCAAAACAAAAAAATATAAAACAATTAAAGCTATATTTAATGCAAAGAATGTATTAAATAAGAACGCCTTCGTAAAGGAAACGCAACAGCAACGCGCTCCTGTATTGCGGGTATTGCATTGACTTTCCGCAGGCGTTTTTCGTATATGGATACTGACTCCCTCGTGAATCGAATCGTTTTTTGACCACCACTGAATCAAATCGCGATTCGATGCATCGAATCGAAATTTCGATGCATTTTCGATGCATCGCACACCCCTAGTATTTAACATTGTTATGACAATTTACTCTAAAGTTATACAGTCTAAAATGATTGTTTAAAAAAATGTTTTAGTACCAAAATTTATCAACTGTCAATATCAATTCCCGATACTAATACCAATTAAAAAAAATTTAATTATATTTTCTATATGGATTATGATTATACAACACCGAACCCTGTCTGTATTCATGTTGTAAATAAAGTAATAGTGGATAATGGGGAGGGGGGGGGATTTGGAGTAAAGAACAAAATTAAAGCAGTAATTATGAATTCTAAATAGCCAGATTCCAATTTAAACTCTTCTAAATACATAAAATAAATTGGTACTATGTCAAAGCAAATTAAAATCTTGTAAACATATAACTAAATCATTTATTATTTAACTAGAGGTGTGCAACAAACCTAGCTTTTAGAAAAAGCTCAAAGCCTCAAGCTTATTTAAAGCTAAGTTTTTTTATACATTATTATGGACTAGCTGTACCCGCGGGGCTTTGCTCCGTTTAACATCATAAGTATTCGCATGGCTCAATCACGTCCTGGTTGAAGTTCGTTCGCCACGCTCACTCACCTTTAGGTTGGAGCTCGTTCGCTGCGCTCACTTGTTTTCAGGTTAGCTCGTTCGCTACGCTAACTCGCCTCCAGGTTGATGTTCGTTCGCTATGCTCACTCACCTTTTGGTTGCAAATTAGCTGTTGTCATAAATTTAAAAGAAATAATAGTGCTGCACCCTGTTGGTAATCCTTGTAACTTTAATGCTATTGAACATCATAGAACAGAACCAACTTGTTTAATTGAAACTGCTGTTAAGATTCATTAATTCCTTTTAAATATGGAAAATCATGAGGTTAACATGGGAAACTCCAGAGCCACTGGGGCGGAGCCCGAAAGCCCGATCAGAATAAAAACTACTTAGTTTTCCTATCTAATGTCCAAAGAATCGGTGTGCCGAATTTCAGCCTCCTGGGTAAATGGAAAGTGGGAGAATTAGTGATCAGTGAGTCAGTGAGGGCTTTGCCTTTTATATTGTGTGGAAAGATAAAAATATTAAGGCATTGTCATCCCTTTTATTGTTTATAATACTTTATAAAGGTTTTTATGTTTTAATATTTAACATTGGAGAATTTAAACGTTGTTAAGTGCACAGGTGTGCTGCGATTGGGGTTTAATACATTTGGACTTACCGGTATTCAAAAGTAAAATAGTTTTCTGTGCTGCACTCTGTAGAAACACTGTGGCACTATTTCAAATCATGATTAATGCTAATACAGAATGTTGTGATTATTCAAAACTACAAAACAGTTGGTGAAAGTAAACATCTGCTTTTAAATTATATTTATTTGTAAACATTGTAGATCAAAAAGTCTGACATTGGCCCTTAAAACCCTCTGGGGCAGAGCCCTTTTGACGGATCTGCACCAAACTCCACTCGAACCATCCTTGAAAGATGCTTAATATTGCCTGAAAGTTTCATTACAATCTGTCGAGCGGTTTTGGAGTCGCTACGTATATACACACATACAGTTCCTCTTTTATAGATACAGATTAAATCTAATCTCATATTGTAAAGGACAGGATGAGTAGGTTTATCTTTGAAATTATAGGCATGTCACTTCACTAAAGGAACACAAAATAAGAAAACACAACGGAAACACAATTAATTCGCAGGCAATAAGCCATTTACAATCAAACCTAATCTTATATAGGCCTAATAAGTTGATTTGTCACGAACCTTTTCAAAATTCAATTTAGTCTTGTGCTGTTGATTTGAATGTATTTTTTAATAGACCTTCATAAAAGAATTATGAACCTAGGTACTAGGTAATAGTAATCAACTAATTAATAATTAATAACAAATTTCAATTAATTTATTCACTGTAAAAGTAGGCCTAAAGATTATCTAAAAATTAGTTAAGTCATTAAGGAAGAATAAATAGCTTATTCCCTATAGGGGAAATTTGCTAAAATAAAAATAAAAATTTCAAATAACTTAAACTCATAATTCGTTTTTAAAATCATTATATTCTTCCCAGATGACAGCAAAATATTCAATATCCTCTGCGGTCTTTTAGATATCATCCATCATTGTCTTCTGCAATCACAGTAAAACCCTCAGTTATGGTAACATGATTTTTATTTTCCTATACAGAGGCAAAATGCTGAACATCTTCCGTAGTCACAAAAACATCATCATGTCCCGCAAATTCCCGAATCTCTCTCTTTCCGGTAGTGTACATCTATGTGAAACATCTATGCATTAGATACATTGGCACTATCCAACCAACAAAACAATAATGTGGACTAAAAAATGAACACAAACTATAATAAATTTTAACATTTGAATTTTGTTTTAAGGAAGAACTCTCGAAAGTCAGACGATGAAGGTGAAGAAGAAACAGCCAGTACATCCAGGCGTGGAAGTCAAAAAAGAAGTTCTACAAATGTAAATACCTAAAAGTTATTAATTTGTTACCTCTTTGTGTTATTTGTTCTAATCAGAGAGGGTTGGGAGACTGTTATAGCTAATTTTCACAATCTTGGTCTTGAGTATTGTGTGAAAGTTAATTTTGTAAGCAAATCTTCTAACCGCTCAACCTCAGGGATTATTCATTGATTTGATTTACCGTAGGCTATGCCTTTTTGTCAAACTTTTTTCTTACCCTGCAAACTCAAAATCACTTGTGCCATAGGAAAATTGTTTTAAGCTTTTGTCCAGGGTTGCATAAATCAACTAACTTTTACAGAATATTTCTGTAGTGTGCTTGTTCATGTAAAAAATGACATTATAATTCTAATTAATAGTTTTACTGTAATCTCTCGGCTCAACACAAGTTTCAACTTTGTTCAATGTCCTATCCTAAATACTGTACATTACTCACCCCTGAGATCCAACTAATTAAGCCTGTAATGTTCTGTTAAAGAGGATTTCAGTGGCGGATCCAGAGGGGGGTGAAGGGGGCGGCCACCCCCCCTCGGCATACATATATATTTTTTTACTGTGTAATACATCCACATTGCGTAAAATAATTTGTCACACTAACTTTAGACAAAGAAATGGTATAAAACTGCCATTTTGGAGACTTAGTTAACACAAATTTTTCCCGAACCCCCGAGAGGTTCGCCCCACCCCCTTGTGACTGTTCTAGATCTGCCACTGGAGGATTTATCCTATTTCCAAACACTATTTTTACTGAATAACTCTCCATGAACTAAAAAATCTGTTGGTAACACTTAATTATATAATTAGATTAGGATAGTAATATATAATTTAAATAATGCTCTTTAATTTTTTTAGGAAGCTAGATCAAGAAAGCGTAAAGCTAGTGAAGTAGAAGATGATCCTAAACCAGAGAAACAAAGAGAGTCCAAGAGACACAAGAGTTCTGATTCTTTAGAAGAAACCAAGCAAGTAACTTCAACTCCAAGTAGAAGATCTCGTAACATAAGTAAGGCAATCGTTGAGATTAGTTCAGACGAAGAAGACAGTAAACCTGGCAAAAGTAAGTCTAGAAAAAGTAATAGTAAAAAGTATGAAACAGAAGACGTAGATGAAAAATCAGCATCATCCAAAACACTCAAGAAAGGTAAAAACTCTGAATTAGACGTCCAGTCAAAGAAAAGACCTAGCCGCACATCTCATAAGAAAGTGGAGGAAAAAGAAGAAGAAGATGAAGAAGAAGATGAAGAGGAAGATGAAGAGGAAGATAGCGACACCAAAATTTCCCCAAAGAGAAAAACCCCCCAGTCAAGACATCAAAAATCAAAGTCCAATTCTTCTAAAACAGAAAAAAGTCCAACAAAGAAACATTTGAGTAAAAGTAAGAAAGATAAACCATCGGAATCAACCGGTAAATCACATCGTTCATCTTCTGTTAAAAGTGTAAAAAACGATGACGAGGAAACTACTGAAACTCCTGTAAAACGCAGTTCACGTACTTCTGCAGGGAAACAATCATATAAAAATGAAAGTGATACAGAATCTAAGGAGGATAAATCAGAATCTAAATCGGAGAGATTAGTATCCAAATCCAGAACTTCAAAGCACAAGTCTATTGATGGACCATCTTTAAAAGCATTGAAAATACCAAAAAATGCTAAAAAAGAGGTAGTTGAAGCAGCTGGATTTATAAATTCAGCTCTTAAAGATGTCGTAGAACTAAGCACGTTGATGATGATCCGGTGTGAGAAGTTATGCTCTAAAGCAGTTCAATCTACAGAAGATATATTGTATGTTTTTACTAAGCTCAAGCAAATGACAGACGCAGTTCACCAAAATCTTAACTTGATTGAAAAAGGTGTTGATACCAAAATAAGTACATGGAAGGACAAAAATGTAAAAAACGAAGAGAAGAATGAAAATAAAATTAAAGAAGACCTCAGTGGTAAGGTAGAAGATAACAAGGAGGCTCAATCGAAAACTGAAGAGGAACAAATGGATGTAGACGAGAGTGAAAATCAAGAAGAAGATTCAGCAGTAAAGACAGAAGATAAAGAAACAGACAGTGGGAAGGTAGACACAGAACTAAGTTCTTCTTTTGATAAGGACATGTCTTATGAGAAACAGTCTGAATCAGTTGACAGCAATAAAGTAACTACTGAAGAAGATGAAGATGAACCTTCTGAGAAGAATGATGAAAGAGTTGTTGAAAAAAAATCTGATGAACCCGATACTAAAACACAAACAGAAGAAACCGATGAAACCGATACTAAAACACAAACCGAAGAAACCGATGAACCCGATACTAAAACACAAACCGAAGAAACCGATACCATAAAAAAACCCACAGAAGATGACCAGAATAACACATCAGATCAAGAGTGTTCAAATGATAAAAAGGAAGCAGAAGTTAATCAATCTGAGAAAGTTGAAGAAGACGTTGACGATAAAAAACATGAAACTTTCGAAGAAAATAAAAACAGTGAGTCAGACGAAGAGGTCATTGACAATGGGGAACAGGCTAAGAGCCAAGATAATGAAAACAGTGAAGCGTCATCTGAAGAACTCGTTGACGATAAGGAAAAGACAAGTCAAGAAAGTAGTGAAGCCATTGATGAACAAACCAAAGCAGATAGAGCTATCTCTGGTAAGGCTGTGTCTAAAGATGATTCTTTTAGTTTGGAGGCTAGTGAGGATACAGATTTGATGGATAATAATGAATTTGATGATGTAAATTGTGATTTAAAAGATAGTAAGGACCTAAGCGAGACGACTTATACATCAGTTGGCGCAGTTGCAGCTCATGACCCAACTGATAATGGTGTATTGGGACAAGATTTGAACAAAGAAGTTTGCAGTAATGAAAAGGAAAAACAACCAAAGGTATTAGAGTTTTTGATTTTTGCTTAGAAAATTATCGTAGCAACTTATAATAATGACAAAAACAAAAATTGTTTCTTAAAAGTTTCTGTAATATTGTTGGTAATTTATTGGCTTATTTGGAATATCATTTAAAAAATCAGTTGTTGTCCAGTCTGTCCAATTTGTGTGTGATTTGAGTTTGGGGGAGGGGCTCAGAATGACTACAGTGAATTGCTACATCTTGGCTAGACGACAAGTCACAAATGACTGCTAATAGCGTTTTGGATCGTAAAATATTCAACATCTCTAGAGTTTTCATACTTTTGGTTACTTGTATTACCTAGAACATCTCCCTCATTAACCCGTAGTTTAATTAAACAAGTGTTATTTTTTATTAAACTTACATTTTCTTTACCAACCTAATTTAAACTTTTTGGTACGATACAGTAGAACCTTGATAACCACACAGCCACATAACAAGACTCTCATGGGGATTATTAAATGAGACTTGTTATCAAGGTTGACTCCTTATTGAGGTTTGCAATAACATGTGATTTGGCGTAAAATAAATTGAAGGGGATTTGAAAACAACACTTGTTATCAGGGGTCTTCTTATCGAGGTTCCACTGTATTAAGTATTACTGCACTATAAATTTTAATTTTAAAATTTACCTGTTATCACAAGTGTCACTCTTAAATATACCTGCTTATTTTATTAACATGCTTAATAGCTCAGTGTTTTTAACACGTTCAGTGCGGCATACCTTCAAACAGGCGCTCGCCAATGGCGGCGAGGTCCGAGCGAAGCCCCGCCGCGCAACTGAGTCGGTGAACGCAATTGGCATTCAAATATTTCAGTCTGACCAATAAAAATAGAGCAGCGGTGATTGTGCTGCGTTAGCCCGAGAGTGGACGTAGTTCACTGAAACACCCAAAGGTAGCAGCACTGCCTGGATCCGTAGCCAGTGTCTTTGTAAAGTGGCTTGAAAAGAGGAAATTGCCGGAACCGGAACAAAAGTATTGCCAGAAGGGATTTTACGGTAAATTTTAGTACCAACCTACACCAGACTAAAGCTTACATTCTAAGCTACAGGCTGGCAACAATTTTTTTTTTCTCAATCTATTTATCAACTTAGTAACCTAAACTCACAAACACAATGTAAGTAAATGTAAAATATATGTAGAATTTATATATTAGCCTAGTGATTTCTGAAGGTTTCTCTTAAAATTAACAAAATAACTGGGTTTGACTCAAATTTTAGTTGATTAGGCAAAACATTAAAGATCAGAATTCTGTTGTAATATAATATGCTTATTAAAAAAGATGGTTGAATGCACTTTTTACTTGTTGTAGGAATCAGCCAATAGTCAATTAGAGGAGAGTGAGGCAGAAGACAAAAGTAATGAGGACAAGCAAACGGAAAAAGAAGAAACGCCAGTGAATGAATCAACTGAATCAAGAACTATGTAAGTTGCCATGTTTGATTTAGTTATATTATGACTCATATTGTAAAGAGATTTATTATAGCTCTGCTATTTTTCCAGCCAGAGTCAAAGGTATTGCATGTTGGTGCATGTTGCTATTTGAATGACATTGTTGCATGATTTTTAAAAATTGACAGCTTATTTCTAAGTATACTATTACAAAGAAATTGCCATAAAAATCAACCAAATGACCAGATGAAACTGCTGTTGATACAATTTTTGCTTTTGAGATTTTCTAATTTGTGGACAATGATTTGTGGTTATGACAGTGAAAGTTAAACTGCCTAATAACCATCAAATAAATTTAAAAAATGTTATAGTTGGTTCATTATTGTGCAGTAAATGTTAATAATTTTTAACCACCAGAAATAAATTTGTTGTTTTTAAAGGGAAACTGAAGGACTGAAAAATGGGTCAGTTAATGAAGAAAGAAGACAAAACACAGAAGAAGATAAAACACATAAAAATAAAGCAGAAGAAAGAAGGAAGGATGAAGATAGAAACTCCAGGACACATTCTGACGATTACAAGTCAAGTAAGAACCCGTGTTTTGTGCAATGAAATTATTTTATGTCCCATATATCAAAACAGGCCATTATGAAATTTCTTCTTGTTTCTCCTGTCTATAACAAACATAAACTTCTCTTACTTAGTTGAATGTATAATTTATGTAATTAAAAATGCAAAAGGGAAGAAAAGAAAGAATAACAATACCAATACACTGGCAGACAATGGCAAAGTTATAAAAAAATTAAATAAACCCCAATTTATGTTCATTATTTTATTTAAATCTGTTGACACATCGACCCTCATGATGGTTTATTATGGATATGTCTATCACCTCTTTAATTATTGTGTAATCTTCTGGGTAAATTCAAATTACAACTCAGAAGAGTCAAATTTATCCAATTTCCCAAACTAACTTTTCAAAACTCAAAAGAATAGCCGTACATACCCTAGTATTAGCACTTTTACGATAGAACATTCTCCATATTACTCTAGTATAAAATTATATAATAGCCTGCCTAGCAACATAAAGTGTTTAACTGATTTTAATCTATTTAAAATGTGTTTATTCAAATTTTTGTTAGATAAATGCTGTTACAGAGTTGGGAATTTGTTCAATTAGTTGCTAGTAATTCAAATCAATAATTTGTTGTAATAGTTGTACTGAATAGTAGTTGTTATAGAAAATGTTGTATACATATAGCTCTTGATTAATTAGTTCTGCAAATTTGCCAAATGTATATGTTTAATTGTTGACTTCACACAATTCATGTATAAATTAGTTGCTAGTAATTCAAATCAATAATTTGTTGTAATAGTTGTACCGTACAGTTGTTGTTAGGGATAAAGTTGTATTTGGTTAATAATTTAGTGCTGCAAATATACCAAATGTATTTGTTTATTTGTTGACTTGACACAATTCATGTATAAATGTACTATTTGGATACTATAAAGGTAGGATTTGTTTCATTTTATTTGAATAATGTTAAACTAAAATTAAAACGTCTACATGGGTAAGATGGGTAAGGCCTGTGCTTAGCCTGATTTGCTGGAAATGTTTAAGTTTGTGGGAAGTAGTGGATAGAATAAATAAATATTTGTCAAAGTTATTAATTGTTGTATGTTTTAAAATGCTTGGTACTAAGCTTTTGAATAAGAAACAAAATTTGTTTAATGAAAACTAAGTGAGAATAACAATTATTTAAAATTAATAAGTTTTTCTAGATTTTAATTGTGCTGTGAGGATGACGGGGTGAGGAAGTTGTCCAGGGAATGTTGTTGTCTTAGTTTATCAGGCTGGCCCAGCAAGATAACAACCTCGGTATCCTCTGAACTTAGCCCAATTAACCACACGGTTTTAAAAAATATAAAGAATAGGTGCGTTACAAAGTTATACCTTCTGACATTCCTCACACATATTTTTATAAATCTTTGAGCAATTTAAAAGTTGTTGGCTTAAAAACTGATTCTTCATTTAATTTGGCGGCTACCCAACGTTTCAGGAGTAATTATGGGTATGGGTGATTTTTACAAAAAAATTTTCTCAACATTTTAGTCAGTTTCCCATATAGAGAATAAGCTATTACTGTAGTACTCATGATAAGACCTGGACCCGGGACTGATTTACTTTGTCGTTTTTAGGTCCCTAGACGCCAAAAACACCATCCGTTCAAATTCATACATTATTAAAAACTAAGTACCCTTTTTAAAATTCATTTTATTGAACAACAACTTGTTTCAACAGTAATTAATATATTTGTATATCAAAATAGTAGCCCTAATCACTACAATTTTTGTAATATGGTTCATATACATATATATGTACGTAAGCACGATAACTCGAGCAGAAAAAATCCGATTCTGATGAAATTTGGTATAAACATGTAAACCTTCAAACAATTTTGCGAACCAGCATGATCTGACTATAGAAACAGGGGTTTATGGGGTAAAAACTAAAAAAATGGTCTTATCCCATTTTTGACCCAAAATACATAAAATTAAACATTTTTTTCCAAACCATTTTGTAGGGCTTAAAAACAAATAACTTAGTATATTGAAGCGTTGTTTTGCGCCTAATGGTTACAGAGAAAATTCAAAAAAAAAATTAAAATTCCTATGTTATTCTTCTGGAAAATAAGTAAACGGTTGTAGTTTACTTGTTTGTGAACATATTTTGATCAAATTTAGAAATTGCTTTTATTTCTTACTAAACTGTTCACATAAAAAAAAAACACTTTTACCCTCCCTGTTGCAGCAAACCAATGTACTCATTAAAATAATTCTATGTAAATAGGGAATAAATGGATATTTTTTAAGGAGACATAGTGTAAATCCAATGAGGCAAATGGAAGTTCGCTTAGTCTGCAGGTTTGCTGCGGCGGGGATATTTGAAAGATGAGAATTAAAATAAATTTTAGGAATGATTGTTGGATCGTCACTCTCTTATGTCTCTGTAAATATATTGTCAGGTTTCCTTGCCAAGGATGAAGCCAGTCACATATAAAGGTAACAAGCAAATGAACTTTGCTAGGCAGACTGAAGAAAATCAAATTTATAGTATACTAGCAGAGCACCAGTCCTTAGTACGGGGTCGGCATATAAGTATAAATGCTTATTGCAGTCATGCTCAAGCCTTGCATTTTTGCAATGGGGGAGGACACAGTTTGATAAAATTTGGTTCTTTAAATTTACGGTATGATATAGTATAACACATATACCATAGCCATAATGTACCACTGCACCTAAACAATAGAAAGAAAAAAATTATCAAACATTCGCACGATATCACAAATTATTCATTGAATTAAAAACATTAACATAACTGTAAACAATCCTACTTTGATAGTTCTCATTGCGTATCACAGCTTTTTGTTTCTGCTTAGTTCAAATTAGCTGTTGTCATATATGCAAAATCAAAATAATAAAGAGTGCTGCACCCTGTTGGGAAACCTATAACTTTTTAATGCTATTGCATATTATAGAACCAACTTGTAAAGTTGAAACAGCTCACTAAATTCTTTAATTCCTTTTAAATATGAATACTCATAAGGTTAACATGGAAAACTGCAGAGCCACTAGGGCGAAGTCCGAAAGGAATTTTGAGATAAGAATAGGCCTATATGTTAATCAGGAATGTTAGCTATCATCATGCCAAATTTCAGCCCAATCCGTCCAGTAGTTACTGTGTGATTGAGCAACACACACACAAACTCACGAACATTCAGATTTATAATATTAGTAAGATGAGATTACGTTACTAGCCCGGTAAGTGGTGTTTTACCGTGCGAGCACGAAAGTTCCGGATTTTCGTAACGTACGATACTTTACATCATAATACTTAGTACATTTTAAAGGCATAACACAATTTATATAATTAATTTAATCACTAGATGTACAATGCAGTTTTCGGCAAGCTGAGCAAGCAATGCATATTAATCCGATAATTTTGAGAAATTTAACCAAGATATGATTGTTCTCAAAAAGCTCGGGTTCAAATAAATTGGGATGTCTACTTGCTGTATCCACAGCTAATGCTAATGCTACACCTGGTTTATATAAATGGGATGTCCACTTGCTGTACCCACAGCCAATGTTTTACATGGCTCACGCCAGTCGGAAGTGTACTTGCACTATCCAAAGTCAATACTACATCTGTTTCTGTCTTGATAGATGTGTACTTTCATTACAAAATCAATGCTACATCTGGTTTAAATTAAAGGGACGTCTTCTTGCAATTTCCAAATCAATGTTACATTTAGATCACACAAGTCGGGAATGCACTTGCAGTATTGAAAGTGAATGGCACATCTGATTGAAAAAAATGGAATGTCTACTTGATGTTTTCCAAAGTCAATGGCACATCTGGTTCACGTTCACATGAATGTTATTTCTACTTGCAGTACCCAAAGTCAATGGTATATCTAGTTCAAGTGAATGGGGTGTATACTTGCAGTATCCAAAGTTAACAAATATAATTGAATGTCTACTTGATGTATCCAAATTCTTTGGCACATCTGGTTCACAGAAATGGGATGTCAACTTGCAGCATCTAAAGTCAATGGAACATTTGGTTCACATAAATGGGATGTCTACTGGTAGCATCTAAAGTCAATGGTGCATAATATTGGTTATCTATTTTGTTGTTTATTATTCTCAACGATATTAATCCGGCTGTTATTTACTTTGGTTCCAAATTTGTAATCTGCCTGTATAAATGGCTTGTTTTTCAATTATATCTGATGACTCTTTTGTTTACCTTTTAATTAATTCTTCTTTTCTTGCAAAAACTGTCACAACGACTAATCAACACACAAGGCCAATTTTAAATTTCTTAAAATTTTAATTCGTAGGAGAAAGCCCTGTTGTCCGATTTGCTTCATTTCAGATTTATACATTTCTATAATTGATTACTATGACTGTGCTACATTTTGTGCGGATCGCTTCAGCCATTCAGAATTTGTATGTGGAAAACAAAAGCAGGGGTGAATAGCTTAGCTCAATTAGCATCCTTTCCTGAGCTATATTACCCAAAATAAAAGTGGGCAAGTCCATCACCGGTTAGGTACAGTAGAACCTCGATAGTTCGACACTTTGTGGACTTAAGGGATGTCGAATTAAAGGGAGTAAATAGAGTTTAATATACAGGAAAGTAAAAACACAAGTCTTACAGTATATAGAAATCACCCAAACTTATTAAATACTAAAAAGCTTAACAATTTCACTGTTCATTAGTTCTCAAGTCAACAATAAATGACAAATTAATGTTTAAGTCAGCTTACATTACAATAGTAACCATTAAATATCACTTGACAAAATAGCTCAGCCCATGTCAAACTATCGAAGGTTTACTGTAGTGGTTTTAATTATTACCTTCTGTACAGGTTCTCGATCACACCATTCGTCCTCGGGAGACCGCAACAGATATCCCCAGGACTCTAGGAGGTCTGGTGACCGCGACCGAGGTGGATGGAACAGAGACAGGTACCAGGACAGGTGGTCAGGCGGCCGAGGTGGCTCACCTTACCCCCGGGGTGGGGACAGATGGTCTCACAGAGGAGGCTGGGGCGGAGGCTATCATCGTTAGATCTTGTGTAAGTCATCATTGAGCTCACAGTAGAGTAACGTTCTCCGCTATCAAACCTGTTTCATCTGACTATGTAATAATGTATGATTAGAATCAACACTCTTGCTTTGTCAAACCACTTATGAATTAACTAAATCTCAGAGTGTTCACAGACCAGTAATTCTGGGAAAACCAGGAATTAATTTATACGTACGTAATATAAAATTATACAGACGTTTTTTTGCACCGGTAAAACACCTGGAATTATGTGGGAATTTTGATATTTCACGGAGGAAACCTGAAGTGCCATTTTATTGTAGAGTTATGAGGAATTTTGAAAGAATTTCATTCCCAGCAACATTCCAAATTTGTGCACTTTTAAAAAATTGTCTGCGGTCATGGTGAAATCGTAAATTTCTTGTGTTGTCAAAGCAAAATCAAGATTATTTTCCACGGTCATTGTTAAATGAAGAACATTTTTGGCAGTCCCAGCTAAATATTGAACACCGTCACGGCAAAATTTTAATTTTCTTTGGCTGTCACAGCAATAATGTCTCCCACGATCACGGCAAAACCATGAACATCACCTACGACCACGACGAATCATCAACTTTATATTGCACTTTATAAATGCTCTCTGCTATTTCAGGTATATGCGCTCTGTTTGGCTCGACTCTCGTTAGCTTGGGCCTTCAAGTCAACTAAACTGATGGCCTATTTTTATAACACCTATTCTCTTATACTTTTCAGGTTGGATAGCGAGTAGCGACAGACTGATTTTGTACAGAGGAATTAAAACTTAACAGTCAGCATCTGCAGCGGAGTGAGTGGAGTGAGTGTGTGTCAAGAAGTCAGTCAGTGGTTAGTGTCTAGTATTATATTGTATTGTCTGCGATATGAGGTGTTAGACGGTTCAGATTCAACACACTTTGTAAATTATCAGTGTATTTTAAACCTGTTCAAGCCACAATCAAGTAGAAGATTGGTATAAATTAGTATTGATCAGAGAATAACACTAAAGCTGTAAATATATTCAATAGTTATGTTTTATCAAACAAATTTATATTTTATGTTCAAAGCAAAGCCAAGTGGCGGTTTGGTCGTTAAAAATGGATAAACCTTAGCTGTTTTCTTGAGTCGCGGGCTAATAGATACCCAACAAGGTCATAACACCAGTGTTAGGCTCTGTGACCTTTGATTGTGTTTATACAATATCAGGCAAGCTAGCTCAACTCACATTCTGACATTTATATTTGGAATCTGTTGAAAATAGATAGATTACCACCCAGTTTGTCAACTCCTCATTCCCATACACCTTTTGTCTACCGTTTACCCCTCAAGTCCTTGTAACGGTGCAAACGGAGACTTTGGGATGAGAATTACGTCTACCTTACATTTTCAAGATATAACTTGCTAATCTCAGAAAATAAGACTATATGGGCTAATAGATGCACAGTAAGCTTACAAAACATAACACCAATATTTTTTCTTAATATAGTACTTGTTTAAAAAGTAGTTTATGAGGGATGAAACTATCTCAACTATATCCATTTAAAAAATCCTAATTATTCACTTGGCTTTACTTTAATACACCAGAAGTTTATATTTGTACAGAATCTTGGTTAAGTTTGTACACACAGATGTACTAAAACATTGTTGTAGACTTTTTATGCTTGTACTACTTCAAATCATTACAAAAAACTTATCAATAAAGGTTGAGGAGACTACTCATGATAAGATTTGAGTAAAATTATTATTATAAACTCTCTGCTTAGGGGTGTGTGAGTATTCTTGATGTGTATTTTCGAGCGAGTTTTCCAGAGCTCGACTCAAAAGCTTTTCATGAAAACTGATGTATCAAGCTTTTATCGTGAGTTTTCTGGAAGCTCTCTAAACGCAGTATTCAAAATCAAAATCTGTTATTTTAACAGTTACAGCAGAATCAACGCTAACTCTTACTGTCAACTTACCTTAAAACATACTTAAATAAAGTTTTTAAATCTGAGAGGAAAGGTATTAATAGATTTTTTTAATATAGGCTCACCATCCCAGTATTTTTTGTAAAAAATTGCTTTAACCACATGTATGGCTAAATTGTATAGTGTGTTGAGTAATAAGTATTTTTATTTTAAACTAAAGTACGATGTAAGCTTAATTTTGAATATTGTTTAAAGTACCAGGTCTAATCATTTTGGGGAGTTTTATTTTTATATTATGAAGCAATCATGTGTGTAACTTTGCTATTAAAAAACTTGACTCTAAAAAGCTTGAAATGAGTTTTTTATTCTAAACTCGACTTTACTACTCGCACACCCCTATATTAGTAATACTTTACCAAATATTGGTCAAATTTGAGGGTTTAAAATAAGGTTAAAAATAATTACAATAGTTAAAAATGAACTCAATTTTTCCTTCAAGTGAAACAGAACGCGTCTTTTACATATTTCTGTCACTAGAGTATGTGGAATAAAGCTAAATGTTTAGTCCAGTATGACAAACAGATTTAGTTAATCAGTCAGATGAAAGGTTCCTTTCAATCCACTCCATAGTTGCCTTTACTTTGTCTGTCAATCTAGATCTCCTATAATAAAGCTATTACCTGCTGTATGCAGTATTACTATACCATACTATTATTTTTGTTTATGATTTTTTACACCCTAACAAAATCTAAAAAAAAAACTCAAAATCTCAATTTTTAATAGTACAAATACAATATGTTTTTAATTATTTACAATAAAATTTTTTAATATGTGTGTATGTATGTGGGTACTTTTTTGTTACCTCTTGTTTTTCAAACAGTAAAAGAGGTATGTGAATTCTTTTCTTACCTTTCACAGTTATTTAAAAAAAACTATAATACATGAATGTAATGTAAATATTGAAATCGTAATTTTTAGAATAGATTTTTTTCCTTGTATATTTAAGTCTTTAGTTTTGTTATTTTCCTATCTTACCTAGCTGTTTGTCAAATTTGTGTTATGCTTTATAGACATTTCTAATATGCCTGTCTATTAGGGTTCCAAGCAGTTTATTTTTTCCACTATTGTCAGAGGCTCGATCTTCTAATGGCATTTTGTTGGGAGATGCAGTACCCATCTTCAAGCACATTTCATAAAAAATAATCTTGCTTGGAATGTTGTGAAATTTCAACCATACATATAGAAAGTATATCTGTATTTACTTTTTCACTACCGTTGTACAAGATAAATTGTAGTTTAGAATTATTGTTTCAAAGTTTTCTTATGTCTGTTAGTTTTAAAATGAATATAAGTAAATGGTTTTGTATAAAATTTACGTATTGCCTTTTTATTCTCTGCTCTAAATGTCCTTTGTTCACAAAATTATTCAAGTGGCGAATCATAACATTATTATGATATATATTCTAAAATCTGTGATGGTATTCTCCATTTTAGTAGTATTAAAAAAATCTTATTTTTTTAACTTTGGTTCAAATTTTAAAACATTTTTGTAACACATCTATCTTTACTGATAACGTTGATGATAACAAATAACCAAAGCCAAGAGCGTGGGACCAGTGTTCCCACTCTGCTTTTCCTGGAATTCTATGTATAAATCCTGTAATGTCAGTCAGTTTTTGGATAATGGTGAGGTTCTGACACTGGAAAGTTTACGACTACACCTCTGGCAAAGAGTAAAATTTTTATGCCTGTTAATCATTCAATTCAAATAAAATCCATCGGAACGCATTCACAATGTATTACTGACCTTGTCAGACTTTTTTTTGTAATTTGTTGGCCCAGAGTAAGCAAGGATAATAGTAATTAGGATGATAGTAGGATAATAGTGGTTTATAATAGTTACAGGGTGTTGCCCAAGAAAAAATTTTCAAAGAAACCCTTTTTATTCAGACTTATGAAACATGTATATTAGGGTCAGTAAAATTTAGTCAATATGATTTGTATCGGATATATATTGATAACCATTTTATAAAATTTTACAAAAACAAAACTAAATACAATAATCATCATTATCTGTTTAAAACTAATCCATTTTCCTCAGAGTGATCTTCTATTTTGTCATAACACACAATACCTTTCTTTTGCAATTAGACCAAATACTCGCCATCTTTAAATGCTGTTTCAAGGCGTAACTCCATATCTATCGTTTGTCAACCATTCTTCTAAGTTCGTAACTCAACTTTTTCCTGATTCTACTAAACGCTGGACGGTCTGCTAAGTTTATGTCCTCTCTGTCATCAATGCTGTGGTCGTATAGCTCAGCGCCTGCTGTATCGTCCCAAATCGGCCCCCCTGGCTGCCACCTAGGCCATTCTGTGTACCGGTATTGTCCACTACGCACTGAATATCCCATATACTTGATTTCTCTGAGTCTGGGCTTGTCACTGTTAGGGTGTAAAGTCGGGTATATACCAGGTCTCGGATACTGGCTTAAAGCTAGTCTTCCAGTCTCTTCATATGTCTGAAACAGGGGAATTAAGAGTATAAACACTACTAATACACTATAGTAGTTTTTGTGGAAAAACATTTCAGCTGATATTTATTTTCAACCTTGTTGCTGACATCACTTTCTGTTCAAAGCTCTAGGAGAGTATACCTAGTTTCAAAAAGTAAATATAAAAGTTTGCAAAATCAATATGTATTGGAAAATATCCCCCACAAGACTGTGCATCTGTGTGTGGGTCTGTGTTTCTAATTTATTTCACAATAACAAATAAAAATGACAAATAATTTGTAACTTGCAAAACAAAGAAAAGCCTCTATACTTACGCCCCTTTGTCTTCTTGAGCTAAAAAGATTTCTCAGAATTAAAAACTACATTCAAAAGATTAATATTAGATTAGATAAGGTAACTAAAAAAACCCATTTTACTGCTCTGAACATAATTCTGCAAAGAGGCCAAACAGCTCAAGTTGACCCCAAAAACGTTGATATTAAAATGTGATAGTGAAAGTCTACTAGTTTTGATGAACAAGTTTACATAACTGAATCGGTAAACTCACGGATAGTCATGTTAATCTATCAAAGGTGCTGTCAGATGATATCAGTTCATTTCTGGACTTGTCAAATTTTTAAGTGACCAATGCAAAAATGTGTGTGGAGTTAGTCTGGGCGTCAGCTAGGGGACCTGGAAATTTGGGTGGACAAAGGGTTTTTGACTGATTCTGACTCAGTTTTTTGCGCAGATTACGAATATACCGGGTGCCACCTTGGCACCCTTGGGCAAACGCCGCCATATTGGAAAAATGGCGGCCAAAACTGGTTTTTCGATAAATACTCGAAAACGGTTAGTTTTAGAGATATTTAGGTGGAGACATAAAATGTAGAGCGTGAATAACTACACAGAAATGATGTCAACACTTTTTTTGGTAAACCTCACGGTTTTAGCACAATTTTGTGAAATTTAAGTTATTATTAACATAAAGTTGTCATTTAGTGCCAATACCTATGACATATTACATTCATTTTTCAAAAAACTGAATTATATTAAGCAATACACATTTGTACAAGTAACCTTTGTTAAAAATAATTGTTATTAGTGCCTTCAATTACGTGGTACTGAGTAGTCACTAGGGATGATCATCGATAGGTCAACCATCGATGTAATGATAACATTGTTGCGAAAACACCAATGTTATTGGGGCTAAAACGTCGATGTTTTTTTATGGTTTTTCGTCTGCTTTTTGTACTCTTCAGTAAAGGAAAACATTGATATCTCAATACTTGGCCAAAAACATAGATGTTTGACGAGAACATCGATGAAACAAAAACATCGGTAACCTACCATCGATGTAAAAAACATCGAACATCGATGTTTCGGAAACATCAACTATCAATGCTCATCCCTAGTAGTCACCTTATTTTTCTTGATCGCAGAAAATATGTAGGGCATCAAACTGACGCCTTCAGTACAGTCGGGAACTGATGTTGACTCTTTAGGACAGGGTGAGAGTGAAGGCAAGCCGGCAGCATCAACTAGAGTGGGGAACAAGTCTAGCAGCTCCACAGGAGTTGCAACACATCTGAGAACTGCTGACTTATCTGTCAGTCCAGGCACCCGCAGAATCAGCGGAACTCTGCAACACCGTCAGATTTACAAAGGTTAATTTTGTTTCACCAATTGTATCTACAGTGTAGTTTCAATTAATTTATCATGCCAGTGGAAAATTAAATTATTAAAATCTCCAAAGTAAAATATTTTTTTGTAAAAACGTACTTGACTGCAACGTCAAAATTGCTGAACTTGGACCACTCGCCATGCTCTCCCAGTGACCATCCTGAAAATAGAGAAAAGTTTATCTTATTTTAGTTCGCTACCGTTTGTGGACAACATTATTGTCAACTTATTGCCAACGGTCACCTTTATTTTAAATGTTGAAAGTTGTATCCATTGCCCATATCTGAGAAATATTAAGATTTTTATATTTGCCTAACTTCAAGGTTTTACTAAAAATGTTGTCTAACATTTGTGTTACGGCCTACGGAACTAAACTTGGACTACCAGACAAGTTTGACAGAAACCAGAGGTTAAAGTCAATGAATTTTTTAAAGCACCTATCTTAGCCAGTGGCATTTAATAACTTTTTTGTAAGGGAATTGAGCCCTGGTTTTGTTATTATCAAACGTCAACCTGTTATAGAACATCATTAACACGTTTAGTACGGGCTACATCTATTGATGTAGTGCATCACAAGCACTCCTATCGGCCTAAATCTATAGATGTAGTCACGCCACTCCCACTACATTTGTTCAGTATGAGCTCAGCCATTGCCGGGGGACGTTATAATCGTTGTCAGCCTGTAGCTTAGAATGCAAGCTTTTTTTTGGTGTAGGTTGGTAATAAAATTTCCTGTACAATCCCGTCTGGCAATGCTTTAGTCCCGGTTTCGGAGATTTTCTCTCTTCGAGCCCCATTACAAAGAGACTGGATATGGATCCAGGCAATGCTGCTACCTCTGGGTGTTTCAATGAACTACGTCCACTCTCGGGATAAAACAGTACAATCACCGCTGCTCTTTTGTAATTTGTCAGACTGAAATATTTTAATGCTAACTGCGTTCGCTATTTCGGTGGCACGCCAGGACTTCGTCGCCAATGGCAAGCGCCGGTTTGATGTAGCCTGCACTCAACGTGTTAATAGATAGCAATGGCATCTGGGTCTGGTAACGATCTCGCTTGGAATTGAACCTGCAACCTTAACATTTGATGGCGAGTACTACAACCACTCTGCTACCTATACGATTATCTTGTAAATTATTCTGTTAATTTTATTATGTATACAAAATTAATCACATTTTCTGCAATTTTTATTTTTGATTATCAGTATTAGACTCAATAAAGTGACAATGAGAATCAATCATACATGAGAATTAAAATTTATGCTCAATGGGTTAAACCCTAAAGAATGCAAGTTTATGTCAACATACCATGATCTCCTATCAGAACTATGATAGTGTTTTCATAAAGTTTTGACTTGTGTAGCTCTTTTAAAAGGTTCCCAACCAAATGGTCGATGTAGCTCACTGCAGCGTAATAGCTCTGCCGAATCAGATGTGTCCATTCATCTAGAAATCATAACTTATTTTTAGTGACACAAATATTTATTACAAAGAATAGTGTCATTTTTAGTTTGATTGTATTAAAATTAGTGTTCTTTTTAAATGAAGAACTAGGGTACCATAGCAGTAATTTTGCTGTTTTTTAGCTATGTATACAAATTGAAATTAAATAGGCCCACACACTTTTTTATACATTTTAGTCACAGTCTTCCCCTAACACGATACATTTTAATACTGCATTACCATTCCAAACCTGCTGACTGAGTGAATTTCCATTTGTCTGAATTGATTTTCAATTAAATTTATATAAATAACATTAGGTTTAATGAGTACCTAGGTTTGCTGCTACAAGGAAACTAATAAGATTTAGTTTTTTGTAAAATATTAATAGCTTAGTATAAAACAAATAAATTTGCCAAGTTTGATGAAAATATATACGTAAACAAGCAAACTACAACATATTACAATATTCTAGATAAGAATAAGGAACATGGGAATTTAAAATTTAAAATTTTTTGAATTTTCTCCGTTACCAATAACTGTACAAAAACACTTTGATATACTAAATTATTTGTTTTTTAAGTTCTTAAAAAAGGTCTAGTGATAAATTGGGAAATTTTGTGTTTTGAGCACTGAGCTATAATTCTAACTGGAGGTAGCACTGAATGTCAAAGATGCGTGTCGCCAGCCGCCATGTTTGCGTGAGGTGTGAGTTATAAGAAGCCATGTTATTGGATAAGAAAACTCACTGCTATACCAACCTAGTTATAGAAGCCATGTTATTGGATAAGAAAACTCACTGCTATACCAACCTAACAAAATCAGCGACACGCTTTTTACAGACTTCTGCCATGGCAGTGCTACCTCCAGTTATAATTTTAGCTCAGTGGTTTTGAGGGTCAAAAATGAGAAAAACCATTTTTTACCCCATAAAACCCCGTTCCGATGGTCCGATCATGCTGATTTGCGAACTCATTCAAGTTTATCTTGCATTACACCTTTAAACCAAATTTCATCAAAATCGGACAAAATTTACTCCAGTTATTGCGTTCACGGACGTATATATATATATACAAATTTGAACGAATGGTGTTTTTGGCCTCTGGGGACATCAAAATGAAAAAGTAAATTGGTCCCGGACCTAGGTTTTACCATGCCACCTACGGTAATAGCTACATCCCTATAGGGAAATTCGCTAAAAGACCACTTGAATATATTGAGAATTGAATATATTGATTGATAAGTTTTAATGGATAATAGACATACTGACATACTAGTGAGAGATTAGAAGTTAAAAGAATCAATAAAGAGTTGGTATATTGGCACAAGTATTATAAACTTATTACACGTTTCTGGGTTTGTGATGTTACACTTGGTGTTGATGCAAGTTAGACGGTGAATAGTGAGGTATTTTTTAGTATTACAATTTTATATATCACCACTTTTTACTTTCATTATAATCAGGCCCACTTTTATAAACGGGCAGACTGGGCATATGCCCATGCAGTGGCGCCGAAGGTTTGGGGGTGCCCACCGGGTGCCCCTCAACCACCACCTGCCCGCACTAGGAAAAAATGGGGGCACTGATTTTGGGTTTGCCAAGGGCTCCACTGACCCTTAACGAGGCCCTGATTATAATGAGACTGAGATGGGCAGGGCATGTGTGGAGCAGAAAAAGTTCATCAATAACAAAAGCTGTGGACCAGAATAACCCAGAAGGCAGGAGACCTTTCAGTAGGCCGAAACTGCGGTGGAGTAGTCAGGTGCTGAAGGATATGGTTGACAAGCTAATGGGAGGGGAGGAAGTATGTGTCAGTTTCTTATATATAAAATTGTTTCATGCAGTTACCAAAAGATTTTAGTTACGGTCTAAGTAAAACAAAAAAAATAGATAGGAAATATTTTTTATTTGACTATGGTTATAGCTGTTAAAGCTACAAAAAACATTAATATACAAACTAAAGTTCTTCTAAACAAATAATACTGCTAAACTTCTCAACATTAACATACTATATACAATTTAAAAGGTGTAAAAATATAACCTGGCATTCGACCATACGGAAAAGATATATTGAGTGAGGCAATGTCATCTCTTTTTCTAATGTCCGTCCAAGGATTCCAAGCCACAGAAGGCAACTGACCAGGCCAGGAGTCTGGGGGCAGACTGACGTTTCTCAGAGGGTGATATCCTAGACATTGAAAAAGAAATGTACATGGTGGCCGAAATGTCCTTTTACACAATATTGCAGAACAGCAAATATTCGTAAGTGAGTATAGTAAGGGAACAGTGGGAGGAGAGAATGAAGCCTCCTCCCTTCCCCCATCACCAAAATTTATGAGAGTTTTAAATTCATTATAACACTACAAATGACAAAAATATTGTCTAAAAATCATATCTAACAACTCATGTACTGGGAACCTCTGGTACAGAGTGTTATCTAAGCAGCAATTTTACTTAACTTGAACTACGGATACCTGGGCAAAAGAATTTTATTGACAGGTTAGTGAGACACTCTCTACAATAAATTCAAAATTTATAACGATAAAATTGACAAAAGAAATAAGTATTTTGTTTTGGCATGGGTTTATAGAGCCTTCAAATTATAACTTTCTTAGGTATTTAAGATATTTCACAGAATTTAGATATTTCACAAACCTGTTTTTAAAAAGTTAGTGTTTTTAGCGAATTTCCCATATAGGGAATAAGCTATTACCGTAGGTCTCATGGTAAGACCTAGACCCGGGACCGATTTACTTTTTCGTTTTGAGGTCCCCAGAGGCCAAAAACACCATCCGTTCAAATTCATATATATATATATATTTATATATATATATATATATATTTATATATGTGTCCGTTAGCGCGATAACTCGAGCAAAATTGATCCGATTTTGATGAAATTTGGTACAAACGTGTAAACCTACATTTATTCGAACGAGTTCGTGAACCAGCATAATCGGACTATGGGATCAGGGGTTTATGGGGGGTTTTATGGGGTAAAAATGGGTTTTTCTCATTTTTGACCCTAAAAACTTTAAATTTCTAAATTTCTCTCTAGACCATTTTGAAGAGCTTAAAAAAAAAAATAATTTTGTATATTGAAGTGTTTTTGAATGTTCATTGACTATGGAGAAAATTAAAAAAATTGTAAATTTAAAATTCCCATGTTATTCTTATGGATAATAAATAAACTGTATTTATTATTAAACTGTATCAAGCCGGGTAAATGGAAATTCGCTTAGTATGCAGGTTTGCTGCGACGGGGGTATTTCATCTTTACTTGTCGTTAGGTCACAGGATTAACTGGTTCCAGAACGTATTGCGAACCAATTGTCTGCAGCTAATAGTATGATTGTTACAAAATGGATCAACACAGCTTTTAAATGACCAATGGTGTTTTGCCATGTTTGTGCCACTAACCTATAGCTCCTTTAGGACCTGTTCATCCTATTTAACTATTAATTATACATAGATTTTTCATCAGTCTTTATTTTCAACTTTAATTCCACATTTTGGTCTACAAGAAAGACTGGAAATGACATATCATTCACATGGTTTTACCAAGAAAGTTATACGTTATTTCTTAGATGGCCTAAAGGAAATGGTTCCATTTTGATGTGGGGGAGTCAAAATACAACAGTACGCCTAAGCATCAATGGGTATGAGTTGGACCAATATTAATAATTAAATCTGATTTATACAATTACAGTATTGGAATTGGTGCTGCCCATTTTTGGGCCATTACGGTAGTTAAATGATCACATACTGAAAAGTCTAACAAGCTAACGCAAATATAAGACACTTTATCTTTATACACACTCAGAAACTCTGACGGGTATTTCAGCGGCACATGAGGTTTGTGAAAACCAACAGCCATAAAGAATGGTTGTTGATTGGCTCTACGGCTTCGTAGGAACACTTGGGCCTCATGTAGGCTCTGAAGATCTGGCAGAGTTCCGCCGGGCTGTAATGCCGGATCCACGGGGCACACGAGGTCACTGCATAGCGAACCTGTCCTCGGACACACAGCTGCATCCTTATACACCTCAGTGGGCGGATGGTACGGATCGCAAGACCAACTGTAGGGTTGGTCATCGCTGAAATTACTGGAGATACCTGTCAAACACATGTGCGTTTCACTAAGTTAAAAAGTTTGTAAGCCTAATCATGATTTTTGGTTGAATAGATTGTATGCTGCACAGGCCCACTTTTATAAACGGGCAGGCTGGGCATATGACCAGGGGCGCCGAAGGTTTGGGGGTGCCCACCGGGTGCCTCTCAGTCTCAACCACCGCCTGCCCGCACTAGGAAAAATGGGACCACTGCTTTTGGGTATGCCCAGGGCTCCACTGACCCTTAACGCGGCCCTGATGCTGCATAAGGCTGGTACATTCCAACAAATCTAAAGTAGGCTATTGTATTTCTAATGCTTCTATATTATGTCCTGCTTATTTTTTTTTGCTCCTATTTTATTATTTTATTTAAATAGAACTATAGTGCTTGCTACCACATATATTAGTACCTCATGTATTTATTCAGTTCTTTTGGGACAGACACACTCTGAGGTGTGTAGCCTAAGCTGAATATAGGCCTATGTATGCAAGGTAAGTGTAATAATTTATGAATAAAAAACTTTTTTAAAACAAAACGTTTTTAAACGCACTAAAAAGTAGAAAATAATGTATAAATATGTTGAGAGTATAAATACTTGTAAGAATAAAGAATAAAGAAGAATAAAGAATATTTATTGTCATTGAAACACAAAAAACAGTGTAAAAATTCTTAAATGTAAAATTTAAAACTAAAAACGTGGGGTGCATGCAATAGATAATTTACAATTACCTTCACCTATTGAACTAATGTATTATTATCATGCATGTAACCCACGTTTTTCGTTTTAAATTTTACAAGTATTTATACTCTCCACATATTTATAAATTATTTTCTACTTTTTAGTTTTGAATGTGTGTGGATGTTAAATCTATTTCAAGCATCTATATCAGATTAAGACAGAGGCATGTGGGATATCTAAGGTTTATTTGAGTTTCTTTTCATATAATTATGTATTAGATTGAATGTATGGCCTACCTACTAACTATAAAATTATCAATCTATCAAATTTATTGTTTACTTTATAGAATACTAAATAAATAACAATTGATATTATTAACAAAAAAACACCTTTATATCTGCAATCACATTGTTTATCTTTATTTTGAAATGTTTGTTTGTATATATAATCTCTTGGGAGCATAACCTGTACCTCTTATAGGCGAGGTGCTAGGTGCAGTTGAGTAAACATGAAAAGAGTCAGAGATTTTGACTTTTGATTTTGGTAGTGGGGACCTAGGTGAGTGTAAGAACCCATGTCGTCGCCTCCAGGTGTGGTCGACAACATAAGGGTGGGGGCGCAAAGTTGCGAAAAACGTTAATAAGAAAACCGCTTTTAACTCCCTTGTTATTGAACGTAAGCAAAAGATTCATTTAAATTGACTTTTTATTTTATTAATAGGGGCCTAGGTGAGTGTAAAAACCCATGTCGTCACCTCCAGGGGTGGTCGACAACATAGGGGTGGGGGCGCAAAGTTGCGAAAAACGTTAATCAGAAAACCGCTTTTAACTCCCTTGTTATTGAACGTAAGTAAATGATTCATTTAAATTGACTTTTGATTTTGGTAATGGGGAACTAGGTGAGTGTAAAAACCCGTGTCGTCACCTCCAGGTGTGGTCAACAACATAGGGGTGGGGGCACAAAGTTGCGAAAAACATTAATAAGAAAACCGCTTTTAACTCTCTTGTTATTGAACGTAAGTAAAAGATTAATTTAAATTGACTTTTTATTTTATTAAAGGGGACCTTGGTGCGTGTAAAAACCCGTGTTGTTGCTTCCAGGTCCAGTGGTGGTCGACAAATTAGGGGTGGGGGCGCATGTGCATATACTATACAGCCGTATATGTAACCGACTTTAGGTATACTAAAGTTTGAGCACTTCTAAAGGTGCTAGGCAGTTGAAATTTGGCAAACTTCTTGGTCTTGGGCCCAAACCCCCGGTAAAATTCTCAAAAATGACATTTTCTAATTTTAACCCCCCCCCCCCCAAATCTCAAATTTCCCCTCTATGTTATTCTTACGGGGAATAGCATTGAAAGTGGTGCATTGACTTCGTGTGCTCATCTGAACCGTTTAGAAACGTGCTAGAGACTTGAAATTTTGTAGTATTGTCGTATCGATTTGCAAAAGTCCTATTTTCAAATTCTAACCTTCTCAAAAATCCAAAATGGCTGACACCTTAAAACGAATAAAACACGTTTTTTAAAGGACTATAGCTCTAAAATGGTAAGAGCTAGAAAAGATTTGAAATAATTTTAATGGTGAGGAATTAAATTTTCTACAAAACACTTTTAAGTGTTCTTCGAAAATTGCACTCCTTCACCTTCAAAACGCCCTACTTTCAAAATCTGGTAAATTTCTTTCAAATTTATGATGATTTTCACTATTTTATTTTACCTTAGAATTTTTTCTGCAAATATTATCTATATTTATAAAAGAGGAAGTTTGTATATATATATATATTTGAACGTTATGGACTCCGAAACCGCCGGACAGATTGTAATGATAATTTCAGGTATTATTAAGCATTATTCAAGGATGGTTTGTGTGAAGTTTGGTGCAGATCCGTCAAAAGGGCTCCGCCCCAGTGGCTCTAGAGTTTCTCATGTTGTTAACCTTATGAGCACTCATATTTAAATGGAATTAAAGAATCTTAACAGCTGTACCAACTAAACAATTTAACTTAGTTTACTTTAAATTCTATTCATTTATTGTTTTTTCGTAAATTTAATCCTTGACCCCCAAAACTTAAGTTTAATGTCAAAATTTGAAGGGTTTTTACTACTTTTACGAGCCCCATGTTATTCTTACGAAGAATGACTATGAAATTTAAAGACTTTGGTATGCTCATTTTATTCGTTTAGAAACGTACTAGAGACTTGAAATTTTGTAGTATTGTAGTATGGGATCCTAACTAACTAACGTTGAAATTTCCATAAGTCCCATTTTAAAATTTTAACCCGACCAAAAATCCAAAATGGTGGACGTCAAAAAACGAAAAAACACTTTTTTTAAACGCCTATAATTCAAAAAGGCTAAGAGCTAGAAAATATATGAAAGAATTTTATGATCAGGAATAGAGTTTTCTACAAAATCCTGCTAAACGATTCCCGAAAATCACACCCCTTTACCCCTAAAAAAACGCCCAACTTTCAAAAAATTGGTAAATTTTGTTCAATTTTTTAATGGGTTTCCCTACTTTTTTCCTAACTAACTAATTATTATTAATAGTTAACATTAAATTTTAATCATTACATATTTTTTCGTAGCTCCTTCACCCCTAAAATGTAAGTTTAATGTCAAAATTTGAAAGATTCCAACACTGTTACGAGGCTATAACAGTTTCCCATGTTATTCTTATGGGGAATCTTGAAAGTGACTTACTTCAGTGTTAGATTATTAACCATTCAGAAAAGTTATAGAGACTTGAAACTTTAACCCCTGGAGGGTACGACATGGGTTTGAGACTCAACTAGGCCCCTACTACAAAAATCAAAAGTCAATTTAAATTAATCTTTTACTTACGTTCAATAACAAGGGAGTTAACAGCGGTTTTCTTATTAACGTTTTTCGCAACTTTGCGCCCCCACCCCTATGTTGTCGACCACTCCTGGAGGTGACAACATGGGTTTTTACACTCACCTAGGGCTCCATTAATAAAATAAAAAGTCAATTTAAATTAATCTTTTACTTACGTTCAATAACAAGGGAGTTAAAAGACTTAAAAGTTAAAGGACCTTACACACTATAATGAAACATTTAACAAACCTGTAAAGAAATTGTTGCAAGCAAGTCAGAACGTGTAAACCACAAGAATGTCTAGTTGAAATTAGTCAGATTAAAAGGTTGGTGCGAATCGCTATCGATTTCTTCCGGTTACCAAAAGGTCGGTGTGTGTAAAGGTGACTCAAACAAATCGTTCCACCCTATAGGCATCAGTTTTGACGTATTAACTATATGTACAGTGTATTTTTTAATGTTATTTTAGTTATGTGATGTTGCACTGTTTATCAAAGTGCAATTGGTTTTTTCACTAAATTAAAATATCAGAACTCCTTCAAGCCTCGCGAGAGTTTCTGGCAGAGTTCATCGAACTTTACAGGCTTACCCTGCTTGTGGCAAGATAAAAACAAAGACTATTCAAACCGAAACAAAAAAAAAGACCAAGGCTGTTCTGGTTTGGTCACTAAGTATACGAATTGACCCCCTCTGTTGACAGGTCTAATGTTATAAAGAAAATAAACTCAATAAGAACAGTGTGCAAGAAGAGGTTGGCAAAATTAAAAAAAGTCTGTGAAATCTGGTGCTGGTGCTGATATGTTTATCAAATCTGTATTGTGGTACTTTGAACTTTTTAAATGATGTTGAGCCAGCAAGGAATTCTAGAAGCACAATTAATGAATCTGACCAATACGTTGTTGGAACGTCTAAATAGTACAGCCCAATATCCGGCAAAACGGAGCAATTTATATGTTCAATGTTTATATTTATATGAGCAATGTTTATATATATATGTTGCAGAAAAAGTTATATGCCTATGTTCATCGCAGTGTGTAAACCCGCCTAGCAATCAACATCCACTCAAGCTGCCACATTGGTAAGCTTTAAAAAGCTTAACTAACCTGGATGAAACACTTTCCCCACAGACTTTGTGAAATAACCTTGTTCCTTGAAGTACTGGGGCAATGTTGTGAAGTTGCCAGCTATGTCTCTCCAGTAGCTGTAGAAGTCGTACAAATTAAGAGTATCTGGTCTTCGACTTGTTAAAAAAGAATTCCGGCTCGGAGCACACAAAGCTTGCTAAAAGAAAAATAATAATATTGTAGATTAAATTAAAATATCGATGAATTGAGATGGGGATGCCACCTAGGTGCGTATTTTAACCCAAATGTGAGTGAGATGTTCTTTGAAACTTTTGTTACTTACTAAGAACAGCTGTTTCAGTAGTCAGGATATTATTAATTTAAGGCCCAGGAACAAAAAAAGCTACTGACTTTTCTCAGGATCAAACCATCGACCTTTTGGTTGTTAGGCGAGCACTACATAGCCTAACTCAGCTACCCAGCCACTTACATTTAATCAGGTAGGTACACCTTTTCCTATTTTATTTGAGAGACAGTTTAAGTATTATATGTTTATTTCAGAACACATCAATTTTGTACCTTTTTGAGATTAGTCAAATATATCTTTTTACAAAACATCAAATGAAGTTGAGAACAGTCAGTTGTGTTTGGGAAAACATCATATGAATTTAAGAGCTGTGAACTCTTATTTAAGAAATGATTTAATGTATTTGAGAACTTGTGATTTGATAATGAGAAATAAATATTTAGCTAAGTTTTTGCCAACTTCTCAAATTAAAAACTCATCCTGAAATTAAATTAACGATTTCTCAATTCGATATATATACGGTAGGCCCTACATAATACTTACCGTACCCAAATACAATTGACTATCCTTACATTTGTTGTTTTATCAAATATTCAGCTGACTAATTTACTGTAATTTACATTTGATATCTTCTCAAATACAAGAAGGTACAGTATAATGATTCTTGAATAATAATAACTTCTCAAATAAATGTGGAAAAGGTGTAGTCTATTTTCAGACAAGATATACACAGTATACGGTACATGAAATATTGAATATTTTCATTTTTAGGCCTATGGTAATCGACCATAATGGTGTGCCCATTAATTTGAGAGAGTGGCTGGGCGTAGAAACTTGGTAGAGGTGCCCAAAGAAAGGTCTTGGTCTGTAGATGAGTTATCAAAAGAAAAAGCAAAATCCCTTCGGACTCTGTCCCAAAAGCCTTTAAAGATCCCTCCACAGAGTTGTTTACATTTTGATCATGTGAATAATACTTTTTAATGAAACAGCTGTTCATTTTTAAATTGAATTTCAAACAACACACATTTATTAATTGAGAGTTACTGAATTCTACCAAATAATTATTTTCAATGTTATTTTTTGATTTTAAAATGGATTTTCTTCTTTATCGTGTCATGTTTTGCAATATAACGTTCCATTACGAAATCAGTGGAGAATCCTATCACAGCAATTCTTAAATTATTTGGTAATGAACTATCTTATAGGTAATCTATTGTACGGGTTGGTGTCTGCATTTTTCACCACTTTTGCCTACATTTTATCATATTCTTCTACACATATCAAATTCAAATGTTTATGTAGAAATATCTGCTCTTATCGTGTCTAATAAAATCCAAACATAGAAACCTAGCCTAAAATGGTACCCATCTTGACAAATTATTTGCACCTGCCTATATACGGACTTTGGCGCACTGGGTTGGTAACATTATTGAAAATAAAACAACATTTTGGCTGTAAAATATGGTACCTACAAAGAGAAAATACTATTTAAGCAGCTACTGTCGAATGACAGAAAGGTCATATTCCTTTTAAACTAGATCACATAATCCTTTATAAGATACGTTGATTAACAATATGTAAACCTCAATATATACGTAACAGCAAATTTACAGTATTTTTGCTTTTTGGAAATGTCCCATTATGTCATTTGTATTATTTGTTGCCAATGAAGTCGCAAGACATATGAACTAGGAGGCCCCTAACAGTTCAGGAATAAAAGCCAACTTCACTACACCTAACATTTCGTAGAGAGATTATATTGACAACTTTATGTTATTGATTAGGCTGAGACAACTAACTGACATCACCCATGTCAAGGAATTCCAGCTTAAACAGTAACCCCACAATCAATTTCTCAGAACTATGATAGAGGGTTCATTCATTGGCACAGAAGTACGATATGAACTGACGTGACGTGACGAAGGAAAAATCAAACTTACACTGTAACGGATATACCCCCCTTTGAAATTAGATTATGTCTTCCCAAAAAATATTTTCTTTTCAAATAAAATCATACTAGTGTCCCTGTTGCTCGAATTCGAGCAATTGCTAAGTATTACAGGCGTTACTTTAAAACGAATTTCAACCAAGTCAGCAAATGTTTGTAGCAAACTGTTAAATTAGCAAACCTATTGACTGTTAACAATTAACATATGCTCTTCTTCTCACTTTTGATTTCTGACAACAGCTGGAGTTTCATAACAATTTTTGTTTTCAATGTTAATCTTATGGAGAAATACGAAACTTTAAAGGGCTCCAGGGCTTCACTCTCTCATTATTTCCCTAAAAAGAAAGTTTCCTGCACAACTTCAAGTTACGCTCTTTCCAATGACACCAAAAACATGACAATCGGTTCAGTAGTTTCGGAGGAGTAATTGTCACAAAAAATCTGCTTGCGTATTAAATAAGTAATAGATTACACTGATGAAATCGCGGAAGTGTTTAACTACAAAAGATCCACCAATACGATTTCAATACTATTTATGCTCCGTTCACACAGCCGTGGCACCTGACGGATTAGGACACCCCATGGAAACCCTTGGGGCCTCCTAATCCCTCAGGTGCCACTGCTGTGTGAACGCACTATAAAGGTTCTTCCAAAGGAAGAGATGCCATAACATACTAATAATAACTCCGATGACTTTACGGTATGGGGAATATTTTATTCATTGAATGATCAACCAAATTTGGCAACTAACGCAATTAATTAATATCATTATTGTTCTTACACTTTATTACTCTTTAAACAATAGGTACAAAAAATTCTCAAAATATGTATATTTCACCCAATTTTTCGCAGTTAGTGATATCGTGTGAATTAACGTAAGCCTTGAAAGTAACCGTCGATTTCGACGGGTTTCACCTAGTATTTTATAAAAAATTGTGACGTTTTTTAAATGTTTTTTTACCATGCCAATGTTTATAACTTATTATAACTTACGGTACTGTAGATTTTCAAAAATCATCAAGATTCTTGACTTTTAATTTATGTTGGTAAAAATAAAGATATTTTGATACAACAAAAAAATAATCATCGTAATTTCAACTACTGATGAATCGGATGAATACCTGTGCAAAAGCATTCGAAAATCTTACAGACTCTTCACACAACGCATCAATATTAGGAGTGAAAGCGTTTTTGTCTCCATAGCAACCAAGTGAGGGCCTAAGGTCATCTGAGATGATGACTAGTATATTTTGTTTTCCTAAGGCACTAAACATTAAATTAATGGAAAATAACACTACATAAATAAAAATTAACATATCTAAAAATGATTGTGATTAGTTATTATTATTTATTTCTGCAACTATGTGGCTCAAAATGTATCTACATTAGACTTAGTTGCTTCGTCAAGGGCAAACAAAGAAAATGTAAACACTAACTTGACAGTTCGCCCAAACTCAGAACATTACTACACCTGGACAGTGTTTACAACGATCAGCTGCTTGTTGTTGCTATCTGCTCTGGTATTACGGTACGTAATAGTCAAACCACCACTTAAAATGCAGGTTCGTATAAAATTTGACAAAAAAAAAAATCTTAAGCCATTAGTTTACCTGATTTAATAGTATTCTAATGAAATATTTATTCCGTTCGATGTATTATTATATTTAAACTTTAACATTAAGATAACGTTTTAAACTTTGTCTGATTTGAGTTTGTGTCGTCACTCGTCCAATACTGCAGTCAACACAACAGAATTGAGAATAGAGAGAAGACAACAAGAACAGCTGGACGAGGAGATATAAGGATGGCGCAATGACAGTTCTTTGAATTTGCGTCGTAGATAGTGCAAAATCCAAATATCTCTGCTTAATTGTTAGTTTTAGTCGAATTTACTGTGATAGAAATATGTAAGTATTTTCTGAGAATAAAATAACACTAATTCAAAACCTTTATCTTAGATTATTAATGATTGCTAACACTATTTGTGGAGTGGTGTATTCAGTGCTTTGTTTGGGTATATTGACGTCTGTGTTATTGTCCTAGGTTGAGATCTGGAAATGTCTTAGTTTACAATTAGACATCAATTTTGTTTCGAATCATGTTTAACGTAGCATTTTTGTGTGTTTGTGAATTGATTACTAAAAATTTGCTTTGAGTTAGCTTATTTTTTAGGTCATTATGTGAATGTCCTTCAGAAATTGGGGCTTCTTATAGTAAGCTATTACAGCACTAATAATCACAAAATGTAATTACATTTCTAGGGTTAGATACTAAAAAGAAGTTGAAAACTGAAGAATGTCAGCTGAGTCATCTAAAAGAGCTCCTCGGAAAGGAAGTGCTGGGCAGGTCGTTTTACCACAACCTGTCATAGACCCCTCTCTTATCGACAGTGTCACTGGTTTCATACAAGATGTTGTTCCTCAGGTAGGCCAATTATATTTTTCAAGCAATCAAATTAAAATTTGATTACGGCTGCACTTTACTTTAGGTCCTACACTCATTCGAATGAAATAATCGAATAATCAATATTTTCATTCGAATGAGTGTAGGACCTCTTAGGTTTCTGTTAGGCTAACTCAATGTAGTCTATTTTAGTTTGGATTAACTTACCTAAACTTAGCCTAAGTTAGGCTAGTTTGCCTATAAACAGTTGATAGGCTTTTTTTTATTTGTTGAATGGTAGATCAATTTACAAAGACATCAGTATTGACCAGTGTCTTCTTTTTTCATGAGCTTAGGCCTACAAAATTTAAAAGTCAAAGTCATCTTTATTGTCACAAAACCAGAGGTGCCCATCCCCCCTAAACCCAGAGGCGCAATCCCCCCCCCCCAAGCCAAAGGAGTAGTCCCCCAATTTATGTTGTCGTCTATTTAAACCTACCCTCCCCCCACCAATTTATCTGACAATTTTCCCTTTACCTCATAAAACGAGTATTTAAAGTATTTAGTAAACTTGAGGTACAAAAAACAAACTTGCTGATTGAGAATCAAAATTAAATGTTTAATAGGAAACGTCATTTAACAATACATATCTAACTAATGGTTGAATTAGAAGTTTTTCAATTTACAAAATTCCGAATTTGTATTGTCAGCGAACATGTGCTCAGTATTGCAATCGACAAAGTCTTCAACACGTTCAACAATATACTCGGTGAATTACTCTACTCCAACACAGTACTGTAACTGTAGCCTACAATATATTAGGTGGCATTAATGTTTAGAGGGCTTAAGAATTCAAACAGCTTTAAGTGTATTAATAATACTGGCAAAAAGTATCTTAATTGTTTCAAAATTATAGGCAGAGTCACGAAATAAGTCAGACTATTGTTGCTCGCCACTGCAGGCTGCCTTCTACAAAAATCGCCGGGCAAAATACCATGCCTTTAGAACAAAAGGTTTTTGTGACGAAGTAATCTTATAATTCATTTTTATAGCCCCAGGATTGCCTTTTATGACTAAAATGGTAGGAACGCATCTTGTCAGACAATCCGTTTGTACACAAAACACGAAACGATAACAGATAGGCCTATCAATTCTCGCGTGTATATTGCCGCGGGCAGGACTGGAAGTAAACTGAATCAGATTATGACGGAAAGACGTGGTCTCTGGATTGTCGTCTAAGTTATCAAAAGCTGATATTGGCCTAATTGTAGTGACGGAGGAAAGTATGTTGAAAATATAATGGGATTCATAATTGAGTTTTCCATTCAAAACTATTGACAATAATAACCAATTTATATGCTGGATATAAATGATGGTCTCGAAATTCTACAGTACAGCTCGAAAGGAAATTTATTAAATACTTTGAGGAGTTTGAAATATATGAATACATAAAATTGGGACAGCACAAAATTTTTATATCCCATTATATTTTCAATACTCTTCTCAGTCACTACAATAGTCCAATATCAGCTGTTGACAACGCAGACGACAATCCAGAGACCACGTCGGTCCGTCATAACCTGAACCCGATTCAGTTTACTTCCAGTCTTGCCGACGGCAATGTACACACGTGATAGGCCTATCTGTAATCATTTCGTGTTTTGTGTTAATTGTTTGTAACGTATTCTGACGACACCTCCAGAAGGGGATCTTTTGTAAATCCTGACTATGCTGGAGTTAAAGAACCAACAAAACATATGTAGCATGTAAAATTCGACACTGGCATGTTAAGGATTGTCTGACAAGGTGCTTTACCATTCTTAGAAGCAATCTTAATTACGAACGGCAAAATGTTGTTGTTGTTGATAGTGAGCTACTTTTAGTGAGAAACACTTTTTCGGACTGCTTGTACAAAACTATACAGCCATCATGACAGCTAGCAAAAATTAAATATCCCCCCCAAAATCCCTTAAAAAAAGTCCCCCCCAAAAATGTGCCACGGTACCCCCCCTCTGGGCACCCCTGCACAAAACCTTTTTTTTTTTTAAATGCTCTGGCACAGCCAGAAAAAACAGGTGACATTGTCAAACTATACTTAAATAAACTAGCTTATATTGGTAAAAATAAATACATAGTAGGTAACAAAACAAACAATTCACATTGATTTGTCTTCGAGAAACTGATCAATAGCCTACTATAATAATTCTTTTCCAACAAAAATTCAAAAATTTTTTTTTAAAAGATACTAATCCTATTATAGATTTGTAGTACCGGTACCCAGGCAAATTGTTAAAAAATCTTTTACCCATATAAGAAGGTGTCCTTTCCACAAGATTTAATCTGTGTATAGGATATTGAAAATCTGTATGAAATCTAGTGTTATAATTGTGCCGTAAAAGTGTTGTAAATAGTCCTTAGCCTAAGTAGGCCTACCTTTTTTGTCATTGTTATAAAATAAACTATAACCCAACAACGACAACCATAAATTAAAGGTAGGCTGCAGCCCCAGCAAAGTTAAAAGAGCGGTGGACGGCCTCTCTTCTGGTTATTGTTCATAATAACGATAACAGTAAAATCAATATTTAGGCTATAGGCCTATAGAATGAAATATTTTAACTAACAATCGATAGGCCTATCATCCAGTTTAAGTTAGGATCACTTAAGCTACTAATAGGCCAGCCTAGGCCTACATTGCATGGCTTAATTTAAGGCCTAAAGTATAAAACTTTATATAGATTGGCACCCTTAATCAATTTGTCATATCCAATAAAGTTCGCCGAGCAACAGGCGAGTTGATAAAAAGTGGTCAGTTGAGAGCAAGTTGTGTGATTAAGTTGAAAACCGAGTTACTCGGCCCAGTAGCTACCCCCACCACCACGATTTGCCCGCAAAACATCTGTCTACTGCTATCAAGTGAGTCCAGCGACCACAGAATTAATTTTTTGTGGTTGCTGAGTGAGTCGATCACACACAACGATCAGTATGATTGAGGTTAGTTCAGTGAGTAGTGTGTAGGCCTACTCACCCTCTATGCTCAATGGTTTATTTGAACAGTACAAGTGATTTTGTACAAGTACAAGTTGAACAGTACTGTGTTGCATTGTCTCGTAAATCTACTCTTATAAAATTCAGTTTTCAAAATTGTTGTAAAACTTAAGATTAAACAGTTCTACTGGACTGATTTTATTAATCAATGGGTCGTTAGAAACCTCACTTCCTAAAAATGTGTTCTATTAGAAATACAGTAGGTACATTGAAAACTGTGTTTAAAAATTGTTTATTATAGAAGCAACTTTTGGTTGCCTTTATATTAGGCTATTAAAAAAAATGCAGTATAGTAATTAGTAACAAATCTTATACTCTTTCAGAATATCACCTTTCACTTAGGTCTGTTTCCTCACCGTTTCAAAGTTATTTGCAAAAAAGCTTATAAGGAACCTCTGAATTTAAGTGGTGATTCAGTGTTATATCTAATAATCTAATTCAGTGATTTTATTAAGTTACTGTAGGCCTATAGATTCAGTATGAAACTCTTGAAGGGCCATTTTAAACTCGAACTACATTTAACACAAAAGCTACGGGGTGTACGGAATACCCTTCACCATAGAGAAATAATAAAAATTACTTCTCTATGCCTACACTGGGACCGCGCCGAAGCCGAAGTTGAACAAAGGCACACACGGACAACGATTAAGTTGGACAGATTAAGTTTCCAGGATTGTTTTTTGCGTGCAACGTTACACTTGGACACTTTTGAATGTGTCCAGTTTCGTCGTGTCGTGCAACGCCAACACTGGACAACTTAAAAACGTGTCCAGGTTCGTCGTTTGCGTGCAACGTTAAACTTGGACACTGTCCCTGTTAGAAATAGGAATGCGTGTAGACAGTCCAGTCAAGTCCCGGGTGAGTTGAACAAATCAACAACTGGGCCTAGTAACTGGGCCAAATAACTCGTCTGACTAACTCGACCCGTGTAAACTAGGCTATAGACTAGGCCTAGTTTTAAGTTGTGACGTATGTTATGGAGAAACCTTGAAATGAGTTAGAATAGTGGTAGGCTATGAAGTTTGAGCTGAACGGATAAACAGGGATGGTGTTTGTCTTCAAGTAACAATGCCTCCTCTGCTGCAACCACTTCACTGAATGAGATGGAAGTAAATACTAGGTCCAGTATAGCTCCTTGATAGTTTGTAACAGAGTTAATTTGCTTTAGAGAATGTAGAGTAGCCTCTGGTTAAAGGCCTATTTTGCTTGGAGCGATTGCAGCGATAGTCGGGAACCTAGCGATAGTAGTTGGACACTGTTCTAACGAAGTTTGCGTTGTCCTGTTTTGCTTAGAGCGACTGTCGCAAGAGTTGCTAGCTATAGTAACGGACCACTGCCCTGGGTACCAGTCTTGCAATAATCGCGCCGCGACTGATGCACAGCGACACATTTACAGCTTCAGGTAAATTGAAGTCACCCCAGTGGCAGTGGGGGATAGCCCATAAGGACCCTCAGACGCCGCCCTCCCAACAATACATAAATAAATTGCATTTTTAATATTCTTCAGTTAAATTAAATTACAATTACTTTAACGAATAGGTACTTAAAACAATATACAATAAATAAATATATCAAGTAATTGGATAATTCAATTCAGTAATGACTTATTTTTGATCGTCGCTTGCTTAGTAAGGAAGGCACGGACGGTGGCCAGACAGTCCCAATCCCAATTTAGTCTTAGGGCAGAACAACTGAAGGGCACTGAGGGTGCCATGACGTCATTCCCAACGCTTTAGAATGGGCGCTTTGGGGCAGAGTTTACACCTGCGCGCTCATTCTTAAATCAGGGCATCTGGATATTCTGTATGGAAAGCTACCGTTATGATGTGTAGAACTGATGTTGGTGCACCTGTTTGTCATAACTTAAACCATCTAATTTCTAAAACTAGAAAACAACTGAGCTAACCTCAAACTGTTATCTCTGTGGTGTTTAGTGATTAATGAATAGTGATGTAGAAGTACTGTTGGTACAGTATAAGTAAATTACTAACTGCATACTTTTAAATAGATTTTACATCCAGTTTGGTTAATGGTACTCCCTGCATTTCTGGTTAATTAATACTAGCTGTTACCCACGGACTTCACTCCGTTTGACTTCATAAGTATTAATAAAACTATTGATTGGTTAAGCTGAAATAAACAAAACAGAATACAGTAAAACCTTTGACTATCGATACAACGTCGATGGTAAGCTGTTATTTTTTGCTCGCTTCAATTTTTTAAAGCATTGTAAAAGACTTTTTTTATCATCTCAATCCTCTATCACTTAACTTGCTTGCTTCCTACGATTTACTTCTCAAAATATCTCACACAGTTACTTTGAAATTTGAATTCATAACACATTTAGCCTTCTTAGACCACCCTTATTAAAGTAGGCCTACCGTATGTATTAACAACCTTAAAACATTAGGCAGATTGTCATCTTAATCAAGATAGTTACTGTTAATCATTCTCTGTAATTGTTTGGGAAGATTTGAAGATGGAATGTGCAGTTAATGTTTTCTCTAGTATCAGGAACTCCCACGTGCTATTGTTTACTAGACACCAAGACAACACCCGACCTTGTCTTATCACCAGCGATACTGATAGCACACATACTGTTCTGATTGTGTACAACCACAACTTAGTATAGTGTATCGTTCAAAAATTGTTTAACACACTCTATTTTTGTAAATTGGCAGGGAAAATATAATTTGTTTAGGCCTAGTTATTTATATAAATAAGTATACAGTGTGTAAATTAAGTCTTGAAACAAATCTGTATTTTTTAAACCGAAATAGATAGAAATATTCTGTTTGTGGCGTTGATTGTTAACAAAGGTTCCGTACTTTTTTACATAAAAATATTTTTTAACCCCCCTAACAGGGTGAGGGTAGGGGGTGACTTATTTCTTTCAAATAGCAACCCCTATTGAGTAATCCCTCATTTTGAAGGGCTTGTCTAAAGAAACACAATGACGCAAACCCGAGGTGGATATTTCACCCCCTAGCCAAAATGGCAGGTATTCCAAAACTTGATTTACTGTAGGCCTATGTAAAAAAGCACCAATTTCATAAATATGGAAACAAATCTGTATTATTAAAACCAAAATCGATAGAAATATTCTTTTTAAGGAATTGATTGTTAACACAGGTTCCGCAATTTTTTACATAAACAATATTTTTTAACCCCTTACACAGGGTAGGGGGTGGGGGTGATTTATTTTTTAAAATAACAACCCCTATTGAGTGACCCCTCATTTTGAAGGATTTGTCAAAAGAAATACAATGATGCAAACCCGAGGTAGATATTTCATCCCTAGCCTAAATGGCGGGTATTCCAAAGTTTGATTTATGTGAAAAAGCACCCATTTTGGAATACCTGCCATTTTGGCTAGGGGTGAGATATTCACCTCGGGTTTGCATCATTGTGTTTCTTTTGACAAGCCCGTCAAAATAAGGGGTCACTCAATAGGGGTTGCTATTTGAAAAAAATAAGTCACCTCCTACTCCCTACCCTGTTAAAGAGGTTAAACATTTTTTGTGCAAAAATTGCAGAACCTTTGTTAAGACTCAATGCTACAAACAGAATATTTCTATCTATTTCGGTTTAAAAAATTGGATGAAATTGTAATCTCTAATAGAATAAGAAAAATAATATGGAAAAGGAAAATTATTTAACATTTCCTTGAGTAATAGTACAGAAACTAGAAAAATTCAGAATAGGCCTAGTCAAAATCTATTCCTAACGGCACATAAAACAAGTTCAAATCCTATAAACCATATAATCATAAGGCTTACTTCCATAACTTACCTATTTCACAATTATAAAATTTTTCTACTTTAAACAATAAATGACAATAGACAATATTTAAAAGTTATAACATGTTTTCATAAAACTCACTCTTATGGAAACATAATCAACAATCAAGAATCGATATTTTTATTCCGTTAGACATGTACATGCATTTGGATATGTCAATAAAGTTGATTACATGCTGCAAAAACACAAGTCAAAGATAAATTACAGTACAAAAACAAATCAGGCATTAACAAAAAAATCAAATAAGATACCCGTACTAAGGTCATTTAGTTGGCACAGTGAAGACTACGGTATACTTACAGAAAAAAATATAAACCAAATTACATATTCTACACTGAGATAAAAATCTAGAGGAGCCTAATCGTGCCGGAAGCTTATTTCAGCTAATAGAGTCAACATCACAAAAATCATCTGTATTGAAAAACTTGACAAATTAGTTTGAAGCATTACCAGCATATTTGAATAGTTGGAATTTTTTATTTTATTGAGCGGAGCGAAGCAAAGTTCTTAGGGGTCAACTTCAATGCAATCTTTATTTAACACTTTATCTCAATAACGGCTGAACATATTTTAGCCAAACTTACCAAGGTTGTTTTGTTAAATGTTTAGATGGTTTGGACGTAACCAATTTCAATTTTTGATAATGCCTATATAATGTTAAAGTAAATCAAAGTTTTTTTAATTTTAACATTGGCCTTATGGGTTGCCATAATGGTTACAAAATAACAACGTAAATGTAAACAAAACTAAGAATCATAGCATATGTTAAAATCAAGTCACAACCTAAACACAGTACAAAGGAAAAAATCGGATGATGTCAACTGATCAAACAATACAGAGAAAGTCTTAGTTTATATTTAAGCAATTTGGAAACGACCACTGATCGAATAGGTTTAACAGTAATATCTAAACGACTACAGTCATAGATAAAACATACTTTCTTAGGTACAGTATTTAACAGATTTGATCTACATAGCTAAATAAGGTAGCTGTTGACAAATAACATTTTATCTTAAACAATTCGTCGGCGAATCACATTCATGGATCCATCTCATAAATGGCAAACTTAAACAGCTCCACGATGTAGGAAGTGGTGAAGGAAGTAGTAAAATCGAGAAGTGAAGAGTGTGGGAAATGCTTGCTGGGGAAACATTTGTAGCAGTTACATAATTGTATCTAAAATACTAGAATGCTATGGGAAGGGAGGGAAACAGGTCCACGACGTAGGAAGTGGTAAATGAAGTAGTAAAGGCTGGCAAAGCGAAGTGTGAGGACCGTTTTTGGCAGTTAGATTAATGTATAAACGTCTTGACCTACATTTATTCAAACAAATTCGTAAATCAGTATATTCAGACTATGAGAACAGAGCTTTATGGAAGCTTTGTTGAACAATTAATTACTGGTTTAAAAGAACATTCCAAAATAACAGTAAATTTAAAATTCCTACATTATTTTTATAGAGAACTAGCTGACCCGGTGAACTTCGTATCGCCTAAGTTATAGGTTTCTCCTAAGACAGACCGATGGAAAGAAAGTACCGTTACGTTTAATTTTCAAGATGATCTCGTTCGCATCGCTCAATCACGTCCTGGTTGAAGTTCGTTCGCTACGCTGACTCACCTTTGGGTTGGAGCTCGTTCGCTACGCTCACTCACCTTTAGGTTGGAGCTCGTTCGCTGCGCTCACTTGCCTTCAGGTTAGCTCGTTCGCTACGCTCACACGCCTCCAGGTTGAAGTTCGTTCGCTACGCTCACTCACCTTTTGGTTGCAAATTAGCTGTTGTCATAAATGTAAAAGAAATAATAGTGCTGCACCCTGTTGGTAATCCTTGTAACTTTAATGCTATTGAACATCATAGAACAGAACCAACTTGTTTAATTGAAACAGCTGTTAAGATTCATTAATTCCATTTCTCATAAGGTTAACATGGGAAACTCCAGAGCCACTGGGGCGGAGCCCTTTTAAGAATTTCGAAACGGGAAATAGTTTACGTCCGATTCGCATACCTACAGAATTTACACACCAAATTTCATAACGATCGGTGAAGTCGTTCCGGAGGAGTTTGCAGACAAACACTGTGACACGAGAATTTTATATATTAGATAAGTCAACTGTTGTGGTCTGCTTTTGCTTGTTTATGGCTCTGCTCTATTTTTTTACAACATTTGGTAAATCATTTTTTTTTATACGGAACTATCAACATCTTACCAAAACTCACTTGATTAACTCCCCTGCTGCCCTTCTGTCATCTATAGGGAAATATTTGAGTAAAAATCAAATCAGGCAAAAGTAAATTCGCTTAGCCTGCAGGTTTGCTGTGGTGGGAGTTTTTTTTTAATATAGATGGGGTTATTTACATATTTCAATTGTATCTAGGCATACAGTGGCAACAGTGGAGACAGTAGAGAAGCCATCACCTGGGTTAGGGTGCAGCAGGCAGACATCAATGACCCGGCACTGTACCCGGACACTGGGGAGCAGGATGGCGTTGCCCCACTGTTGCTGGTGCTGGGCTATGGAAGTGGAGTACAGGTCAGTAACTGGTGTTAGTGAACCATACCTAATTATTAAGTTGATGATGAGGGTGTAGGTTTTAAGAATTTTTTTCCTGCATCGTTCATGTCGTTGATTATCTAGGTTTGCGCGATTTGGGTCTTGTCTTTTGCGCCTAGTATATCTGGTTACTACTAGATGGATAACCATTTAAATAAAAATACTTAACCTTATTGAGGTAGTGAATGTATGTGACTAGTACTTTGTTGGGGCAAATAATTGTCAACAACATTAATATAGGCTACTGAAACTGGTCGATGACTAATTCAATGTTTGTCTGTGTGCTTCCCCTAACTTATAGCTTGACCTCTGAAAAAAGAATCTAGCCTATAACTTTGCCTTTAAGATATGGGCTTTATTCATGAATCACAAAATCTCCATAAATTGGCAAGATCTATTTAAATTGATATTTCAAACTTGCCAAATGACATTTTTACAATTTCTCATAAGACATGATATAACAAGGTTCCATTGTACAACCAATTTCCAATGCAAATAAGAGCAAGTCAGCCATTTTATGTATACATTAATCTGAAGTGAATAATTTTACTATCGATAGCTCAATCAATGCCACATCTTGAATAGAACACAGTTTGCGTTGTGCCACTGAGATGTAAGGTTTCCTCTGTACCTTACTTCTGTGTGGTTGTATTCAGTTATGTTGTAGTCATGTAATTACATTGAGAATTACAATGTTGTCATACTCAAGTTAGATCAATGCAATACAATTTTTCATAGGGTTTTTTGGAGTGGAGGAATTTTTTGTTGGTATAAAATAACCTCTCCAAGAGGTATTGTCGTTTTCCCCCTACACTTTCTTTCCTTTATTACTTCCTTCAAATTGGTTTGGAAGAAGGTTGAAAAACTTGCTTCCGACGTTGCTTCGTTTCTCTTCTCCGTAGTGCAAAGTTGTCAGCACATCCTCTGTTTGATGTTCAAGCAATAAAATTACTATCCAATATGGGACTCTAATGGGACTCTAACTCTAATGGGAAATAGAATATTTTTGTGAAAATTCTTTTTAAATAGTTAGATTGATGGAGAATTAATTGATAAGTTATGCGTTGTTTTGCTGTAGGTGTGGGTAGTGCCCGCGTCGGGGGAGGCCCGTGAGGTGTTGTCATGGTCGCAAGGCAGTGTACGCACATTGTGTGTGTTGCCGTCACCAGAACCGAGACTGCCACTACGACAGGACTTGTACAGACACAAGAGACCTCTGGTGGCGATGGTGGACAACGCTGGGCCCGGGCCGCAGTTCTGCTCTGTCAGCTTCATATCACTGAGGGACGGTGACCAGGTAAATACGGTCAAACAACAGTAATACATCATCTGGTACAACAATTGTAATCTAGCATTTTTAGCAATACAATACTGCCATAGCCCCTCGAAAGATATGAACCAACTCGTTCATATCTTTGATCATTGTGCATACTGTTAAGTGATGGAAATATTACTGCTGCTAAAAGTTTTACTGTATAAAGTTAAGGATTTCAATTTTATAAGTCATTAAGGGCCTATAGTATTTAGTAATGTGAAATTTGGTTTGATATTTATTTTTCCCATCTTTTAAATCATTTCTAGTTATATCACCTCTATTTTCTAAAGATAATTTATTGAAACCTATATGTTGAATCAACCGAACAGTCATAGAATGTGATAAATATTGCTTTAACCTTTCAAGACAGTGTGACACAAGTAGCTAATCCCAAATTTGAACGGTGAAGTAGACCACTGGCGCTTAAGTAGTTTTTAGTATCTTTCCAGCAAGGTCTAGTGTCGCCCGTCCTTATTTTAGCACTTGTCCATGCTATCGGATGGTGGAATGGTAGCTCAGTTGCCTTAGACTTGCACTGACAAGTGTAGCACTGAGTTCTTTCTACATGCGCAGAATTAAATCCTTTACATGTGTTATCAATATTATTAAGCTTACCTATATGTGTCTTATTTGGTAGGAGGGTTCATCTAAAATAAGTGGTGTTCGGCTTTTGTGAAACAGTCTAAGTTGGCTCTCTATAGTGGTTTCTTAAAATTATTGTATACTTGGACACTTATCCCACCCACTTACATTCGCAGGTGAAGAGCATCAAGTTCTCTCATCAAGTGTGGGATGTGATGGCCAATCGCAGGTCTGTCGTGGTCACCTTGGCCGAGAGGATCGCAGTGTTTGACGCTGCCACTCTAGAAGACAATGTTGTGGTCACCACCTGCTTCCCTAACCCCGACGTCAACCCAGTAGCTCTCGGCACAAGGTACAACTCTAAATGTTCCAAGTGTTGTATGGGAACATAAAAATATGTATGAGGGTGTTCAACTTTTTTATGGTTACAATATTTGTGGATTAATTTTTGGATGGTAGGCTAAATTGTAACTGGCTATTGATAAAGTATATCCAATTTGTGTTGTTTACGTTTTTGCTCCTAATTATTGTCCTAATTATTGGTTTGTTAAATTTTCTTCATAGTCAAAGTCCATACAAAGATAATGGTTTGTGTATTAAATTAATTCTGTGTTATATATTATTTTGTTAAATGTAACTAGATAGAGGACCGTAAAATTTTTCCTCTTAGGAATATGACCTAAACATGACAATACCTTGTAAACAACCCTCGCATTGCAAGAACATAATGAAGTCAATACAGAAACAGCTTAAATTTTTGCAGTTATTTCCTTTGAAAAATATAAATTTGAGTCAAATTCATGTTTTTTGTTGAGTTCAAATAGTCAAAGGTTCATATGCAACAAAGCGTTTAACATTGAAGTTATCCTTCCTCGTCTTTAATCTGCAATAAGTATCTTACTAGGCTATCTAGGAGTTTAGTTGTGTAAGTAAGCTGGCCTAATAGTATAGAGTAGCGGAGGTTTAATTACCCAGGTCTTGGGTTCAAATCCCATCAATCACCAATGCCTTCACCATTGTGACAACGCTGCGACTTTCTAGGCCTAATGTGAAGTAATTTTCAGAACAGTTCTGGCCTACAGCCAGGCGTCTTTAGCCTTTAAAATTTATTGGTTATTTATAGCTATGCTGTAAATAGAACCGCTCATTGTGTGTAGATGGTTGGCGTACGCAGACCGTAGACTTGTGTCGCAGTGGCGTTCCCTAGGTGGTTGTCACAGCGAGGGGCCGCAGAGTGTGACGGCCACAGTGTTCCACGCAGCCAAGTGTCTGGGCAAGGGTCTGCGCGATCTGAGTGAGACTGTGGCGTCTTCGCTGACCGGAGGCAGTCCTGAGAACACACACTTCCACCCACACGCACCCCATGCAGAGCCCACACACAAGGGGGTGGTCACCATACTGGATATCGAGGTGAGTGGCAATGTCTGTTGTTGCTTCTACTGTAGGTAGTCATAAAATACAATTCAATGCAATAAACACTTCATCCAAGTAGTTTTGTTTAAGGAAAGGCTCTATGATATTAGTTTTGTTTAAGGAAAGGCTCTATGATATTAGTTTTGTTTAAGGAATGGCTATGATATTAGTTTTGTTTAAGGAAAGGCTCTATGATATTAGTTTTGTTTAAGGAATGGCTATGATATTAGTTTTGTTTAAGGAAAGGCTCTATGATATTAGTTTTGTTTAAGGAAAGGCTCTATGCCTGGATTGTAAGCTTTAGAAAGGTTTTACAGGTAACTTATTTTAGAAAACAACCAGGTAATAGAGTTCATTTTTGTACTGCCTCACCTCTATATTGGCTTAATACACATGCACAGGCTTGAGGCCCATGTGGACAAGCAAATGCACGGTTGAAAGAGGATTTCAAACTGTTTAAATAAAAATAGAGTATTTCTATAACAAAATTGTATAAGTTTATTTTTTTTATCATCACATATGTGTGTATACTTCCTATTTTCATATACCGTACTCAAGTGGTGTATGACTAGTGAACTTTCACCTTGAATGATGCCAAATTAAACTTTTTCACAGACCAAAGGTCCCAGGGACGCAAGTGAGGAAGACCATCAGGGCGCGAACCGCATCCTCGCTCACTTCAACGCTCACCATGAGCCAATCGTTGCACTCAGCTTCGACCCCAGCGGCATGCTGCTTGTGACTGCAGACAAACGAGGACATCGCTTCAACGTTTTCCGTATAAACACTCACCCGTGTACCTCCACGCTAGCGTACGTCCAACATCTCTACATATTGCACAGGTAAACTACCCATTTGGTATGTGAGACAGATTCCAAAAAATGTATTATGGTTATTGACTTATTGAGTATCATTACGTTTGGATACTGAAGTTAACATTTCATCTAGGCTATATGGACTATCCGCATATAAAAACAAAAAAACATTGCTGAAAAAGCTAATCAAAGATTGCGCTATGGAGTAAATAATTTAGAGTGGCAACCTGGATGCATACACGCACAAGAACCCTTACCACACCACCATTGTTCTTTATATTAGGCCTATGTACGGATCAATTATAACAAGTTACTTTTAAAACTAACTGTACCTACATCTTCAGAGTAGGGAAAAAGTGGTTGGGGATATTTTCTATCTCTTTTGCAGGAGTACTAATCACAGTACACGCCATCCTAATTGACACAATCCGTACAACAGTCCAATTTCCCCCCCTTTGTCAATATGGTAGTTGATGTGGCTTAAAAAATGCCACAGCTTTCAGTTAGTTTTTTTTTTCAATTTGGCTATATTGAAAAGTTAAACTTAAATCTAACCATCTTAAAGTATTTGTATGTTTGGATATTTTCTTCCTATGAAAATATATGTTCTTGGTGTATGGCCTCATTGTCTAATTACTGCTATGTTACAGAGGCGACACCACTGCTCGTATCCAGGACATAGCGTTCTCCGCAGACTCCCGCTGGGTGGCCATCAGCTCTATGAGAGGTACCACACACGTGTTCCCCATCACTCCGTACGGGGGAACTGTGGGGGTGAGGACTCACACCACCCCTCACGTTGTCAACAAACTCTCCAGGTACATTAGAACGTAAATAGCTAAATAGTTTAGTAGATTTTTTTTAGTTTACTCTGTTTTGATACTTTCCTGAGCATTTGAGTATCACCAACAAAGCAGGTAGTTTGAGAAAAAGTGAATACAGCAGGACTCTAATCATCCGGATCAAATGGGACCAGTCCCCGGTTTCCCAGTCTGAAATCCGATTTGTTGGATTTTATTTTCAAACAGCAACACCCGCCGATTGATACGACACTACAAATAACTAGGCACATGTACTTTGTCCTTGTACACTGTATTTTGTGTCTATGAAAAAAACATTCTTTAGCATAGGCGTGGTAAAAAATCTTCTGAAATTTATCTCGAATCTCAAATTTACATTGCAATATCCTATACTTTTGTTGGATGTAGCCTAAATAATTTTTGTTTTTAAACTGAAAGGGTAACAAAACACTTCTTGATGTAAACTCATGCAAACTTCTCGATTAAATTAGACACAAATTAAAAATATTTTCCTTTAGGTTAAAAAGTAAAATTTTCATTTTTGCTTGGTTATATTGCTACGCACAGGAAAGCATTATATATGTCTATTTATTATTGTTGGCTGGCTCTTTAAGAGATCTACAAAATTTCTTTGACTGTTGACTTAGCCCACATTGAAATATACAGGGTGTCCCGTAACTCTCTGGACACTTGTATATAGCGTTATTCCTTAGGTCAAAACAAACACATTTCACCATAGGAACATGGGTCTGTGGTGTCTAGTTTACCGACTGTCGGTATTTATGTGTTTTTTACAAAAAAACTAATAACTCCTAAACGGTTTGAGATACAGCTTTGATATTTTGCAAAAATGTTAATCTTATTAAGACCTATTATCGTTAGAAATTATACTAAAAAATCATTAACCGTTTCAAAATGGCGGCCATTTAAAATATTTGATGCCAAATTTCATAAAAACCGTTAACTTTACAAAAAAATTGCAAGAGACAAAAAAGTTTGTAAATTTTATGTAGTTTTCAATGATACCTGATTTGTTAAGATTTGATAAATAATAACAGAGAAACGTGTTGTTTTCTAAATGTATGACCACTTTTCTCCATTTAAACAATGCTAATACTCCTTTTACGTTGTTTAGCATTGTTTAAATGGAGAAAAGTGGTCATGCGTTTAGAAAAGAAGACATTTCTCTGTTATTATTTATCCAATCTTAACAAATCAGGTATCATTAAAAACTACATAAAACTTACAAACTTTTTTGTCTCTTGCAATTTTTTTGTAAAGTTAATGGTTTTCGTGAAATTTGGCATCAAATATTTTAAATGGCCGCCATTTTGAAACGGTTAATGATTTTTTAGTATAATTTCTAACGATAATAGGTCTTAATAAGATTAACATTTTTGCAAAATATCAAAGCTGTATCTCAAACCGTTTAGGAGTTATTAGTTTTTTTGTAAAAAACACATAAATACCGACAGTCGGTAAACTAGACACCACAGACCCATGTTCCTATGGTGAAATGTGTTTGTCTTGACCTAAGGAATAACGCTATATACAAGTGTCCAGAGAGTTACGGGACACCCTGTATTTATTAATAAAGATCATTCCTAACTTATGTTTCATTTATTTGTCTGATGAGGTAAGTCTTGATTTAAATCTTATAATAGATTAATTACTTTAAGAATAAATAAGTTTATTAAGTTACAATATAAGATTTATTAAGAGAATTACAAGTATACTGGTTGAATTCTATGGGACTAACAATGGTAACAAAATGGTGGGGCTTCCAAAAGTGGATGAAAAGTGATTCTAGGCTATAGTTACATATGTTTGTTTCTTCAATTATAAGTGATTAACATATAAATAAATATAATTTAAGCTCTTTAATCTCAGGGAGGCATGGTCGTGCCGGTTCGAATGGTATAGTAGGCTTTAAATTGAAAATACAAATAATTTATATAATTTAATTGTTGCTCTGAAATAGGCCAAGTTTATTATGATATTGTAATACGACAATGTTCAAAGAAAGATGCCAAATGATTTCACTGAATTTAATGTAATAAAATAAGATTTTAGGATTAAATTTAGAATAATGGTTCAATTTTAAGTAGGCCTATGTAGATCTTGATGAACTTAAATTATAATTAGGCCTATTAGGCTATGCTTACATTTTAAATGACTTATGACACATTATTAGGGCCATTAACAAACATTATCGGAGAAAACATACAAAATAATAGTGAAATTAATATTAATTATTAGTGATGAATGAATGACATGTAATATAATATTTTAACTAATATATCTCATGAAATCAATAAGTTTTCTAAATTCAATCAAAATATCCTATACTCTTATACTGTATAAATAACTAGCTGGCCCGACAGACGTCGTCCTGTCCTAATGTGGTTTTATGCCAAAAGCTCGTTCATTTTCAAGATGAGCTCGTTCGCATGGCTCAATCACGTTCTGGTTGAAGTTCGTTCGCTACGCTCACTCACCTTTAGGTTGGAGCTCATTCGCTGCGCTCACTTGCCTACTGCTTAGCTCTTTCGCTACGCTAACTCGCCTACGGGTTGAAGTTTGTTCGCTACGCTCACTCACCTTTTGGTTGCAAATTAGCTATTGACATAAATTAAAAAAAAATAATAGTGCTGCACCCTGTTGGTAAACCTATTAACATTTTAATACTATTGAACATCAGAGAATCAAATTGATTAGTTGAACCAGCTGTTAAGATTCTTAAATTACATTTAAATATGAGTACTCATAAGGTTAACATGGGAAACTTCAGAGCCACTGGGGCGGAGCCCTTTTGACGGATCTGCACCAAACTTCACACAAACCATCCTTGAATAATGCTTAATAATGCCTGAAAGTTTCATTACAATCTGTCGAGCGGTTTCGTAGTCCATAAAGGACAAACAAACATACATACATACAAACAAACATACATTGGATTTTATATATATAGATAATGATTCTTGATTCATTATGGCCACAATTGGCACGCATTACAATTTGTACTACTACTACACAATTTGCACAATTTTTTTACTTCAAAAATTTTTTTTTGCTTGTAATTTACTATTTATTGTAATTATTTTGACACTATTTATTGTACAATGTACATAAAAACGAATAAAGATATTTGAATTGAATTGTAACAAGTTGGGGTAAAATGCAAAAAACTGCAATGAGCTTAGTTTTTGGGTTATTTAAGTTTTTTTCTCTGATAGTTGGCAATCTGGATAGTTGGATCTAAAAGTTTCTACTGTATACAAATTTATCCGCATCTTTTTGTATCGCTCCTGTACATGTGGTGTGGTATTGCAGATTTCACCGCAGTGCAGGTCTGACCGACGACGGTCGCAACAGCCCAGTGTTGTGGGAGACTCCCCCTGGTGGAGGAGGACAACCTACCCCCCCTACTCCCACCACAGTCACCCCTCTAACTCAGGTAAGGTACTACATAATACGTGAGGACAATGTTCTTTAGGCATGCATTTGTTTTATTATTTTTTTAGAAAAATGGACAACTAACTGGTGATATTAAGATGGATTTGTTTGTAGCTTTCTGTTATGTAACCACATAAAATAAAAAGCTTCATTGTTATGTTACTAATTTAAATTATTGTCTGTTCTTGAATGCAAATCAATAAATTAACTGAAGGCCTATTTAAACATTTACTAAGAATTTTCATATTTTGTATCGTCATTGTTAAATATTATAATAAATTCCGGCCATTAAAAATATAAATTGGAATACTAATATGATGGAAGGAAAATAAATGCATAACAAATAAACAAAATAATAATAAATAAATGCAAATAAACAAATGTACTGCCTCCTACAAAATTTACAATTCCCTCAATTCTTGGCTGTAGACTTTTTCATGTTAGCTTACCAGACTTTAGGTGTGTTCTCCTAGCTGCGAGGTGTGTGCCGGGGTATGGCATTCAGTGCTTTTTTAGACTGTACAGCAGACAAAGACGGACTAGTGTTTTCCTAGACTTCGTGGGGTGTGAACTTCAAGTTTCTCTCGCAGAACCATTTGCACAACAACATGAACTCCTCGCTATCCCGTTGCGGACTGAGACGTAGACTCCTGTAGAATGAGTCGGCACAGCCCGCAGTTTGAACCCCGCTTTCGGGGTGCGCGTGCGATTCCTAGGAAAACACTCTGACGTAGCTCTGTGTATTGTGTGCTCTGCGGACTCCGCAGGCTCAACACAGCACCCCGCTGCAGCGTATACAACTCAGCTAGAAAAACATGCATCTACAAAATCTCTTAAAATTTTCATAATTCGTTAAATAGTTTTAGCTTTTGTGTGTTGTAGTCATTGACACGACACTAAAACACTTTAAGAATTGTCTCTACTCAAATTCATTTTCTAAATCGCAGGTGCGGAGACAAAGTGCTCTAGCCCCGCCTACTGAAGACAGCATTGTCAAGGTGGCGGTAGTGTTTGGGGCACCGAGGGCCCCGTCTCTGCCACCCCACAGCGGGGGCTCACGTACCAGACGGTCCATGGACTCTCTTTACATCATGGCTTGTAATGGAGCTTTGGTGCAGTACGATCTGGACCCGAGACATCTCTCAGGTAGTTATGAGTTGAACAAGTAGCTTAAATCAGCCCTAGGTTCAGCTTTACAGTTTTTTTATTCATATTTCCAATTGAAGACTAAATATCTTGAATCTTATTAGATTATTTTTATTTATTTATTTTTTATTATAATCCATCAAGTCTAGAAGGGTATCAATTTGATCGCCATAAATGTCAGTTGATCAAGATTGCTTTTTCGTTTTGTTTTTTTTTTGTACCGTATTTAATAAAGATAAAATGTGATGGCTATTTTCTAATGTAGTATTAATAACTATTAAGAATTTAAGAGACTTTGCACTGCATTTGAAATGTTTTATTATTACCTAGACTTAGCTTAACTCGATCGCTGCAGACGACTCCGATCAGAGTCATGCCGTACTGGCACAGCGTGCGTACGACTGGTCGTAGTCACGGTGCAGTGTTATACAAGTTGGTGTACTGTGACCTCCGCATTTTTCGGGGATCAACTAAACTTTGTCAGTATGTTGTGCTGTGCTGGTCCTATACTCTAATTTGGTGTAGGTTGGGTTTAGGTTGATAGTACAATTTCCCGTAAAATCCCAACGCAACGCTTTTTGTCTTGTTTTTAGTAATTTTGTCTCTTCAAGCCACATTACAAAGACAATGGCTACGGATTCAGGCAGTGCTGCTATCTGTGAGTTTTTCAGTGAACTACGACCACTCTCGGTATAACACAGCACCATCACTGCCACTGTTTTTTTGCTGTCTAAACTTAAATATTTTAATGCCAATTGCGTTCTTTGATCGCTGGTGCGCCAAGGCTGCATCGCATTTCCGATCGCCCCCCCCCCCCCCAATGGGATTCCCGCAGCGAACATGCTAACTGTACATTAAAGGTTAATGTTAGTTATTTTTTGGGTATTTAAGGTTATGTTTCCATCATCCTGGATCACTTGTGAATTATCAACGAGTTGTCTTGAGTATGATTTTATGACTTTACTGTATGATTTTATCTTGAGATTTTGCAGTATTTATTATTAAATAGACATTACAACAAATTTATCTTTGTCTATTTTTGATTGACCGCTACAGGTATCAGCAAGGAGAAGGTGTGTGATGACACAGGAATTGAGCTGCTTGTGGAGGCTAGAGCTCAGTGGGTGTTACAGAGACCCCCCTACAGCAGCGCCCTGCATCCTCCCTTACCTTGCACCAACCCGCTGCTGCACCCGACACCACCCGACCCTCCCACACCCACGGACACGGGCTCTGACGACGAGCGCTGGTTGTCTCAGGTAACTCAACTGTGTAGTTTGACTTGTCCATTCAATTTATGTGCTCTAAACTAAAACTCGTTCCTCTTTAAGAATGTGTATTTCAGTTATTTTATTATTTGTTTTAACAAAATTACTTTTATTTTTTAAATTTGATATTTTGTAGAATGTCACTACCGTAACTTAACACTTTGTAGACCCAGAGGTTGTCAAGTTTAGTAGTTGTCAAATCAAGCTTGAGCTACACAGAAAAGGTCACGGAGAAGAATAAAAAGGAAGGAAAATGTTTCTGTTGGATGCTTTCTATGTTATCAAATGAGAGCTGCTACCCTAGACAGGACATGTCACTTCATGTGAAAACAACATGCCACTTGCAGAATCCAATAAATCCCCAAAAAGAGTATTAAATTAATATTTTATTTTTGTGGCGTTTTGTTTTGCCGCTTGTTGTGTTCTTTACCTTGGGTCACACTAGGCAGGAAAGAAAACATATTAGATGAAATGCACGGTATATTAGGAAGCATTATGTGGTGTAGCCCTACCAGAATTGATCAGTGTTGTTTCCTTATCCGTTCATTTCGGTTTCCTGTTCTATTCCTCTCCTGTCTCGTGTTGCCAGATTTTGAATCTTAATCCAGTACATAACATTTAAGTAAAAACTGCAGACAGTGACTAAATCATTTTTAAGAACATATTGTACTTACTTGTGACTTGGCACTCTTATTTCTAAAGCTAACCAGATGGAAGAGAAAGTAGAGTTTGTTGAATCAAAGGTAGTAGATGTGTAAATAGACCTTGTGTAGCACTAAGTTACGTTGATTTTCTCTTTAAAATGATCGAGTCTAGTTCCTAAACTGAGAAAACCGTCATAACAGCGCTTTGAGATCCACAAATCAACTCACTCCTGATTCAAATTACATTGTTGCATTATATGTCTACTTTTAAGTTGTGTGATTTTAATCACTTAAATTCTTTTCAAACAATTTGTGTCGCTTGCAAGATGAAGGGATATAATCATATATCATTAAGTACTTAGGACCTTCGTCTTGCAGCACATTGAGTTATTGTAATGATCACTTTAAAACATAAAATGTGATATATTATGTGCTATTCAGGTGGAGATAGTTACCCACGCCGGACCACACAGAAGACTGTGGATGGGACCTCAGTTTACCTTCATCACCGTCAGCTCAAACAAGTAAGTTCCTCATCGTACATCTCGGTGATGCAGTGCCATGTTTGGTTGTGCTTTAAAATCATTCAGACGCTTAACCCTTTAACGAGGTTGCATTTGCATATTTTTTATGTTGCACTTTGAAATTCGAAGATGCTTCACTCTAAACCAAAACAATTTTACGTATTACTTAAGGCTAGGCCTAAAGGGTCAAAGCATCACATAGGTAACAGGCTTGTTTTGAACCTGGGACTCCGGGGACTGAAGCCCTGCACCCTGCACTATACCATTAGACCAGCTCTTTCCCTGGACTTGCCTAGTACAACACAACATTTCATGGCTTGGCAAACCTAATGCTAAACCACTGAAGCTAAAGTAATTCTTGAAATATAGCTACAAGCGCTATTGTCTCATTTAGGCTTCAAGGCACTGTTCTAGCCAGCCGACATGTGAGCTAAGTTGACTAATTGGTTCCACTGAAATCTGTCAATCTCATTCTAACATAACCTTAAAAAGCAGACATAAAGAATACTTAAAGTATGTATGAGTTTGAGTGTTAATATTAGCTTTGTTGTATGCAGTGACACCGGAGATGCACTGGATATCAACAAACAAGTGGTTCGATCCAATCCAGTCAATATGCCTCTCAAACAGCCTCTCATCATAGAGTCTGGATCCTGCAGTAAGTTTCTTTGCCTGTACAGTACATAACTATTTCACAAGCAATGTCTTAAGAAGGAAATAGTAGATTGGCAGTTAACAAAATTAGATATAAAATTAATCGTGCTGTAAACTTGTTGTGTACCATCAACTGTCTGAAACTTTTTTCTTGGGTAAGTTAGCTGTATCCATTTCTTCTACCTTATTGTATCAAGCCAAAAGTGCTCTTTCCTTGAACAACTGTGTAAAAGCACCTAAAATGATTCACCAGTATAAGTTGTTAAACTCAGTATTCTTCCTTGAAACATTGTATAATTGTATTTGTACTACAGTAACTATGATGGAAAAGGTCCACAGAAATCTCTTAAATTACATTGTTCTTGTATCCACTACACGTGTTAAAAAAAAGACTATTTACTATTTGAAAGTATATAGTAAAATGTTTTTTGTTCAAAATTGAACCAAAATGAAAATTTTTTTGTTTAAAATTTATCTACACTAAAGTGTTAAACTAACCTTCAACACCTAAGTTTCCTACAATGTTGAAACAGTTATTTCAAAGATAAAATCGCAAAGCCACATGAATGTTAGCACTTCAAGGGAACAAAATAAAACAACTTTGTCTACAACTGTTTTGTTTCATTTATTTAAAAGACACATTTACGTTTTAAGTGGTATCAATGTTATTATTTGTCTTTCACAGTCTAAATGGGTGAAGACCAAAATGGAAGATGCAAATAAAATAATTTATTACCTCCTAAACAGGCAGTAGGCCAAATCAAAAAAAGTAATACTTTTCTAATAGAAGTATTTCACTAATTGTATAGACTGTCTTGACTGAGTATCCACATTTGTACTAATCTTGATTTTCTGATGAAAAAGTATTTCCATGTTTTAAACGGTGGTTGGTAGGTCGTTGAACATAACCAAACTCATCACAGGGAAACAGCATTTCTTGAACTTACAGTTTGATAAATACATTTTTTTTTTGTTTTTTTTTGCCTTAATTCCACAGATTTATTTGTAGATGTGCACATTGGTAACTGTTAGGATATGATTTATTAAAAAGGGGTTAAAAAGACAACAAAAATAGCTTACAGTTTTCTCACACAATCGTATTATTCACAGGTAGCCTCGAACTATCCCCCAACATGGTGGAACTTGTTTACAAGACTGACTGCAGTTGGAGCTGCAGACTGCGCGAGGACCTGGCCGAGGCTATGCTGGAAGCACCTGCCACCCGCAATACTGGTTAGTAATTCTTTCACTTATGTAACATACATCTGTTCCCCTGTCCTTTGTTTTGTTTTTTGTCTTCAAAGTAAAATATTTTAAAGGAAAGCAGAGTGGCTGATAAGGATTTTTTGAAAAGGGGGTGGAAATCAGCTAGCTTGCCTAGGAAATATGAGTCCAAGGACTAATAGGTACACACAATAAAAAGTCACAAAACAACACTGATATATAGTCCCGATGTAGGACTTCTTCAGACAGGAGGTTGATGTATATAATATTAGCCCCTAGACTATAATTTTATCAGGTAAGCTAGCTAAACTCTATTCCTTTTCAAAAATATGTTACTTAGCCAATTAGCTTCCTTTAAAATATAAACTAAAGTATAATATTCGTGTCTGCCACAATGTTTCAATATGGTGCTATGGTGAACTAGGAATGTCTGAGGTTATCTCTACATTTTAAATATAGTTTCTTATTTTTGTCGCCTTTAGGAAGGCATCAGAGTTTGTAACAAATAGGCTACACAGGTGTAGTAAAAATAAAATGCAAGCAAACAAGGATTTAATTTGTAGGCTGGGATTTGTGCTCTAATAGTCTATAATATTGTGGAGTGAATCGTGGTTGAGTTCTATTCCTAACGGCTCTTTCAGTATATTTTATTTTATTTTTATTGTTCACTGTGGCATTTTAAATTAAGGAATCGCACACGCTTCTAATGGAAAGTAGTGCGAACCCCTAACATTTGTTTGGATATGGCAGGATCAATGTCCCTCTCGCATTGAAATTTGGGATACTAACCACTCGGGTAGCAACACACCCGAGTATAGAATAATTTGATGCATTTTATGATTATTTTATCGTTACACATTATCATTTCGGTTGATCAGCAGTTTTGCTCGATTGTGTTATTAACTTTTAATCTCAAATACAAGTTAAACTCCTATAGGCCTATTACTTTTTTCACCATCTGAATGATTTTAGCTTGAACCCATGAAGTAGAATATGCACTGGTAATAAATAGCAGTACAGTATTGTCATTTATTGTATGTGTATCAATTTCTCCCTGTGTATATTGGTTATATTATTGTAGACTGTATATTAAGTCGCCTAACTGCAAGTGAATGTTTTGTATTGTCGTTTATTCACTCGATACTTTTTAAATTGGTTTATATATTTACTCTATTATTACTTAATTGTACGGTTTACAGAGTAAAGTAGTACTAAAGGCAGAAGATATAGTGTCATTCGACTATTTTTTGGCTTAACAACATTTTATTTTAACCTCTTGTACACAATTTTTTTCTTTATGGACGGACATACAGTTGTTGTAGTTGCAAGTAAAAGTAATAATTTTTTGGCAACAATTATTATCGAAACAAAACTGACCTATATAACATGTAATTTTGTTGATGTGATATATTTATATGTTTGACATACAGTATATATTAATGAAAACGTTGTTAATAAATATTTTTATTGTTAAGTGATTCATGACAACAATTAAACTTGAGTGGCTATTTTTTACATTGGTTTTCAATCGTGATTATTGTGTTTTTTATTCAAGGTCTTTTGTTACATATTATGGTAATATTAAATATTGTTGATGATACACATTGAAAGAAAAATGTAGTAGTAAAGGGTTATAGGCCTATGAATTAACAATTTACAAAATTTTTGTTTTAAATCACGGTAAATTTACATAATGTTAAAAGGCATCGTTATGTGTGCAAGCAAGGATGCACTACAATTACATTACGGTACAACAAAACTAGAAAGGTATTTAGTATTAATCTTGATTTTGGTTAAATTTATTTTTGAACTTTATTGCTTAGTTAGAAATCATGTTCCAAAATCTCTCAATCAAAATAATTATTTCCTCTCCCAACATTTGACTAATTGTATTGTGAAGTAGTGAAGAAATAAAAGGACTTAAGACGACAGTTAAAATATACTACATGGTGCCTTAAAACGGACTGAGCAGTTTGACTCTCATACTACTCAGGTTGTGGATAGGAAAATCAGACACAATTGGTTTGTTGTTATAAGCACTCATACCATAATGGTTCTGACTGGGCAGCAGTGAGGTTATGCTGTAGTTTTGTATTTCCAAAACAACTTGTCAGTGATTGTGACACAGCACAATTCAATTGAGTGTTCAAAAGTTGTAGGGAAGTGGTAGCACTCTTAAAACCAAGGAATTTGGATGACGAAGATCAGTGAAGACACTGGTAAATGTTCAGTTGTTCAGAGCAGCAGTTAAGCAGGCAACAAGATATTTGCCAAATGTTTGACGCATTTAGTGCATTTCCTTCTCTAAGTACAACTTGACATTTCTAATGCAATAGTAAGCCTCTTAGAGAAATGACTTGGCGTCTGCTCAACCACTATACCGACCAACTAGGCATTTTCAAATGTTCTCACTGTTATTCGTCGTCCGTGTTTGTCAGTGTTAAGAGTGGTACCACTTTCTTTAAACTTTTTAACCCTCGAAAGTATTGTATTTGTACTAGGAACATCATCGTTGTGCGGAATAAAAATACTGCTAGCAAGAAGGTTTTGTGTTACAATCATTGACTTGTTGTTTTGGAAATACGCTCACACAGTATAACCCTGATACCGTCCGGTCCAAGTTTGTGTTGCTAAAGTGGTATGTGTGGCTGAGGATAACAAGACCAATACTGTCTGTCTTCCTCTTCCACCGCGGTATTACTACGTGGGTCAAACTGCTCAATCCCTTCTACTGCATCCAGTTGTATAAAAATTAAAATTTAACCACAAGTTGAGTTAGTGTTGAAAGCTTTCTTTGCCTTTGTTGCAGTTCGTGAAGATTGCATTGTTGACATTTTGCGTTTTGTCTGTTAAGGTATAAAAGGGGTGGTGAGGCGCGAGCCCGTTATTGAACGCCAAGTGAACCCTCTGGGCTCCGTTGTCACCCTAACAGCGCAACTCAACTTTCCCTCCGACCTACTCACCGATGACGGGAAAGTAACTGTAGTAGGCACTGAAACTAAGAAAATTACATTGGAATCTAAGTTGAATAAAACAGTAAACCAACCTTGGTTGAGCGATTACATGCTCAGCGACCCATCTCTAGATCCTTGTTTGTATTCACACGCTAAAGTAAGTGAACTAGGTGCTTCTAGTTTAGACGTAGTCAAGAGTAGTTGTAAAGAAAAACAGAAACCAACTGAACCGCTGGATGGAAGAAGTTCCAAAAAAGTACTTGCTGAAGTTGATGAAAACATCTCTAAAACCCAAAGGAAGTCTGAAGACAAAGAACCTGTTTTGGAGACTTGTGAGAAGAGAGGAAAAAATGGAAAATCACGGAGGAAGATAAGTAAAGGTGAAAAAAACAAACCTAAAGTAGATGTAGAATCTAAAATAGCTGAAGATACTTTTATTGTTCCTAATATTGTGAGAGCAATGGATGTAACTGAAGCTAAAGTAGTAGATGATTTACCTGTCTGTGATGCGATGCTGCAAAGTTCTGAAGACATAGAAATGCAGTTGAGGGAGGCTTCGGCTGAAAAAGATTTAGAGGAAACGATACTAGAGTTTGAAGATTTTAAAGGACGCAAGAGAAGTCTTGATCTTACTGCAGAAGCAAAGGTGATTGATTGTGAATCCGAGATTTTGTTTGAACAAGTGATTCCAACCGCTAAGGAAGAAATCAAAGAAAATGACAAAACAAGCTCTAGGCTCAGAAAAAAATCAAAAATGAACTATCAAGATGTGTTGCCTACAGATAAATCAGGGGAAATTGTGGTTGAAGATAAATCAGACAAAATTGAAGAAAAACCAAAAGGAAAAAAGAAAAGATCCAAAAAAAACAATCTTTCAACTGAACCAGTCTGTGATGAATTACAGTCACATGTTGAAAACATTAGTAAAGCAAAGAAAAATGATGAATCTGATGTTGAAACACTTCCCATAGAGACATCATCTGAAACTTTGTGTTTAGAACTATCTAATGACACTAAAGATTGTGAATCATCTGAGTTGATATTCAGTGCTAAAGCTAAAAGTGATGAAGAGATGAGCGTTATCGTAAGTGATGTTGAAATTGAAAAATCAAACATAGAAGAGTTATCTCCTGATTTCTGTAACAATATATTAGACAGTAACATTGTTGAAGAAAAGAATAGCACAACTGATGATGAGTTGAAAGGATTTGAATCTGATCTATTGGTCAAAGATAGTACTTGGTCTCCAGAGCTAAGTCCTGAAAAAGATATAGATATTGTCATGGATGATAAAGACTCCGACAGAGAAATCGATAAGATTAAAAATGATGAAACCACAGATAAAGATTCTAGTGATGATTGTCAACCGGTTGTTGTTAAGTCAGACCTAAAACACGCCCACAAAAAAGGGAAAAACAGAAAATTTACTCGGAAAAATCGTGAAGTTGAACAAAAACTCCATGATAACGAAACAAAACTCGAAGAAATTACTGTTAAAGAAGAGTTAGTAAAGTCGGATATTAAAATTGACGATAAAGAAATAAATGAACCTCTCATCAAAGAGAATTTGGAACAATCATTGAAGAAAATTGATTCAGAAGAAGAGGATGTGTTTATTGAAATAAAAAGCGATTCCAAGCCTGGCAAATCCATGGACGATAGTTTTCCAGATTTAAAACTATCTTCAGACGGAATTAAAAGAAGAGTCAGAAAAAGAGAATCACTGGAGAAGGAGGAAGTGAAAAACTCAGAAGCAGCAGATATACAGGACATCCCTAAGCGCTCTTGGAGTTCAATCGTGTCCCCTAACAACGAAGATGCCAACGGAAACATACCTAAGGTGGAAGAGCTGGCCCCTGTCCGCTCATGGAGTAGTATTGCAGCCAGCCCAGCCAAATCCAAGACACAAGAAACAGACGTGATCAAAACCAACAGTGTGGAAGACCGAGACTCGGTGTACGAATCATGCAATGACAGCGTAGGAGAAGAGGTCGAGCCTGCTCACGACTCTCTTGGCTCCTGCTACTTTGAGTCTGAGTCTAAAGATGAAACTGAAGAGAGTCTGACAGTATCTCAGTTCAAACCAGAAGAAACGTTGTCTGAATCCAAACACGGCAGCTCCGTCGAAGACAAGTCCAACACCGACTCAGGGGAAAAAGACGATCTGATAAGCAGCACACAAACATCAACTAAGAAGTCAAAGAAGCAGAAGAAGAAGAAAAGGTGATACTGTTTTGATCTCTGGAGAGGTTCGTTGGTATCGATGCTAGTTGTAAATTAATTTAAAAGTAAACACCATTGCTACTCTGACTGGTGATTTTGGATGAGTTTCTTACTGTTACCTTTTATTTTCACCATTTATAGGGAATTATTTATGATAACCTAAACCTTTCATTAAGTCAAGTACAAGATTTTACAACACAAATAAAAGTGTTATAGATAATGTTAAAAAACGTAGGGATTCTATTATGCCGAATATTTTACCATGGTTTTGTTTTCTTGGTGATATTCATTTTAATATTAAAATGATGTGAATTATTTGTACCTAATGCAGCATTCGGTACTTGAGATTTAATTTTCCTTTCAGTAATTTTACTTTGTACTTTTTCAAATATTTATGTATCTTTGTATTTGACTACTCACTCAATAACATGCGTGATTATCAATTTTCACGGTTTCAGGATACAGAGTAACAGAAATAACACAAATATCATCATTTTCCAAGTTATGTTAAAACCATCATTGCCATATTAAATTACCAGAGACCAGAGGAAATTCAATTTGCTCCTAAAAACTTATAAACTCTAAGAGATAGTTTGTTCCTACAAAAACTCTAGAGAAGCTACAAAATAAGGAACTATTATAAACAATGTTTTAAATATTGTTTGTTTAGCTTATCACAATACTGTTTTAACTTGTGTATCATTCACTTAATAGCTGTTTTATTGATAATTTATGACTCAAAAAGACATTTCCTGCACTAACATATGTTTTAGTTGGATTTGATTGTGCATAACTAGCTAAAAATATAACTATGTTTTAAGTTTAACTCTTAAAAAAAACACAACTTTTAGGTGTGTGCAACATTATTTTTTTTTAATATATTAGCCTTTTGAAATATTTCATGAGAATTTGGCAAATCCTGACTTTCTGTAGAAAAAAACGATTGTTATTGTAATCGAGACACAGAGAATTTTAATAAAAAATTACTTTTCTTTGTTATCACATTGTCTGGTAGCTTTACTTAATTAAGCCATATAATTAATCATTTATTAAAATAAAAACATGATTTATGGTTTTTGTTTGTTTTATTGCTTGGATTAACTTTGAAATTCGTACAATTTTTGTCATCCCCAAAATATGCTTTTTTTTTACTTTGGACTATTTTAAATTTCAGTCCAAGTTTTAGGAATAAAGTACTGAACACCAAATGTACATAATATTTTTAATTTGTTTTTATTGAAACTCGGTTTTTCTAAAACTAGAAGCAATACTGTTAGATATTAACAATATAAGCCTTACAAATTAAGATTCATGGTGCATTTTTAGTTGCGTTATGCTGGCTGGGAAATGATTTTTAGGTGGTTATATCGCTTAGTTCAGAAAAATCAAAACTTGCTTTTTCTAAAAATGCTTTATTGTACTTTAAATTAGTTCCGTTTGTTTTAAATGGTAAATGTAAATAAATAGAACCCCGATCAAGCTTTAAATTAGATTTTTTCATATTTATTTGATCTTATGTGGTTTCAATGTATTCCTACTCATTAAGGGTTTTAAGGTTTAAATTGTGTTTATGCCATGTATAATTTAGTTAGGAAAATATATATTTTTTCAATCTCATTTATAATTATTTATTTTATTTATTTTAAATATCGTCTCAGTGTTTAGTTTAGTGTTGTGGATTGTAGGAGTTTGTTGTAGGTATGAATGTGAGAAAGTTAGCTCTCTTGTGTTACTGCACCAAAAAAATCTAAAAACCAAAAATAACGGTAAGCTTATTTGTGTAGACGTAGGATTGTAGGTAAAGAATTTTATTTAACATGAATTATTGCCTTTTGCTATACGGAATGTAATATTTTATGTGGTACTAAACATTCATTTTATGTGTAATCATTTATTCAAACTGATATCAAACGGGTACAAGGTATATTTTATTTATATTTGTTTGGATGTTATGAAGAGTATAACTTAAATTAAGATACATTGTTACACTCGATTTATTACATAGTTTTAAAATAGTGTTTCTTAGTCTGTGTTACAATTTCTACACTAATTGCACAAAAGTGTGAATTTACAATGTTTACATAAGTTTGTACACTTTTATAAATGAACAACACTCTTTCCTTTTTCTTACAGACTTTTCAACCTACAAAACTGCAAAAAGAACTTTTATGTTTGATACCAAATTATTTATCTTAGCTTTGTGTGCCTTATGTTGAATAGAAATCATCCCTAATGCTTGTCAGCATTGACTTTAACATTTTTATGAACTTTTTTTAAACTGACAATTTCAACGTGTCGTTCTGAATTGGCTTTCACAAAATTGCAATCGAGTGACTAATAAATAAGGGTTACTGACCTAACCTAACCTATGTGAATTTCGCAATTTTGTTTATTGAGCAAAGTAGGTCTCGAGAATATGTACTATATTACATTTAAATCCCCTTGAGAGGTAAAGAATAGAGTAAATAAGTATGTTGTTTCCTTTACTACTTCTATCACTTTTTGTTTGAAATAATTTTCTTTGTGTTGTTTTGTACCATAGACAAAAAGAATTAAATATAGACCGTCAGCTGTGCTGTGGTTACCATAGGTTCCGGCGCGCACCGCTTGGAGCGCCATGTATTTACAGCGTACGCGCTACATAAACTACAGCGGTGTGCGCCGGAACCTATGGTAACCATGGTAACTGCAGCAGGCTGACAGTCTATATTTAATTCTTTTTGTCTATGTTTGTACCCACAAACCTGATCTATATACTCTTGTGCAATTAGGGTAGCACTTTCTCTTCTACTTTCTATACAGGGTTGAAATGAGTTCTTAACCTGATGTGAGGAAGTATGCCATTCAATAATATGCCAATACATTTTATAACCTACAAATGATTTGTGTTAGCAAAATGTCTTGTCTGTTAACTTTACCAAACTTGTCTTGGTCAAGTGGATTGAAATGAGTGTACAACTTGGTTTTATCAATTGTATTTATGTTTTAATTTATATAGACAATCCAGTTTTGGCCGTGAGATATGTAAATAAGTTCATATTGAAATGTGATTGTGACTTAAAATTTTATTTTAAAAGCTACTTTTGATTTGATAGTGATATTTTTGTAATGCATGCCTTATAAAACAGAGTTTTATTTAATGTTTTGGAAAACATTTTACTTTTTAAAAGTTATATTTAATCCTAATCTAACTGCTTTATTAAGAGTGATTGTGGTTTGACTGCAATTAAATGTTGTATTAGATAATAGTTGCGTTCTTGTAGTAATGGACAACATAGTTTGAAGTTTTTGCTATAAATTTTCAAGCGATTCCCTAATTGTGCAACACGTTTTTAAATCAGTAGTATCAGCATATCTTAACCATATTAATGTATTTTTCATTATGTTGCACAATCAAGTATGTTTCTTTTTCTAAGCCCAAATTTAATGTATAAAGTCCTTTGTAGTTTTCTAAAAGGTTATAAAAACAAGCCACAGATGTAGTTTCTCAAATAATGTTGTCTGTTTGCCGTCTTTCTTTGTATATATGTATAGAAGTTTTAACTCAATCAGAAATGCTGTGATATAATTTAAAAACTTAATAAAAAATATAAAACATGTATAATTTGTCATAAAAATGTTTTTAGTTTTAAGATACATTATATAGATTGATTAAACCATAACAAACTACAGTTGGGAATATATTTTGATGCTAATTTATATATTAATCTATTGGACCTAGTTGATAACAATGTTTGTGCGTTGATATGCTCATTATATTTAAAATATTGTTAATAATTAGCATTACCACGATTTTAACAGATTAGTATAAAAAAAAATACAATATTCACTTATGACTGTTTTATCAGATGATTTCAATTTGACGCTGGTATATTTTGGCATATTTTGTTATTTTTGTTTCAATATGTGTTTTCTATTGTGTAATTCTCTTAGTTTTAACAAATAGGTACTAAACAAATGGTAAAATTTCTGAGTGTCAATTAGTTATGTAACAATCTATAGTTGAATTAAATTAATTTATTGTAAATGTTACAGCGATTCATGTAGTCTTCTAAAAAGACAACTACCACAATTTTTTTTAAACAAATTTTAATAAGTAGCTGCACACATTAATAAGGTGAAACTGCTCTTTAGTGTCTGGTGCATATTCTCCTTTTCTCCAAGATAAAATCTCTCAATAATTAAATGTAATTATAAAAAAAAGGTTTGATTATATTCACGTAACTATTAGTTGCTCTACTTTTCAGATTGTTGTGACTTGTTTAAAAACTGATTTCTTTTGGCATTAAAAATATAATATTGTATATCAAAAGAAAAATCATAAAATTGAAGACAAACAAAATACAAACAAATTATCCCCTAGCTTTTTTTTATATCCATTTATTCTACATAGTGATTGTTGTCGAAGACCTCATATCAAAAGTGTATAAGTTCAAAGATTTTATACGGAAATAAATGCAAATTACAAGTGTGGCCTACTTTAAATATTTACACTAGAAGATCTTTATTAGGCTCCGTAGTAAATGTGTTAAACAATCTCAAATAATTTCTTTAGTCGCCAATATTAAAAGTTGTTAATGCATCTATTATAAAGAAATTTGACGAGGTTGACAGTTTTATATATTTTTTCAATTATTACTAATCAAACTTGATAGTTATTCAGTGTAATGTACCAATAACTGCAGTGCTTTACTGCAAGGAAATATAACTAGCAATAGTACATTTTGACAAAACTACTTACCTCAGTACCTGTATTAGCACCAGCTTGTAAATTTGTATTAGCTGTAATTACTCTGAAAAATGTTCAAACGATAAATAAATTGGCTCATTTTCTATTTTGCATTTTATTTACCTGGATTTTATTCCAACTTCAGCAGGAAATTGAATTTATAATTCATAAATTTAGCTCAAACAGCGCAGTAGTTGAGAATTATTTACTTCAAAAATATGTTTTGGTTTAGAAAAGCAAAATAGATGTTGTGCATGTGAGAAATTTAGCGTTTTTTCAGGGTTATTGAAATTCAAACAGTTTACAGTTATTCTTCACAGATTACTCAATTACTTACTAATATTTCTATTATTTTAAATCTCAGTTCAGTTGAATGCAAACTTTTATTAGTTTAAATGTACAGTAACTCACAGGAAAACCATAAGTTAATCATAGGAAATATTCATACTGCATTGAAAACACGAGTCAGCTGAATTTTGGAAACAGTTTTTTAATCAAACCCCCAAGAGTTGTACGCTTTCTTTGTTGTTCTTTTACAGCAGGGATGTTTTGTTGTACGATAAAATCCTGGAAGATTAATTTTTTAGTTAGGTGGTTGATAGAGTAGTGAAGTCAGCAATAAGTAAAATAATCTATGCAATAAATATGTCAAGCAAAGCATGGGGTGAGTTAGTGTTAGTACAGCTTAAAATTGAACTGTATTGAATTTTTTACGACACTATGACGGCAAACCCAGGACAATGCTGCCTTGGTGTCATACTATTAACTAAGCCACCAGTTCATCAAAGTTTTTGTTTAGTTATTCTTATTGGCCTTATTGAGATTTCATAAATAATATTTAAAATAAAGTACTTTCTTACCTGCTAGTGTTGTACTCCATTTACAACTTAACCTGTATTATCCCAGACGAATGATACACCAGGGAAGATGCTTTCTTAAGTTTGAGGTCAGCAGTTTGCTACAGGGCTGCTTTAATAAATGGGCCCGGATCCAGGGGCGCAAGGTTTTAGGTTTGTTGGGGGCACAAGGAAATTCCCCCACAAGATATGTGGAGGGGTGCAATTATCTCCCTGGACCATAGCACACATGCAAATCACTGGCCTGACTTGTTATGATTAAAATAATATTTACAATATTGTATGAAATTATTTCCACTCCAAGCAAAACATTAACTTATTTGCCATAGTAAGAAAACAATATAATAATGATACAAGTTTGATCTCCTTTTGTAAAACTAACATTTTGAATTGATTGATATTCAATGAAGCTGATAAACCAGGGTGCTTAGAAGATGGATGAAGAAATTACTTGTGTAGAATGTCAATTCAGCACAAACCTCAATAACATTTCCTGAGAAGGCGAGCAGTGGGGCTCCCACTGCGTTCAAATCCAAAGTGTTGCTGGTTTGATTCCAAGCAGGGTTTATTCTACATTCAGATGCTAATTTACATTGAACTATGAATTAATTATGCTTTCTGACAAAAGTGCTGACTTTAGATAGTGACAAGGCCACGGTTTGGACCATTCCCATAAAAGGTTCAATGACATAAACACACGCTCAATAGTAGTTTACACAATGATCGAAGTCTTTATGTCACAAGTATAGAGGCGAGTCCCTTAAAAATTCTGCGAGTGTCGTAAATGCTAATTACGTGAGTTGCGTACACTACTTTACCTACAATCGTTTCCTAACCATGGTAAAAGATTATTACAAACTCTTAGAGCCCTTTTTCACTAAAACTATTTGACATTTTATAAATTTTTTATTAAACCTTCCTCCAGCTGTTGGTTAGTAAAACGTTTAGTTCAATTTTTAGGTTAAGGAAAGAATGTGTGAGTTTCCAGCAGGAAGTTGGCAAAAAACTATTGAATTGGTCGTTACCAGCTGATTATTTGTCATTTGAAGCATTACAATTTTACTTCTTTTCTCTCAATCCTTTAACATCATTGGTCCGTTACTTTACCACACTAGTGCTGTAAAATAAACAATGTTGTAAAGTGAATCTTCAATTCTAAAAATCGAATTGAAGAGGCCAGTTCAAAAATGATTGTAGGTAAAATAATATAAATCAAAATGAGGTGGAAAATAAAATATAAATTATTTTTTTATTATCATACATTCCCTCAGCGATACAGTGAACAGTGTCTTTGTTGTAGGCGGAGAGAGTTTGGACGACCTATCTCTGAGCAGTTACGACTCGGCAAGTCACTGTTCCCCCTCCCCTTCTCCTTCCCTGTCTACCGAGACAGGCCTCGTCTTCCCAGCAGATACACTATGATAAACTGTCCTACTTTTGAACCCGATTTTGGAAAGTCATAGTTTCTTTAAGGATTCCTCCATCTTTAATTATAGCTTTGAAGGAAGTTAGAGGCCCAAATGGTTACACGTTGTTTTTAAGTGTTTTCAAGTCACATTCTAATGTATTTTTATCTTTGTAAGTTTAGATCAAGCTAAATAGTTTATTGTCTTTCATGTTTCAAGATTAGAACATTAGAAGGTTTTATTTTCATTGAAAGATCAGTTAGAAAGCTGTTATTTTTTAACCAAAATGTTTTGTAGAAGATAATATTTTATTTTATCTCAACAACTTAAACACAGATCAGAAACAGAAAGTTCATTACGGTACAATTCTATTTAGTTTCACAGTTTTGATATTCAAATCAGAAAATATATTTCAGTTGACTTGGGGGGATATGTATCTATTTTAATGTTTATGGAATGTTTGCTTTTATTGTTAAATAGCCACTTCTTCCATATTTAGTAGACTTACCCTTTCTGGACAAATCAGAAGCAGTAGGTGGGAGTTTTGTCAAAAAATTACCTAGTAAAATGTCTGATGGAAGATTTTTGTATGAAATATATAGATAAGTAACGTAAACATTTATTTTAATACAGTAAAATGTCAAATGGGTTTTAGTAAGTGGCTTTAGAACAAGATTTTTTGGTAATAAAATCACCAGGTCCAATTTGAACTGTAAAACATATAAACTCATAAATATATATTTTTAAAAGTGATATTGATTGATGAGCAATGCATGTATATAGTATTTACATTTTTCCATTTTAAAACTTTTTATAATAGGGATATAATTAAATTTTTAGTTTTTAACGCAAAACCTAATGCAATGTGCCTATATACATCTTCTGTTATTGAGAAAATATTTATCTTCTCTACCCTTTGTTCAAGTGAGTTTATAAGTTTTATGAATGTATGAAATGATCTCGCCATAATTCTTTCTGTGATAGTTGTAGTGAAATAGTGAAAATTGTTGCACAAAGGGAATCAATTATAGCATTATTTTGTTACTGAGGGATCAGTCTGGAAGTAGACATACTGTTTCATTGTTTGACAATAGTGATTGTAAGGGTATAAGTTTAGGTTAAGGAGATACGTATAGCACAATTGTTTAGTTTATTCAGGAATAGTTATTTTTATTGAATCTTATTTCTAATTCGTTTAGTAATAAGTTTATACACCAAATGCTAGGATATATTTCCCATTAGACACTGTTTAGTGCAAAATGTTTGGCCAAAATTATAGGGGCAAAAAAGTATAATCATTCTATGAAATAAATATTAAAGGCCACAAAGTGGTTACTTAAACTAGAATATGCTGAAAATTTCAATGCAGTCCCCCAAAAAAATTAATTGAGCTATGATTATCCTAACCATTTTAAGTTAAATCATTCAATATTAAAATATAAAATATGACAATTTGAAAGATTTAAGCTTCCATTATTCTTTTGTCACTGGATATTCTTTATTACAGTATTAAATTCCATTTATTAAAAATGTTTTAGTTCATTAATTCCTAATATTTAATTATTGCTCTGAGGAAAGTCATTATTGTTTATCAAAATTCATGTTCCTGGCCCCTGGTAGTTAAGACAAAAATAGGGTTTACCATAGATTAAGCATACTCTATTAGGGGGTGTGCTTAATCTATGGTTTTACTTTACCTCCGTTAAATAATCCAACGGTTATTCAGTTGAATCAATCAGCCTATACCTTTTTGTAAAGCATTTTCAAAGCTTGCAACTTTTTCAAACACATAATTTAAACACACACTTAACATTAACATAAATACAAGACGTTTATAGATTTAGATACATAGCGCTGTCATGATAATATTGGTCCAGTGCAGCGTGGCGCGGGGTTGTGTAGCACTCATTGCTTTGAAATAGCTTGGAACAGATTTTTATTTACAAGTAACCTGCCAAGAAAATATCACTTCAAATCAAATCTCACTTCAATGAAATCGTCTTATGCATTCCTACAGTACACTGTGAATGGAACCTATATCTGTTTGTATAGTTAACAAAACTTGGGTACTAAGTTATCAGTGATATTGAAGTTTAGAAATTTTCCACTTTTTTAAAACATATTGAGAATTTTACTATAGTTTCCATCTTATAGAAAAGGAATCAATTATGTTAATAATACTAAAGCTAAGCTGTTTTTTCTGTAGTTAAGGCAGTTGTATTATGATACAACTTAAACAAAGAAATGCTTCCTTGATATTTGTTATGATAAAATTGTATTTTTGTGTTTGAATATTTTTATTTGTCAATATCAAAACTGGTCATAAAGGAATTTAGCAGGAGGATATTTGTTTGTAAAATTTATGGTGGATTGTAGAACATTATTAACACTATTAATACTTACAAAAAACGAAGCACCTTTTCCGTGAATTATTGAAAAAGGTTCAAAACTAAATTTTACCTATACTTTTTTATTATGTTGCAGAGGTTTTAAATCAAATACTTGTTCACTTAACCCACTGTCTCTTGTTTTTTTTCTAGTACCACAAGCTATATTCTTGTTGTTTACATTCCATGTTAATTCCATAATTTTATTTCTTTCTGAAAGTAAGATCACTTTTGTCATGTTAAAAGTTAGAAGGTTTGTTATTTTATTTGAAAATATTTATATCTTAGTTTTCTGAACGTAATGTATATTGTAAGGAAACAAGGAAAACCACTTAATGTTGACTATGTTATTTTTTTACTCCATCCCTGATCAGGTTGATATAAATCTCCAAAAAAACTCAAATATTTTGACGGAAACTATTCCTCCTCCATGTATATATATATATATATATATAT